TCTTGCCATATATGACTAGATGGAAGAAAACTGAATCGGCCATGTTCTTTCAAAAATTAAAAATTCTTATTTATTAAAGGTAGCCTCTAGATGAATTTCACCAGGAACGAGGAAAGTGGAACAGAGACAGCTGCCAAGAGATTAAAATATGACTAGATGGTACAGAAATATCTAGTACTTTACCATGTTTATGATTCGGAGGGAAAAATTTTGTGTTTTGAGCACCATGTTCTTTCAAAAATTAAAAATTCTTATATATTAAAGGTCAGGTCAAGGTCATTATCTTTCTCCTTGACATTAAGAATAAAAAATAACTGTTGCCAATCATGTGATACCTACTTCTATTTCACAAGTTTAATGATTGTTCTTTTTGCATAAAAACATATTACTATATTGGATAAGGATTTTGGCTAATCAGTTTTTCTTAGATATTAGTTATTTTCATATGCTTCCTATATTTAACTTTTTCTTATTTTCACATATAATATAGGTCTTATAAATGTACAAAATGATACAAAAACAAAAAGTTTTGATTTTAGTGAGAAAAAAATACTTTTTATGGATTTTTGGCTCAAATTTGCACTTTGATATGAAGCGCTTAAAAGCTAATAAAGTTCTAGTTTATTTGAAAAATCATATTTATTTGATATATTTTGAAAGTTTAGTCAAATATCTCCAAGTCTTTGATTGTGTAAAAATTATAGCTAAATTCATTGTTCTATTACAATTTTGAGAGGCAGAAAAGAAGTTATTTTCATACGCCACCATTCCGCCAAAAATATAGTCCATTTTCAAACACAGTTTACCATTTCTATTTAAAGTTGTACAATTGTGATGAGGAAAAATTTCTTTTAAATTCCTTACACTTCAATATGTAAGACATATAAGCAAATATGCTTTGAATGTTTCATCTAGTCAGAAACCAGAGAAGAATCCTACCTTAACTAAGGGTTTTACTGGTTTGTGTGCAAGTTCGGTATGGCAAAACAGTCGTAACATTGATGAACCAAGATTTCTGAAAAAATCAAAACGTACAAAGATAAAGAACTAAATATTTAATTATTTACTTTATTAATGGTAAATGGGGGAAAGGTGGCTACAGAACTGTAGCTCTCCGAAAAAATATATTGACTGAGCGGAGATCTACTGTGCCACCCATTGAAAGAACTGTGTATTTATAGCGCTTAAAAAAGTGCGATTGTTTCTACATGAAAAATTCTTACCTCAATTGCAAAAAAGCTAGATTTAGAAAAATTCCTTACTCCTATGTTGACATCTGTACAAAGAGCGTTGGACCGAATTATCTTGCAAACCAAAATGGCAGTATAAATAGGCGAAAATTTCAATAATCTCAATTTAAGGGCCAGGAGGGCTATTTTAAAACAACAATTATAAGGAATGTTTTGTTGTGGAAACAGTGAAAAAATATGTTAGGAACACACGGTTAATAATATTTTGAGATGACAGTCTTAAAAACATAGAGAAATAAAATCGCAACTTTTTGTGCGCATTACAAATATATTAGGTTAGAAAATCATGTCCTAATATGGATAGGATACCTTAATCCCATGCAATTCTATAAAGAGTCGGGGATTAACTTTTGTTGTGGAAACAGTGAAAGAATATGTTAGGAACACGCGGTTAATAATAATTTGAGATGACAGTCTTAAAAACATAGAGAAATAAAATCGAGAAACAGCGCACTTTTTGTGCGCATTACAGGATGGATATATAAGGTTAGAAAATCATGTCCTAATATGGATAGGATACCTTAATCCCATGCAATTCTATAAAGAGTCGGGGATTAACTTTACTCATAACAGAGAGTATGTCCATATATTGTTTTACAAAGGCGATTATTGAACATTTTTGCCATATATGGAAATTACGTCATCAACGAGAAGTTATGGTTAATTCTAGTTAAGGACTAATAATAAAGAAGGCGGATTGACATTTCTATTCTTTAATAAAATTTACACTCTTGCAGATTAGGTTAATTTTATCTAATTTTAAGTATGTCAGATGGACGTTATTATTAGCTTATAATCTGCATTCTCACGGTGTACTCAGACACAGGGGGTCATAATCATCTATGCATCTGAGAAATTAGGAAATGTTCTACTGAGTAAGAAAAATGATGTTAACAACAATTTTATTTGATGAATATCGACCTTTACCATGACATGAATAATTTGGAAATTGAGACATTGAGAATAGAAAAGCAAAACACCCGTGCCACCTTTGGACACCCACGCAACATTTGGAAGTCTTCAATTATATCGTGCAGAATCAAAAAAATTAAAACTAGAGGCACTGTAAGCGATGAGCTCACTAAATGATACCCCCCACCTCTCATATAGTTATAATGGCAAAGTCCATGTTTTGCTGTGGCCGGGAAACCCAAAATATGTGTCGGATCAAAAAGTAAAATAGGAGGTGCACAATGGCAATATCCCAGATAGCATGACTATGTTGGGCCAACATTTGTTAAAGGTTGTATGGTTGGCGTTGGGGGAACAACGTTGGGCCAACGTTGGACCAATGTTACCAAGTCAAGCTTCTCGACCATGACGGAATTCCTATGTTGGTCCAACCTTGGTCCAACGTAAGCAACTTCCATTCACTTTAGCTTCCAAAGAAGGAAGGATCATGGCGTTGGCCCAACGTTGGACCAATGTTTATAATACACCCTTAAAGAAAGTGTATTTACAAGTTGGTAGTAGTATGTTGGCCCAATGTTGGCCCATTGTTTGTAATACACCCTTAAAGAACGTGTCCTATCAAGTTGGTAGTAGTATGTTGGCCCAACGTTGGCCCATTGTTTGTAATACACCCTTAAAGAAAGTGCCTTATCAAGTTGGTAGTAGTATGTTGGCCCAACGTTGGCCCATTGTTTGTCATACACCTTTAAAGAACGTGTCCTATCAAGTTGGTAGTAGTAAGTTGGCCCAACGTTGGCCCATTGTTTGTAATACACCCTTAAAGAACGTGTCCTATCAAGTTGGTAGTAGTATGTTGGCCCATTGTTTGTAATACACCTTTAAAGAACGTGTCCTATCAAGTTGGTAGTAGTATGTTGGCCCAACGTTGGCACAATGTTTGTAATACACACAAGTGTTATTTTGTTTTAGGTCTTTCAAAGATGGGATATTTACGGTATATTGGGCCAACGTTGGCCCAATTATTATACTTCCAACTAATGGATGGTGTTAATTTTATAATTAGCTGCTGAGCTTTACGTTGGGACAAGGTTGGCACATTCTGAAATAATTAAAAGGACTTTCTATGTCCATGCTTATCATTGGATGACTGCTTTTGTTTAGATATGATATTTTCAACATTTTAACTTTGCACTTAAGTGATCAAGCACCAAAGAGTGTTTTATTCTATTTTTTGAATTGTGTATATGCTTATTTATTTGTAATAACCCAGATAGCGGAACACCGTTGGCCAAATCTTACATTATGGTTCTATTATCTATGTTGGGTTACCTTGATTAGGCCAACAATGGCCCAACTTGGAATATTGATAGCTGGTTATGTATAATAGTGCGCTAATGTTGAGCTAACTGTTGGCATTATATCATAAAACTATAATCATGAGAGAAAATATTTGTTTGAGGATTGGCATCGGCCCTACGTTGGTCCAATATACCATGAATCTGACTGAGGATCATGGGTAGACCACAACCGGGCTACTTGTAATATCCGCGCCATTTTTAATCTGACACGAGCGAGCGTAATGAGACTGATACCTTGCATATCTGCATTAACTTTGTAAGTATTAATAATATGTTTGCCTCGGCACAGCTGAATTAACGTTTAGTTTTTAAACGATATCATGTACAAATCTGTGTAAATCAGACACGGGGAAGTGCAGAGGCCAGTTGCTGTTGGGTCAATACTGTACAGATAGCATGCTAACATTGGGCCAACGTTGGTCCAATGTAATCGGTTACATCGGGCCAATGTTGGAAAATGGCATTGACCTAATTTAAGTTAGCTCATCGGCCCAATGTTGGCCTGATGTGATGGGCCAACGTTGGCCCAATGTAGAGTGTTATGTCTACAGATATTGGCCCAACGTTGCGCCAACATTGGCCCAATGAATGCGACATTGTTGGCGAAATGTCAACAAGAACATTGGGCCGATGTTGGCAAATGACGTTAGCCCAGTGTCATTTTGCTCCTTTGCCCAATGTTAGCCCGATATATTGGACCAACATTGGGCCAATGTGTATAAACATTTAATTGTTACAAATCTGTATATTAACAAATCTGATCATCTCTACAATCAGAAATAAATCTACAACCAATCCTTTTTGAAAAATCAAGCTAGCTAAAATATTAAAATTCTTATAATTTATCAAAACAAAATAAATTATCAGTGATTAATTTTTTTTGTTTCTATACAAGAAAAATAAATGAAAGTATAAAAATGTGTTTTGATACACTTAAAACAATAAATAATTTGCTCTTTATTTAAATTGAAATTTGTGTCTATAGTAGAATACATTTCCCAAGTCTAACTTAATTTACTTATATACAGTTAACGTCGAGTACATAATAAAACATTTTGAAAATGATGAACATGCTGAAGATAAAACAAAATTTATTCAGTACTAAACATAAATTGGGTTCTTTCATTTAAAATTTGTTCATTGTAACGACAAATTTTCTATACATGTATTTTATATGGGGCAACATTGAATCAAAATCGTTGTGATGATGATGATCAAGCGTAGAAATGTTATACATAAATGCCTTCATCACGCAAGCTAATCACTTAATCACACCATGAAACAAAAAAGACGGTTGTTTTTTAATTGACAGCTTAAACATATAGTGATATACTTGTAAATTTAATCGTATGTTTACTCTTTACTGAGAAAAGTAACAAATGTATTAAGTACCAAATATTACAATTTTAGTGTTACTGGAGATTCTAAAAAGACAAGGAGAACACAATCAAAGAATGGCTAAGGTATGCCATGAACAGGGATGGGGGAGGAAGAAACGGACAGAGAGGAAAAGAAGGGGGAGGAAGAGACTCGGGAAGAGGAAATGGAGACGTAGGAGAGCGATCAGATGGAAAGTGGCAGTGCCTAACTTTTTTACTGTAATATAGTGTGACATACCTGTAGTTCTACCCTTTTTTGTGTCTGTTTGTCGGTTATAAACACGATGCAGATGCCAGAAACATTTTTGTGTAAGTAAACAAAATGACGGGATTCATTTTAGTATTATTTTAAGAACAGGAGGGCTTTGTTTATTTGTTAGACGTGCTTATTGATACCTGTAATTTACTGAACTTGGGCATAATTTACATCAGAGAGGGAGTAATACAGTCATGTAACCCTACATGTACAATGTATCGCTTGAAGTGAGCATCGATGTTTAATTCTTTATTAATGTTTTCTTCATGCACTGAGCAATAAAATTATAGTATGTTATAACTTAATTTTATATTTTGATTTCTTTTTCCTCAGTTATTTAATTAATGTAGAGCTACTTACAATGCAATACTTGTTGATGGCAATTCTATGAGATATTGAGAATATGTATTAAACTATTAATCTAGCATATATAGCATACAAGATAGTATTAAAGGGCTTTTACCATTAAACTGTACTACAAAACTAGTATAACCTTATTGTATATATTTGTTTGTCAATTTTGAGGACAAATGGCCAACCAGTGAAGAGCAAATGAGTTGTCATGATGGAGAGCCAATAAGATACAAACCAACGTTGGCCCAAAAATGATGTTTTCCTAATATTGAAATAATAAGTGGCCCAACAATGGCTCAATAATATCCGTTCGTTGGTCCAACAATAAGCCAACAAGGTGGTCTGATAAAGGGCCGATGAGCAAATTACCGTTGGCCCAACATTAATTGCTTACAATGGCCCAACTGTACAAAAATGACGTTTGCCCAATATTGAAATAATACATTGGCCCAACAGTGGCCCAATATTAACTGTTACATTGGCCCAACAATAAGCCAACAAGTTGGTCTGATTAAGGGCCGATGAGCAAATTACCGTTGGCCCAACATTAATTGCTTACAATGGCCCAACTGTACAAAAATGACGTTTACCCAACATTGAAAAAATACATTGGCCCAACAGTGGCCCAATATTAACTGTTACATTGGCTCAAAAAAACAAGTTGGTTTGATTAAGGGCCGATGAGCAAATTACCGTTGGCCCAACATTAGTTGCTTACAATGGCCCAATTGTACAAAAATGACGTTTGCCCAATATTGAAATAATACATTGGCCCAACAGTGGCCCAATATTAACTGTTACATTGGCCCAACAATAAGCCAACAAGTTGGTTTGATTTAGGGCCGATGAGCAAATTACCGATGGCCCAATGTTGAATTCAAACAGTGGCCCAACATAAGGAGCGTTGTTGGCCCAACAAAGGTCCAATAACATCCTGCTATCTGGGAATTGTAATAAAGATTCTGTGAAAGTTTCATTAAATTTCACTCAGTGGTATAAGAGGAGTTGCGGATAAGAGATGGGTACCCCAAAGCGTAACAGACAGACGGACGGACGTGCAGACAAATGGACGGACATACCGATTACAGTATACCCTCCCACTTTTCAAGCGGGGGGTATAACTAGAGGTACTGTGAGCAACGAGCTCACTAAATGATACCCCTGCCTCTCATATGATTATAATGACAAAGTCAGTGTTTTGCTCTTGGAGGACGAATTAAGTGTTAGGTTAAAAGTAAATTGGGAGGTGCACAATGGCATTATGTAATAAAAAATCTGTGAAATTATCATTAAATTTCATTCAGTGGTATAAGAGGAGTTGCGGATAAGCGATAGGTACCCCAAAGCATAACAGACGGACGGACATCCCGATTACTATATACCCTCCCGCTTTTCAAGCGGGGGTATAATAAGGATTTCCAAAACAAACCATAGAATATCCTACACATCATGACTAAAAAAGATCAGCAAAGAGGGGGTGTATGAAAGAACACAAAGCAATCTGACTTGATAAAAGAAAAGTAAAATGGAGACATCATATTTACCGAGATAGCCTTAATGTGAACTCTGCCAGGTAAAAAATCAGAGGGCACCAAAGGAAACATGGTGGCAGTCAGTGGGAAAAGAGATAAAGATCGGGGATCGACTTTGGGCATGGTGCAGCAAATGACAGCTGACAGGCAGAAATAAAGATCCTTCGAGGAGGCCTTTTGTGTTCAAGGAACGAAGAGGATTATAAGTCATATTTTTGCAGAAATTTTGACATGGTACAAATGAAGAGATTTGGATAAAGATGAAACCATTAAGGATTTCCTATTTGGAAAGTAAAAACGAATTACATGATGAATGTCGTTGTTAATGTAAATTCCACATATTATAGTTGAACGTCGTTTTCGTAGGTCCCCTTCGCTTGCATAATCACTTTGGAAAGTATTGAATTCCTTAAAACTATTTTAAAATACTTGAACATATATAATATTAACTTTACCTATACCATATCTCAGGGGAAAACCTTTGTGTTTGGGGCACATTGATCCACATTTCTTATTACTTTGTCTTTGATTCTTGGGTTCTTTCGGTTGTACAGCTGCACTGTGTTCAACATAAGTCAATCTAATTCTCCCGAATGGATAACTCGGTTACATTTAAGTACGAGATTTGGAATACCTTTTTTTGTTGCCGAACTTGAATTGTTTGTTATGCCATTTTCCCCAAAGTGGGGACTAAGCTAGCTTACCCTTCAAGGTCATGGTGGCAACACCACTACATGTAGTATTTTTAAACCTAGATTTCTGGGCAAATCAAAGCATACAAAGATAATGAACCCAATATTAATTTGAACTTCATCCAAACTCTCCATCTGGATTTGATACAAAAATAATGATACACTGTATTTCATTAAGAGTTTGAATTTTAATGAAAAGAAGTGCAATTTTTCTCAAATTTAATACCTATCCGACAAACTATAAAGAAATTCCTTACAATATGTGCAACTATTTTTTGTTTTGGTCATTAAACTTAATTTTCTAACACCTTATTTTATATTTCTTTAACTTGTATGTGTAAGCACAATTCCACATATTTATAGTATTTAATAATATTTATTCTTCCTGTTCATAAAAGAATATTCCTCAGAAAGATTTTTTGTAACGATTACGTCAGCCATTTAAAAAATCAGGTTACAGCGGGAGTTGTCAAGCTAAGACTAGATTGAATGTGCTAATGAAGAACGTGATTAAGATGACATTTCAAAATACTATAAAGGGTGATGATTTCTTAACCATTCAACATCCACGAGGTTTTTTTTACAATGTATAGAAACACTAAGTTCATAAGCGAACCCTCTTTGAGTAATTTTTTAATGAGGAGAGGAACTACTGGAAAATCAAAATCTGTTAGAAAATTTGAAAACAGATGGACTTCAAAGTTTTCTTTGGTGAAAAAATTGCAAAGGAGACATAAAATGGAAGACCAACATAGTATGTTCCGACAAGAAGACGGAAATGTATCAGTTGCTTCATCGGAAGACGTTTCCTCAAGCAGCACAGCAGGTCTGTTTGGAAGAGTCGACATCTATGGTCAACATAAAGTCGGGAAAGAAACCTTGATATCGCATATACTGTCAAAGAGTTCTGATGTTTTATTGGATGACCTAGGTACAAATTCATTCTTAAAGATAATAGTACTTATTAAACAAAGAATTAAAGAAGTAGTTTTAAAAATGCATGTTCCTTGAAGGAAACATTAGACAATTATTCCTGAGCAGACTTATAGTTAACCATATTTGTTGATTTTTTTCTTCTAGGTTATTTCAATGTCAGTTTAAAGAATGATGTTCTTCAATTAAAAAACATGGATCAACACTTAAACAAGGTAAGAGCATTACATTATACTCAATATGGTATAATACGGTTCTCGGTAATTCTCAAGTATACATATGGTATACTAATTCTTATAATTCGTGTACATGTAATTGAAAATTCATTTTGAATTGCAAATAGGTTTCAGAATTTCTTACTTGCTTTCATTTCAGTCACCTAAAGATCCTAATGACAAAGTTTCAGCAATTCAAGATCCGGATGTGTGTGTGGTAATGTTTTCACTTCTCGACAGGACTTCATTTCTCTATGCCAAAAGGAAGGTACAGGATTTGAAACGTTGTTGCAATGAAAACGTTTCAATTTTTCTCGTGGGAAACAAATCGGATGCCATCCAGAATCGAAGAGTCACTCGTACAGGTATTCATCTTGATTTCAAAATCTCAATAAATTATGGCTGAATGAAAATCATTTGATCTGATCAATGTGAGCATAATAATTTTCAAGAATAATATAAGATATTGTTGGTGTATGAAGATGTTGAAAATAGAGGATTTTTTATGCTTGATTTCCTTTTTTTTAAATTTTTTTTTTACAGAAGCTTTCCATGTTGCAAGAATTTTTGGCTGTCGGTACCTAGAGACTTCTGTTATCAGCCACAGAGAGGCCAGATTTGTTTTACGTGAATTAATGGCCCTTATTCCACTCCAAAGTAGAAAATCGACAACAATTTTTGGCAGCATACAGAAATGTGTTTTCAAGCGCTTTTTTGCCTCGACGTCCTGAAAGTAGAATTTTCAAAACATTAAAACTTGTGTTAAAAGAATATTTAATGATTATCTGTAAAATGTGAATTTTTACATATACTACCTTTATGACTGAATGTAATATGATATGAATTAACAACTAAACTTTATGACAAACCTTGACTTCGATTTTTCTTATATTTTAACACTATACCCTTATTACCTGCATATGAACATTATATGTATTATTGTATTTTTTTTTTTCATTTAAAGGTGGTAAAAATACAAAAATTACAATTGAGGTAAGCTGTTGACAAATAAATGATAAAACAAGAATATTGCAATATCGTATATAAAGTCAATTCTTCATAATATTATGTAACGCTGTATATCATTAGAATCAGAAGGAAAAGTTCTATAATAATCAATAAAAATCTGAAATTGTCAAAATTTTCACTTAAGGGAGGTTTTTGCTTGGCGCGTCACATATGATATGTGTTAGCAAATAAAAGAGTGCAATGAAGTTTTTTTTTAATACAAATTGTTAGGAAATTATTTTCACACTGAATTGTCCAAGAATTATCACAAAAAAAAAAACACCAAAATAATAACGCGAAAAAGGAACGTGGTGTTTGTGAAACACTGGTGCCCCTGTATGGGAATTTACGTCAAAGAGTTTCTCGAATGCAATTCAAACTCCAAAGTTTAAGTTTAAGAGATCAAAATTATGCTACCAAAAGAAAGGACTGGTATATCGTAGGTCAAGTCAAAGGGTCAAATTAATGACACCAAGGGAAAATTCTTGTCATAAGAAAAGCATTTGTAAAATATAAAACCTTACCACCAACTGTTATGGCCAAGGTTAAAGTATTTCAAAAGTCGACCAAACTCCAAGGTCAAAATCATTGGTATCCAAAGGAAGGACTTGTCAAAAGAAATATACCTCTACCTGTGAAATATGAAATCTCTAGTCAAACTGTCAAAAGTTATTGCCAAGGTTAATTTTTTAAAGTGGGTTGATCTCTTAGGTTATGGTGAAAAGGTAAAAAAAAAAAAGCAAATCCAAGGAAAGGTCTTTTCACAGTGAATACACATGAGAAGAATGAAAGGCCAAGCACCATCCAGTCGAAACTTTTAATAAAATTCGTCATAACATGGGTTATAATCCAATTTGTATCATTTGGCAATTAAAATTTCTAATTTGATATATTCATCAGTGGCCGGATCCAGTTTAAGAACTAATTCAGTTAGATCCTTATATTTTCCATTTCTAAATTTTATGCCCCCGTAAACGAAGTTTCTGCGTTATATAGTTTTTGTCGTGTCCGAATTTTCTCGATTCTAGTGGTAATCTGTGTATTATAGGGAGCATTCATTATTTAATGTTGTAAGAAATTCAAATAGGTGATATCACTTATTCGAATTGGTGATATCACCAATTCAAATTGAATAGGTGATATCACTTATTCGAATGGGTGATATCACTTATTCGAATAGGTGATATCACCTATTCAGCACGAATAGGTGATATCGCTTAATCGAAAAGGTGATATCACCTATTCATTTCCAATAGGTGATATCGCCTAATCGAATAGGTGATATCACCTGTTGGAAATGAATAGGTGATATCACCTATTCGAATAGGTGATATCACCTGTTCGAATAAGTGATATCACCTATTCAAATAGGTGATATCACTTTTTGCCAGTAAATACCAAAACGGCACCTCATAAAATATAAGGAATCACTGTCTAGTTAGTGTAGTGTGCCATGGACATCATCGATAGTGGGAAATAATTTATGCATAACGGGCTTCGCCCGTAATGCAAATTATCCCTTGTTTCCCACTATTTGATGCCCTGCCATACAATACTACCTAGACAGTGATTCCTTAAATAAATTGGTGAGTTTTCCTTAAATTTTGAGTAGGCATGTTTTATTGAATTGTTTGTTAACACAGCTCAACCTGCAGTGACTGATGTAAAATAAAATCAATGAAAATACGTAAATTGGCATTAATAAGAAAAAATTTGATTTGGAACAGTAAAAACATTTCAGGTGAAGATGCCTATTTAAAATATATATTTTTGGAAAGATGCGATCAAAAACAAGAAATTGGCTTAAAAAAAATTTATGATATCAATATTAGTCTATCTTCATCGGGAATCCGATGTGTAGATCATCCATCTACATGGGGAATCCGAAAAATTCATGCACGTGCTCTGCATGTATGTAAGAGGCTCGTTTTATTTTACTAGGTGGTAAATGTATTCGGCTAGTACAGTGTTAGATATATTTTAATCAATTTAAAATTATTAAAAAAAAAAAAGAAGGAGAAGAAATACTTCGTCCTTTGTTTATTGCTGAGGAATTTAAATGATTTTTTTCCTAAAAATTTTAATTGTACTCTTTCTGCTTGCTTTTTAAATGTTTCTTTTTTTCCCATTACATGTATTACTATACAAGAAGTGTATATATATCTAAAGTGGGCGCAATGCAGCAATGATTCTATGACCAGTTTTTCTTCTCCAGATCAAGCTTGACATTCTTCATAACGATAATTAAAAATGTGATTATTATTGAAATATTCTATAAACAGATAAATATTTGTTTCAAGTAACAGGGTATTAAAAGAGTCAAAAGCTTTACTGATCTATCATTCATTTAGGTAACTCATTCATCTGTTGCAAAAAATTACATACGTCTTTTTTTAAAAATAAAATTATACGAACTTTTAAAGAAAAAATTCATTAATTTTCCGTCAATTTAAACTTTTGATAAAATCCTTGTGATAAATAATAAAACGGATTTGGTCTCGGAACTTATTTAGAGTTTAGAATGTCTTCCACGTATTAGAACTTCCGGTGTTCTCGTGACGTCAAACTTTTTTTCATCAACAAATCGAGGATCTACGCCAATAATAAAGAAGCAGAAAATGTCATATGCATATCTTTTCAAGTACATTATAATAGGAGATACAGGTAATATATTTTCATTAAGATATTCGTGATTTGGCATGTAATATAGCAGAGAAGGGGAATTTAACGTTCGACACAGAAGTTCCATTATGATGCCATTGTCATTGATTGCAAGATTATTGATTTTGGCTTCAAAATGGCTGTCTCTTAAACAACCCAAGGAAAAATTATGTTAAAAAAATGAATTAAAAGTTCATTAGAATTATACTATTGTCTTTTGATTGGGGGTAAATACATATTGACAGTTTGTCAGTGAATATATTTAGTGCATTTTCCACTTCATCAGTGTCACGTAGTACTTGCCTTGATGGGAAGCTTGACATTTGCAATAATCACTGCTTTGCCCCTAACATACCATAAAACAGTGTTTGAAATAACTATGTGCCTGACCACCTGAGACATGCGAATTTTGTCGCGGGTGGACAGATTTGCATGCACCGCAATCTGATGAAAATCAGATCCTTTGATCCACTCACATAGACCGCTACACAAGGATCTTAAGAAACTCTATTCAGGGTCCTAAAATTCATTGTTGCTAAAATGAATTATTAAGATATGATAGACAAATATTTTCTCGGGCTGCTACTTGATTTTTGGCGGTGCTGACCACTGACTAGCAGACAGCCCTGTATGTCTGGCTTATTTTATGATGAGTTTCAAACACCCTGTAAAATTTTAGTATGCTATTCTAAGAATAAGATCAAATTTTAATGTACCCAGTAATTAAATTACAGGGATAATGTTTACAATGTCATATATTATTTCAGGAGTTGGGAAGTCATGTCTTCTGCTTCAGTTCACAGACAAAAGATTTCAACCCGTCCATGACTTAACAATAGGTAATTTATTTGTGTTTATTTCACTGATTTAAAGAAAGCTTTTACATAGTCAACCCCTTTGGATGCTATAAGGTTGCAGATGAATAAGGGTGGTAAAAAAATTTGAAGGATAGATCATTTCATGATAACTGAGGAACTACTCTTTCGGTCTTTGGCAGTCCAAATTGATACATTTTGGTGAAGTATTCAGATATAAGGTATAAAAACAAATGTTCAGTATACACTCTGTCATTTCATTATTTCGCCAAACATTATTAATTTGCCCTGCAATAGAGTAGTGCTACAGCTAGCATAAAAGACTGATTGTAAATATGTCAGTATCAAAGTATTGTTTCGTTTAATTACTGTATAGAGTTTTTTGCAGTTGATATTATATAGTAAAAGTGTATATATGTATTGAATTACAGGTGTGGAATTTGGAGCTCGAATGATAACTATAGATGGAAAACAAATTAAACTACAGATCTGGGATACAGTGAGTTTACATAGTCTGACTATTTGGAATTGAAGTACATCACTACATGTACATTGTATATATAGCTTGTAATTTCTCTGTTATTCATTGTTTTGGTCATGTTGAAATGATAAGGTCCAGATGTTAGCCTGTGGCCATTCATCATGTTCACACTGTATTGATTATTTACAAAAGATTGTGGATTACTACTGTGTGATTGACCAAAATTGATTTTCAAAGACAGATGTTTTTGGCATGTTGATAACAAGATAGAAGTTCAAGCCTTCTCTTGTTTGTTGTCAAAATGATAAGAGTAATATTAGTATTAAAGCAAACCATGAATTTAATGTTATCATATATTATTTGCATTTGGCTGCTGCTTTTCTTTTCTGTGTCTTGATTTCATCAAAATAACTAGCATTTCATAGCTCCTAATATAAACTGTTTACAACTGAAGCAAAACTGGTTAGTATGCATGTGCATTATCAGCAGCCAGTCATTGTTTTATTCCTAGCTATTTCAAACCTACCCATGGGCCTTTCATCAAATCATGAATCTCAGGGTTGGGTGATTATTTACATAGGATTTCTAAATAATGCATGTCTTTTGTATTGAACACATTGTTATTATAAGTATTAGCATATTTTTTATAAAAATTACTATCATTCCAAAAAATCAAAGATAACAGGGAAATTAGCATTCATAATTTATATAAGAGTTTTGAAGACCAAGAAGGCTAGAAAATTAAATGCACATGTACATGTAATTACAATTTGTTAATTTGGTTTGAGAAGACTTTGTATTTTATCTTGACCATCTGACACAACACTCGTCACATGATAGCCATATATGAATATATACTTAATTGTGCTAAAATGAAATAGATGCAGAAGGTAGGGGTTGTTGAACCACTCAAACTAATCCTCCAATTATACTTGACTGTATTGATAAGACAATCATGAGGTAGTGTGAGAATATGACAGCTTATATTTTTGGCTAAAAACTGCTAATAATTGACTTTGAACCTTTACACACTGACATGACTAAGACTTAGTGAGACAGAAAAGACGATGTCTGTCAAATGTGAATTAACAGTAATGGCTACCGAATTTAGTTTATACCAGTATAAATGAATAACTTTGGCAAATGAAATGAGTGAAGATAAAAAAATGATCAATCTCCAAAAAAGTACAAGGAAAACAGATCTGTGTTCACACAGGGTAACCAAAATCCAAGACCCCCCCCCCTGGAAATTTCAGAGGGAAAAACAGGTGCTTAGGAGGTGTAAGTATCCCATGATGTCAACTTGTCACACCCACAATGAGACTTATTTATTTGGTCAGTTAGACAAAAACAAACACTTAATAGTCATAAATCATGAGATATGTACTAAAAAGAAAAAGATTTGATGTCTTTGATCACAATTATGAGAGTGGTCTGTATAACCATTTTGGAGAAATGTTTCTCTGTGTGCTTGTGTATAGTTTTTCTTCCCCCCTTCCCAGTTGGAAGGCAATCTGAGGTGTACAACAGAATGTTTAAATTACTAGTCTTGAAGATTTTATATCAGTGTTAATTTTACATTACAGGCAGGACAGGAATCATTCCGCTCCATCACAAGGTCGTACTACAGAGGTGCAGCAGGGGCATTGTTAGTGTACGACATCACAAGGTAACGTAGAACTAAAAACGCTGTCAAGAAGAACATTTAAAATACTGCTATAAAGTTAAGTAAAAAAGAAAAAAAAGCATAATAAACATTAACAAATGATTAAGTGCCAGAGTTAAATATAAAAAGCCTAAAATTGGATATATCTGACTGAAGAAAGTGAAACTTAAAAAAATTTCCAACCTTTTTACTAAAATTACTGGACAATATTCATTTTCAGTTGAAGGGATTTAAATTTATACCCCCATTCATATGAGGATGAGCCCATTTTGGGAAGAGGGAGGGGGGGGGGGTTTTATTTTTCCATGGTTATAGAGATATTTGTTGATAATAAAAAAAATCCTCTCATGAGTACATGTATCAGCTCTTCATTTTATCAAATGCATAGGTGAACATGCCTTAATACTGTAGGTTTAAATTTGCTCAAATAATGGCCTCACAGTGCTAGGCATGGGCAACAAAAGAGGTATGACGTGGAATTCAAAACATGTTACATTAGAATTTATTGCCTCATAAAACCAGAACATAAATACTTTAGATCATTTGAAATCTTATTTGTACTCCAATATAATCATCATTAAAGTTTAAAGTAGTTTTGTAACTATGTTGTAACAGTTAAGTAAAATTTATTTCTAAGATATAAAATGTGATGAAAAACAGCAAACATTCAATTAATCACATATAGGTGAACATTCCTATGTAGTGTTGATTCAAATGTAGAATGGTCCCCTGTGGTTTAGAATTGAGTCACACTAGTGTAGTAAAGTTTTACACAGAGGTGTTTAGAGCATTCTAAAAGAACAAAACGATAAAAACCACACATCAAGTCTCAATATACAGAAAAAAAAAAATTAAAACTTACAATTCAAGTCCAAATACATGTAAAAGGTTTTGTTTAGCTGTACTACATGTGTTCACTTAATCATTTTAATACATGTTAAAATGTTTCTATTTTTTCTGGAAGATATGACAAACTTAAGATATTTAAGATAAAAATGGTGGCCATGGGCTTTTTTTCTTAACATAAGGAATTTTTATTCAATTGACACAGAAAAAGTTATTGATATATATGTATTATTTTCATTATTGGAATATGAAGTAAAAGCAATGGTTTAGATAAAAAAAAACCATATTGTAACAATTGTATTGTTTGCTAGGCGTGATACATTCAACCACCTGACAACCTGGCTCGAGGATGCCCGTCAACATTCCAACTCCAATATGGTCATCATGTTAATTGGTAACAAAAGGTCAGTGTTTGGTGGAAAAGTTAGGAAATAAGTAGTTGGATGATATTTTATAGTTTTCTAAATAAGGAAGTCAATTATTGTAAAAAAAAAATTAGACAAACAAATGTTGAGTTGAAAATTGAGTACCATAAATCAAATTACAATGTTTTAAAAAGTTTTCAAGGAAGTTAACATGACAGAGTCATGTAAACAGATTAAGGAAAAAGCTTATAGAGAATGAAAATATTCCTGATCATTATTTTATAAGTATATTTGCCTAGTCATAAATTACAATTTCTTTTCTGTATGAATCAGTGACTTGGAGGCCAGAAGAGATGTGAAGAAAGAAGAAGGTGAGGCGTTTGCCAGAGAACATGGCCTTATCTTCATGGAGACTTCTGCTAAAACAGCAGCAAATGTAGAAGAGGTCGGTAGGATATTTCTCTCCAGGATAATTAATAAATAAGCTTGTATCTATCAACCAATTCCATCAATTTTAAGGGGGCTTTCTTTTATTTGCCCCCCTTCGAAGAAGGGCGGGCATATTGCTTTGCTGCTGTCTGTTGGTCGGTTTGGTCCACTTAGTTTCCGTTCATTTTCTTCGCAACCGTTGTACATACTGAAATGAAATGTTGTATACAGATATATCACATTAATATCTAGGCCAAATTCTGTTTTGGGTCCGATATCACCATTTTTGACAGAGTTATGCCCCTTGGACTTAGAAAAATTTCAATTATTTGCAGTTTCCGCTCATTTTCTTCGCAACCGTTGTACATACTGAAATGAAATTTGGTATACAGATATATCACATTAATATCTAGGCCAACATCTGTTTTGGTTACGAACGCACCATTTTTGACAGAGTTATGCCCCTTGGACTTAGAAAATTTTCAATTATTTGCAGTTTCCGCTCATTTTCTTTGCAACAGTTGCACATACTGAAATGAAATTTGATATACAGATAAATCACATTAATATTTAGATCAGATTCTGTTTTGGATATGATCGCACCATTTTTGACAGAGTTATGCCCCTTGGACTTAGAAAAAAATTCCAATTATTTGCAGTTTCCTTTCATTTTCTTTGCAGAGGTTGCACATACTGAAATGAAATTTGGTATACAGATTTATCAGATGACTATCTCGGGCAAGTTCTGTTTTGGGTACAATTGCGCCATTTTTGACAGAGTTATGCCCTTTTGGACTTGGAAAAATTCCAATTTAGGGGGAGGGGGGCATAAGTATTCTACAAACATCTCTTGTTTTACTGTGAAGTATATGCTGCTCATTTCTGACTTTGTTTATTTTATTATTTATTGCAGGCTTTTATAAATACAGCCAAAGAAATTTATCAAAAGATTCAAGATGGTGTGTTTGATATAAATAATGAGGTTTGTATGAAAATTTCGTTTTAGGGAGATCTTTTTATTAAGAGTATAATTTTGGTTTATGTATGACACAGACATAAATGTTTCGTATGATACTTGTCATAGATTCACAGATTATAAGTATGTGTACATTTTGGATTAACATTTGTAGTACAAGTCACAACTTAATGAGAGAAAAAGAATACAAACAACTAAGTGCAAATTGATAATTATCCAGCTGATGTATAATTTTTGCTAATCATGAATTGATAATAACAATTTCAGTTTCTGCATACAATATTTCAAACTTTATGATAATAAACAATTTCATTGTAACCTTTCATTAATTTAGTGCATTTTTTAGGTCACCTGAGTAAACTCAGGTGACCTATTGCTATCCGTTTTCGTCTGTCGTCGTTCGTCGTGCGTTAACATTTGAACATTTTCAGCTTCTTCTCTGCAACCACTGAACCAATTTCAACCAAATTTGGCACAAAGCATCTATGGGTGAAGGGGAACAAAAATTGTGAATTTCATGATCCCTGCCCCCCTGGGGCCTGAGGGGTGGGGCCAAAACCACTAAAATTAATGCAATCTTTAAAAATCTTCTTCTTTACTCCTGGACATCAAGCAATCAAACTGTTTGCATGATTGTAATCAGCAATGAGTCCTCTACCAAAATTGTGAAATTCATGGCACTGGGGTCAGGGGTTCTAGTGCTAGGGCGGGGCTAAATAAGTAGGTAGTGAAAATGCATTATTTCTTTGAAAATCTTCTTCTCTGCTCCTGGGTATTAAATAAACCAACAAAGTACATAGTTATGATGAGCAAGAGTGCCTCTACCTAAATTGTGAATTTTATGGCCCCAGGGTCAGGGGTTCTGGTGTTAGGGCGGGGCTCTATTAATTATATAGTGAAAATACATTATTTCTTTGAAAATCTTCTTCTCTGCTCCTGGGTATTAAATAAACTATCTAAGTACATAGTTATGATGAGCAAGAGTGCCTCTACCAAAATTGTGAATTTTATGGCCCCAGGGTCAGGGGTTCTTGTTTTAGGGTGGGGCTCTAATGATTATATAGTGAATTGCATGAATTCTTTGAACATCTTATCCTTTGCTCCTGGTTAATATGCTAATGATCTAATTACATATTTAAGGCCAGGATTTATTTTATTTTCAGTTGTACAAAGCCTCCGCTCAAGGTTTTGAATTTTCAGAAAAAAATAAAACAATTTTTTTCTTTCCGATGTCAAATATGAGTCGGGATCGAGATTTCAAATTTACGAACTCGCACTTCCGGTTTTAAGATGAAGCGGCGGGTAAATAAAGCTAGCTTGGTTTAGTGTAAAATTCATCGATACGAGTGCCATTCAAAACGTTTCACCCGTTCAAAGGACAAATAAAATGCTGACGACTTTGTTGCACAATGACATGCTGGTGAGATACCGTATAAGTGGAAATTTTTGCGAGATGCAAATTTAGCGATTTGACCTTAAAAACTGGTAATTTATTTTTAGCGAGATGTTATTTTAGCGATTTTAAAATGCCACATTAAAGAAGCTATTACAAATACAATGCAATTTATTTTTAGCGATATTTAATTTTAGCGATCTCAGCACCCTCGCTAATAATGCCAAAATTAAATCCTCGCTAAAAATTCTACTTATACGGTAATTATGTATTCGTTTCAAAAGTTTCTGTCTGTAAATTATTTTCCTCCCCCAGGTTTTAAACTGCCCGTGGTAGCTATTGCATATTGCCAGCGACATTGTTTAGGTCTCTGTTATAGCTTACAGTCTAAGCATCATTCTTCAGATAAGGGTTGCTTATGCATCAGATGTAATGAATAAAACTATGGGAGAAGTTAAGTCCATTTGAGGTCAGAAGAAATGAACAATAACCTGAAGAAATAAAAAAAAAATTCAACTATTAAAAGGCAAGAATATACAAATATATACAGGCATGTAGTATCATTTGTATCAGCCAGAGAAATTATTTTACACTTAATTGAAAAAATGTTCACCGTACTCCCCAATACTCCCTGTCTGTTTTATGATAGGAATTATAATTTTAGGCATCAAGTAAATTTTAGAACAATGTCTACACCTTCACCTAACACATATTAAAAAAATGAAGATATATTGAAAGACTTTTAAAGAATTGATTTTTTAAAATATATTTTGGCCAACATCACAATATATAACTGGCCTAAACTGGCAGATGATGAAATAAGCAATTTTTAAAAATGTTCTACTTTACTATTTGTAAGCATTATGTGTTCAGTGGTAAGGAGCCTATTAGGATAGCATAAAAAAAGAATGTACAATTGATTTATCAAAAATTTTTTTTTTTTTATTTCCTTTTCCTTCGGGACTTTTTTATTCTCATGTTCATAACTAAACCTAAACATAAAAAAAAAATGCTGGCCTTATAATGAAGAGAGGGTCCTCTTTCAAAATAGATAAATTAAGGGGCCACTGGGTCAGGGGTACCATGGGGGTACTTTGACTAAAAATAAATTAATGCTTTGAAATCTGCCCTTTGATAAGCAATGGTGCCTCTTTCAAAATTTGTGATTTTCATGGCTTTTGGATTAAAACACGAACAAAATACGATCGCTGGAAAGTTGTTACATGATACTCAGGTGACCTATAAGGCCCGTGGGCCTCTTGTTTATTTTAACTTTTGGTAAGAGACAGGTCAAACTCTGAAATGAGCAACAGATTTAAAACAATTTTGACAAAAGTCAAAAAACTTTGCAATAAAAATGAAACTTATTCAAAGTCAAAATTTTTACAGCCTACTCTGGATATATTGAAATGCAGGGGACCATGCAAATTATTTCAATATATCCGTAATCCAATATAAGCGAAATCGTGAAGCCGCCACTTTTTATTAAAAGTTCAATCCCAATCTAAAATGAACAACAAACCCGAACAATTAATTCTGTTTACCTATAACAGTGAACAGATTACATGGAATATTAGTCCTTGAAAGTTTGAATAAAATTGTTTCTTTCTGTTGAATTAAAAAGACAATTTCCAATAAATTATTCCCCAATCACATTTATTTACGTTTTGGAGAAAAGTCATATGAGTACTGTTGAACCGGCGCTGCATATTTCATCATAATGAACTCAGGTTAATCCCTTGGATATTTCAAATTTAGTCTTATCAATAGCCATTAACAGACTGAATTGAAATTCAAAGTTAAGGATTTTTTCTAGATCTGTGGGGGTTACTATATTGCGTTTGCCTCAATGCTTCCGTTTATATACGTGGAAACAAAGAATTTAACAGTGAATAATTTTATTTCGTAAGAGCATGCAGCATAAAAACACATAAAGTGAAGACTTATTATTCACACCTTTGTTTATCAGTCGGTCAGACAGGCATAATTACTGTCACAAACCGTAAGACAGCTGCCAGGGAGTACTAATATAACCATTATGAAAACAACTCATTATCACCTCTTGGGACCAAGCAGTGGCTTCAATATAAGCGATATTTCAATATATAAACCGATATCAGTATAACCGTTAATTTTAATGCAAAGAATATGAGAGTCAAAAAACTGTGGACTTATTTTTATTTCAAAATAAAGCGGAATTTCAAATAACCAAGTTCAATATAAGTGGAGTAAGCTGTATCAATATGATAAGTACTTGAATATGAATGACAGATTTCCAGAACTTGAAAAGATATTTCCATGTAAATTTTAAAGTCTATGCTAAAAAAATTACAAAAGGTTTGCTATTCTGTGCATTCTGTATTTCTACATACATGTTACGTTGACAGACTAACATCAGGTTAGACAGCTGACTCTCTAGGTTATTCTTGAGGCAATCCTGAGTATCATTATCTGTGCTAACATAAAGAACTGTTATACATGTAGCCTCAAACACATAAATGAATGCATGAGAAATTATCTGAAGATGAAACATAAAATTTAAATAGTCGATTTTCGATTTTCATGAATAATGTAGTGATTGCCTAAAAAATTGTGTGTTAATTTTGTGTGTGTTCAGATTCATATATGCACCAAAAGCTGTGCAGCAATTTTTTGGTTCTAAAAAATTTGCACTGAATTTTACAGAGGGTTCACAATTTACACATAAAACTTTTGACATTAAGTCTTTCATAGCGATGTAGTGAATTTCATTTAAAATTTTTTTTATCTTTAGGATATATACCATGAGATTGTTAATTCTTTCACACTGCTTTACAATGCATGTATATCAGTAGTGTGTAGTTTAAATGAATTAGAGAGAGATATCATTATCACATTTTCTCATTATTTTAGGCTAATGGTATAAAGTGGACAGCATTCATATTTTTTAAGGTGGTGGATATCTTAAGGAAATCCCTCCTAGTAATTAGGCACAAAAAGGGATTTTCTGTTGGCATTTGGGAATATTCTGATCACATTTTAACACAGTAGAAAAAATTTACAGGAAAAGTTATTATGTTATTTTTTGTTTGTAAAATTTCAAGTTTTTGATATTATATTTTATCTTTGGATAAAAAAAAAATATACTGCTGTTAAAGAAACTTATCATTTATTTAAAATATACATGTATATAACATTTGACTTAGCATCTTCTCAATATTTCTCTTTTTTATGGTTATGTTTTTACTTAACAATTTTTGACAAAAGTAAAAAAATTTATTTCATTTCCAAGGTATTGAAAAAATATATTCATCATGACAACATTTAAAGTGTTACAATATTCCTTTTCAATATAAAATTTCAGACAAGTATCTAGAATTAAAAGATATTTCACATTGTAATTTTAATTTCACCTGTAAAAAAGGTACAATTGGTTTGGTTAATGTGTGTTAAAGATTTTTATTTATGGTTGTAAAATGTGGTACTTTGACATAGATTAACATCATAGTCATCTATATATGTGTTTATTATTTTTATACGCAATCCTGAGTATCATTAACATAAAGAACTGTTATAGCCTCAAACACATATATGAATGCATGAGAAATTATCAAGATGAAACACAAAATTTAAATACAATGTAGTCAATTTTCTTTTTTCATGAATAATGTAGTGATTGCCTTAAAAAATTAAATAATTTTGTCTGTGTTCAGATTCATATGTGCACCAGAAGCTGTGCAGCTATTTTATGGATTTAAAATATATGCACTGAAATTTACAAAGTGTTCACAACTTACACATAAAACTTTTGACAGTTTTAAGTCTTTTTAATTTTAGTGATTTTTTAAAAATTTATTTTTTAAATTTTTTTTGTATCTCTAAAAATGTAAAAAATGAGATTGCTATCCTCTCACACCCATTTACTCGTATATCAGTAGTGTGTAGATTATGAATTATTGAGAGAGTGGGCAAATTTAATGAGCATTTTCTGATTATTTTAGGCTAATGGTATAAAGATTGGACCTCAGCATTCCCCCAGCAGAAAGCTTGCCCTCCTCGTCAGGTGGTGGATCACAAGGGGGTGTGATGTTGTTAAAACAAGGAAATCCCTCCTAGTGGGAAGGGGAGGCAACCTAGGAAATCAAATTCTGTTGGCATTTGGGAATATTCTGATCACATTTTAACACAGTAGAAAAATATTTACAGGAAAAGTTATTATGGTTTTTTTTTTGTTTGTTTGAAATCCAAGTTTTTGATATTATTTTTATCTAATGGATAAAAAACAATATACTGCTGTTAAAGAAACATAATATCAATTCATTTAAAATATATAAAACATTTGACTTAGCATCTTCTCCAATATTTCTCTTTTTTATGGTTATTATTTTACTTAACATTTGATTCTTTGTACCTACATGTATGATAAATTTATTGCCTTTCAATAGGAATTGAGAAAAATAATGTTGTATCCTGACCTAACATTTCAAGTGTTACAATATTCCTTTTCAATATAAAATTTCATTTGATGGCCAAGTTTGGGCAGGGTAATTAAAACATAGAATTAAATATGAGTATGGTAGAAAACACAAACAGGTGTATGTTATAATTATGATGAATATTCACCTTCAAAATGAAAAATCATGAAATTGAGTGTGGTTAATGTGTGTTAAAGATGTTTTTTTATGGTTGTAAAATGTGGTTTAAGATAATAGATTTTATTTCATAGTCATCTATATATGTGTTTATCTCTTTTTTCCTCTGTTAAAACAATGCTGCATGTATCTGTAATTGCAATACTTCATATTTACAACACAACTGACAAAAAACACAGAAACTTCAAATCATGTCCGCATTATGTGCAATTTGTAAGTTTACTTTTATTAGCTTTATATAATAGTGAACATATGATAATATAAAGAATCAGACAATGCTAAATAAAATTAAAGATTTAATTGTTTCTTCTGAAACTAAATCACTTAATATGAAAACTTGATATACATTAAAAATCTTGCATTAGATTCCTTTGGTAAGTACACTGCATTTTGCAGATAGTACCAATAGTAGAAACATATTTCTTTCTTAAAACTTGCACATATATTTGTGCCAAAAAAGTACAAACAGTTTTTCTGAAATCAAATTTCACTTTTTTGTAGATCTATGACATCTCTGACATTTTTACACATACTTTTTCTTCAATGCCAAATGATATCCTTTTTATCTAGCAATGTCTGGTAAAAACTAGCAGTTTATATAATGTCCTCAGTGTTGTACAGTTCATTGTGAATTCAAGTTCAAACTTCTACATGCAAAAAGTATATTAAAGGCCATTAAATGTGACACATTTTTGTTTTTATTTGATAACCTCGTATTAAAGAATGCAAGGAATGTTTTTGAGAGAAGTAAAATAAGGACTGCAGTCTAGTACTGATTCTTAGGTAAATGATCTGTCATCTGTAGCATAATGAACAATTTTTTAAAAAAAATTTGAGGTTTAAGAAACAAGAGGTGTGTGCAACATATCCTTAAGGTATAAGACCAAGTGGACATGTAATGATGATTTCTTGCAGAGGAAGCTACACAGACTCATATTAAAGTAACTCTTACACCATAGTAGTTGTCTTTCCTGTAACTTTCAAACTTACCGGCATATCATGAACTTAACAGATACAGCAAATAATGTTTTTGCCTGTGATACATGTACAGCAAAATTGTTCCTTCCTGATTTACTGTACATTAATCTGGAGTAATTTAATATGCTAGTTGATCCTTATTTTCAGTGATCTGTTTTAACTTGGGTTGTCAATGAGTGACTTGTTCCTGAAATACATGTACTCGTAGTTAATTTCAAACAAAACTGAAATTTATCCACAAACTACCTAAAAAAACAAATTAAGTACTCATTAATTTCTTTTTAAACAATTTATTGCACCTCTGTTTCAGTTTATTACAATTTGCTCCTCTGACAAAGTGCAAATGACTAGAATTCATGCCACTTCCGACATATATTTTAACACGCACTTGAAATACATTTACCATATTAAATGAAGAAATCCGCTGCTACATCTACATAAATATGTCTCTATGCTTTATGTAAACAAAACAGGTGGGGTTACTAAAGTATTACACAACATGTAATTGTATCACAGAATTTTTTTTACAATAATTGTAACATCACCCTACTATGGTTAACAATTCACATTTTATGATAGTCGAGTAAATATTATGTACAAATTGCACCCAACAGAAAGTATGTGTTGCAGTTTATGCAAAACAATTGTTCTTTTTAAACATTTTGAATACCTAAGTACATGCACAATTGAATAATGGAACAAGATGTGTTTGTGAAACACTATGTGCCCTACAGCGACAAAGTTTGAAAAAAAAGCTATTTTTAGCATATAGGTCACAGTCAAGGTCACAAGGTCATTGACCTAAGTGTCATTTGAAAGAACTAAATTAGCAAGGTATGCATACCAAATATGAAGTCTCTATCTTTTATGGTTCAAAAGGTATGGCGAAGGTTAAAGTTTGCAGAAAAAAGGCTACTTTTAGCATATAGGCCAGTCAAGGTCACAAGGTCATTGACCTTGGTGTCAATTGAAAGAGCTTAACAAGTGGAGTATGCAAACCAAATATGAAGTCTCTATCTTTCATGGTTCAAAGTTATGGCGAAGGTTAAAGTTTGCAGACAAACAGACAGACAGACAGGACAAAAACAATATATGCCCTGAAAGGCGCATAAAAATAACATAAAATGTATTACATTTTAAGGAATGTAATAAAATAACATCATCTTTATTACATTTTAAGGAATGTAATCTAAAACATTAAAATATTTTATGAAAAAGAAACGCAGTCACTATGGTCATACATGCATCATGCAATCCTGTTAGTTTACATGCCTCATATATACTGCAAAATGTACATGTACATACACATTTAAAATAAATATATTTACATAATGATCAATTTACTTCATCTTTATATAAATATTTTCAACTTAACCATAATGACAAAATATAACAGAAAAAAATACATAGCATTTCAAACATAATACAGGTCCACAATCTAATATATGCCCAGAGAACTAGCTTGAGAGAACACAGTACAATATATGGAGAATATTTACAATATTTCTGTTCTTGTGCCAGTTACCATACATGTACATGTATATACAGTGTACTATATATGTATCAGGTTCTACAAAATGTATATTACACAGAATATTTCCTCTCCTTGCCATCTACTGTTAACATAACGATTGTCCGATTGTCTACCCACACCAGGCGGACAAGTTTGAGGAGATTGGTCAGGTTTGTGACCGGTATGGGAGGAGTGGCCGTCTGTTTGACACACTTCATCTGCTGAGATCCAATACCAAACAATGAGGAGGAGGCCGTCTGGGAAAATATCAAAGGAGATTACAATGTAATTGATTATGTGTTGATTAATATCAAAGGGAGATTGATTGATTCCGTCAATTAATGTTAAAGGGAGAAGCACAGATTAAACTTCCAAATATATCGATGCAAGGACAGTTATATTAATTTTAAATTAATGAAATTAATTATTGCTTTTGAAATAGTTGTTTACCTGCCAAAATTTGAGTCTGCTGTCCACGTGGGAGTACGTCACTAGAAACTTTCCATCTGTGGACACAGAGACTGCAATCACTGGACCCGAGTGGGCTTGGATCATCTGAAATGGAAAGTGAAACTAGAATGCTAACCTAGTAATGTTAAGTTTTTAAATAATCTTGATTTTTTAACTTTTTGAGTTTCTCTATAAAACTATTTAGCATTTTAGTATTATAAGTTGGACATGTGTATTTTTCCTATCTTTGATCTGAACAAAAGTAAAACAAATGACAAAGCAAGGAAGTATGTACATAATCACCTAAAATATTACCTCCAATTTACATTACCTGAGAATGTTTCCATATAGATATGACTTATCATCCCTTTCCTATTTTTTGAAGATTTTTTAAAGATTGTTTTGTATATACTTTGATTGTCCACTTTGGCCCTACACTGCCTCTGGTAATAAATTCAACTCTTGTTCAACAATGTTTAAAGATTTTTTTTTTTGATATTCCCATGTATAAGTATGTCCACTTATGGTGACCACAACCAACCCCAAGATGTCAGGATTTGAACAAACTTGCACTCCACTGTGAAAAGAAGCTTTTACAACAGACAACAGACAAATTTTGATCAATAAATATCATTTGAGCCTTCTCCTCGGGTGAGCTATAAAGGAATACCTGACACTTGGAATGCTGCTTTAAATCATAAAATGCTAGGCCTCCATTCTTGGCTCCCACCCAAATTCTCTTGGTAACAGGACACACACAAACCATGCTGAACCTGGTGATACAATGAGATGTAAATCAGTATAACAAAGAGTACAAATAAGATGTGTCGATAACACAAATGTCCTGATCATCTTTTTAATTAAAAAAAAAAAAAAACCAAGTACATGTACCTGTAATTGGCTGAATATAATAAACACTTTTTTCCTAGAATAATTTTCTGTGAGAAATCTAATTAATTATAGTCCATGGCTACAAAAAAAACAAGGTACATGTATTTTTATGTAAAAGAACTAATTGACTTACCTGCATATAGCAGGGAATAATTCCTGTAAGCCTTTGGTCTTCAATTGGTTTATGTCTAGACAGTGTATGGTGACATCCATTGCCTACAATAAATTTCAAAGTTTATCTAAGCACAGAATATGTATAAAACTGTATGAAACTTAACTCATTAAACTTCATAGTAAATCTGATTGGATACCTGTCAGTAAATGTGTACTTTAAAAATGATCAAATGTATTTCTCATTGGAAGCTTATCTGATTTCCATCTGCATGTATTTAACTAAATCCTATTTTAATACAATAAAAAATTACTTCTCGGACCCCATCCCACATACCTCTACCAACTGATCTGCCACATCGCTGGGCATTTTCTCCACTAGAAGCTCTATAGTCTTGAGTATTTCTGATTTTCCTCTGACCAGCACTGAGTTCATGATCTGTGAGTGCTGAGCCTGAGCTGTCTGGGCCAGGGCATTGAGTCGAGCCACTTCTTTAGCCATGGTGATGATAAATGCTGGGGGTCTAGCAGTAGCTATGAGGGAGAGAGCATGTCTAGCTGTCCGGCAGGCATCAGCTGCAGGGCTCAATGGAAGACCATATGTCAGACTGTAATGAAACCATTGATAAAAACTATTATTGGTCCTACAAATCTTAGCTGGGAAAAACATAGGAAAGGTCCTGGGGCCTTAACAGTTGCCTGAGTATCAAGCAATTTGACTTTAATGAAAAAATTCTCTGGTCTTTTTTGGGTACTGTAAGAACATTATACTTGTTTCTAAAACTGCAATTGCATTTGCCTTTGCATCCATGATTTGAATTTGGAGAATCATATTCCTTTGGCTCTGTTTGCAGATATAGAGCTGAATTTTAGGTGTATGGTTTCAAAGTGATAATTTTGAATAAATATTTGTTTCTTTTCAAAGGCTTTTTCTTAATGAATTGCAGAATATAAAATTAAGGATCGTTAAAGAAAGTATTTTCAACCACATCTGCTAATGTTGAGTTTTATGTATTGTATTGTTCTAAGGTTGTGTTTTGATTGGACATGATTAAATTACAGATTTGATGTTTATAATATTAAATTGTATAAAAGTTCAAAGCAACATGTTCATTACCTTGGCACTAAACGATCACAATCTATACAAAGTTCTAGAAGTCCTAACAAAACAGCAGAAACATCTAAATATGGCTCCCAAACTGTGAAACCTCGACCAATCAAATCAATTGCAGCCCTGCGGATAGGAGAGTATGCAGGAAGCTTTTTGCTTGGAGGTTGTTGTAAAAGGAATGTCAAAGCTTTACCTGTATAAAAATACATCATGTGTCAGGTTCATCTACCAAATGTAAATTAATCTAAAACCCAAACTTTACAGCATATTCCATCCAACAATAAACACCGGTAAGATTCTTAGAAAAATATTTTAAGAGATTTTTCCAATTTTTTTTTTTCCAAAATGAAACTTTTACCCCCTCTTGATTCCACATCCTGATCTCAGAATTTATAAATTAATGAAACATTTGTCTTCATTATATATGCTTCTCTGATTTGCATCAATGCAAAACCAAATAAAAATGTAGTCCAGTTTTCATCAAAATTTACCTCTAAGCTCATTAATATTATAGAATGAGACTTACTTGTATGTCTGGAAAGAGAATAATTCTTCAAGGTAAATCCTTCCTGGGCTGATTTCTTGCCTTTCTTGATATCCTCAGGTTTACGTCGACTTGGTTCTATTTCATGTCCAAACTCAGCTCCAATAACTCCCAGCATTACAATAGCTGTGGCCTGCTTTCTTCTGCTTTCAAATGAGGATGAAGCTTTCTGAAGAGGTGTATCTGGAAGATCAAAACATTATGGTACTTTTTTTCCCAATAAACGGAGGCTATAATAAACCTGCATGTCTTACATGAAGATAAATCTTTTTCTCAGCTAAAGCTCTGGCTCTGGGGTCATTAAATTTCAATGAGCTCACTTTTGCTCTCAGTCCCACTTTTCTACTATTCATTCCTTTGTTCAAAGTGAGCTTGATTAAGTTTTATGGCCCTAGAGCCTGATTACATCACAGCAGTTTTGTATGAATACACAACTGACCTACTTTAGCTAGGATACACTGTAACTGACCTACTTTAGCTAGGATACACTGTAACTGACCGTTAATCATTGGATCCTCCTAACTGATCTTCTAGTACAGTCGTAACTCACCTACTTTAGCATTTTTCTGCAGTGACTCGGCGTTCATCAGACTCAGCTGTGGATCTACGTAAGTAGGCAGGAATGGTGACCACTGGTCCAGTATCTCCTTTCTTCCTTCTGGTCCAATCCTTCTTAATTCAGCCAACAGCAAAGCCTGAGCTGCTTCACGGATCTATATGACACAAAACAATAAGTGTTTTCAGATTTGAAATTGAAATACAGCTGAACCTTGTTATCTAAAAATCAAAGAGACTGAGGATTCAAGATATTTGAAAATATATCAAGAACAAACAGAGGTTTGTCAGCAATTTCAAATACTTTTTACATATCCAACAAGGTACAAGTATTAGAGATATTAGTGTTCATGAAACTGAAATGAACATACAGTATATGAATTCCTGTCAGCATAAAGTGTACAAGCAAATGACATCTAAATTGAAACAAACTTTTGATATCCTTTTGTTTTCCACAAAAAAAAATCTATTTCATCTTAAAGTACATTAAATTCTGTTTCACCCCTAAACACTAACAAAATCAGTATTAGTCACATCCATCTTTGAGACCTTGATGAATAGTCCTTACCTCTAGACACCTGTCCTGCCACCTCCTAGCTAACATCTCTAGCTGGGGCGGTTTGAGGAATTCCGGTCCCACCATTTCTGGCAGTAAGACACAGTGTAGAGCCGCTTTCAGACTCCATCCCTGCTTTATCTGAGACTGCTGCATCATTATGGCATCTGTCTCATCATCACTAGTGCTGGGACTGTCCAGGGATTCAGCCACAACTAAACCCAGGTGACCAGTAAATCTCTTTCTGCTTCTACAAGGAACAAAAACCTTTGCAGTCAGAAAAGGAAAATCTAAAATTTTGTTGAACAAACACGTAAATTTGCTGCATGGTTAAAGTATTATTGACTTTTATGCAGGCTTTAGTGTAATTTTCTCTTATACTTATTAACTGATGATAATAAAACTATGAATGATCACTTACCCCCTCCTCTTTTTCCTGCTCTTTTCTGCAATAAAAGTGGCGTGACTCATGCTCATCAGAGTATTTGCCACAGAGATGATAGACAACAGATGATTAGTTGTCACTGCAGAAGAGATCTGCCATCGAGCCTTTGTAGAGAATGCCTTCATTTCATTCTGGACAGCAGCTGGACTTTTCGCTGGCACACTTTTCTTACTGCCCGGATCACTATCTTGGTCACTATCCGTGTAATCCGACTGGACCAATCCATGTCTCTGGGCCAGAGCCATGGACTTCTTATCAAACTGCCCCGTGGAGGCTGACCGGGCCTGCTGCATCAATGTCACTTTACCTGAAGGGGTTGCGGATTCATTAGACATGATTTCCATTATTTCTTCCTGACAGAAACGCTTGTGCCAGCCAGGGAGCATCAGAGACATGTGACCACTGCGTGAAATTAATCCGAATGATATTGGACACCTTGGCTGCAACAGTCCTAATTTATTCATACAGAGTTTATCTAAGTCAGGGTCAAGTCCCCAGGCATGGAGACAAGATAAGAAGAGCTGGGCTATGTCTAGGGTGAGGCTCCTCTCATTGTAGGTGACTGTTTTGTGGCTAGGTGAGGCTGTGTGGGCCGGGGATCCCCCTCTGGAGCTGGATTCTGACCGAGCAGGACTGTTCTGTCCACTAGCAGCTGTATACGGTAGAAAACCTTTAGCCTCCAGTTCTCCTGGTGACATTGTGGAATATTCTTCAGTCAGGAGTTGAACTGTAATTTAAATCATCAAAATACACTAGGTAAGGTCTCTGGTCTTTTGATCAATAAAAAGTTAAAAAAAATGATCTCTATCTGGAGAAACTCTGGCCTCTGACCTGAACATGATTTTCACATTTCTATATGCCCAGTGTCACTGGCCTTGTCTGAGCGATATTATTTCTAACTTGAGGTTAATGACAGATTCAAATTACTGCATCAAGAATTATAGCCTAGCCAGGAATTATATAGAGAATCCTGTCACTTAGCCAAGTTTTAATACACATGTAGCATCGTTCACATATTTGGAATGTAATTATACTTCTGTTATGGTATTTAATCTTTTCCTGCTAACAGATAATGAAAAAAATGTCTAACCAATCAAAGATTCTGTATCAAAGAAGAGGATATGAATGTCTGGGTCCTTCAGATTGGCTCTAACACCCTGTATAAACATTGGGTAGGTCTGCTGTTTAAGGTAGTCATTCCTGTGAGCAGAGGACTGCGGGATGGTCCCTGACTGAATCTGAAACTTCTGCTGGGCCAAGTTCTTAAAGGTTGCCAAGTTACGTCGTTTAAGGGCCTGGGTCAAGGTTATGTTAGGATTAATGAGGCTCTCCAAAGGTGTGGCATTCTCATCACAGTTATTCAGGATTTCCTCTGCTGTTATTCCATGAACAACTCTATCAAGGTGACCTGAAATTTTATGGATAAATATTTTGTTATTGCAGTATACATGATTATTGACAAATGGCCTTAATACATGTACATGTATTTGACAAATCAAAATTTGAATTTGACCTAAAATGACCCCTTACCTGTCTCCATCTGCCACACGTACACTGTTCCATCAGAGCAGCTGACCACCATGAAATCGTCCAGCGGTCTCCATTTGATGGTCTGAACAGGAAACAGATGTCGACCGGCCAGCATAATACACTTCCTCTCCCTCAGACTCAGCAGTGTCACAGAGTGGTCACTGGCCACAGAACAAACACAGGGCAGAATCCGGGGCTGAAATAGTCAATATTTACTGTAAACCAACATTTATTACTGTGCGAGAAAATTTCGCAAAATTCATGCGAGCCTCCGTAATTGCAAATATTTCTGGTCGCGAACCAGTCCTTAAAGTCTCTGTGTCTATAAACAACAGAATGAAAAGGCTTGCTCGCAAACATTAATTCTCGCGAACTAGTTTACCTTAGGTAAATCGTGAAATAAAGTCGTCACTAATAAAAGTTGGGTTACAGTACCTCATTTCTGTTATGATCATTATTCAATTCTGCAGTTGGTTTTTAACAGAGTTTAACATCGTTAAACACATCTACATCTACTATGCAAATAATGACGAAAGTCAGGAATTTCGCTTAATCAGTACTTACATTACAGTTGTTTGGAGGGCACAGTAACTGAGTGATCTCCCCTCCATGGACTGTAAAGGTGTGAAGTTTACTGCCAGTGTAGATGTCCCACAGCATGACAGAGAAGTCTGCCCCACCAGACAGTAAGTGTTGGGGCTCATACCGCGTACTCTCATTGAATGGGTACAGTAGGCTGGTCACACAACCATGGTGTCCATGTAAAATCTTTACTGGTACATCTGAAATTGGTCAAAAATATACTGTAAATTTACAATTCATAAATATACAAAAACACTTACACTTGAAAACTTAAAAAATTATGACAAGCTTTCATTAAAAAAATCAGCAAAAAAGATTATGGCAAAGCTATATGTAATAAACTATTTAAGAAAGTGATTTGGACCTCTGATTTTACTTCCTTAAAACTAATATTCTTTATATCCATATATACATGTACATGTATATTTGTCAAGAATCCCATAGAAGACTTGTTAGTCCCTGCATTTTTAGTACTTTATATATTTCTAGAAGACAATCACCTTTGTGTTTGAACTCCTCTGTTTCTAGAAGTTGTAAGATAATGCTCTGTGAGGCTGGTGCTATTACAATGGAGCCATTCTCTCTACCACAGGCCACTTTTCCTTGTGATGGAATGTAGATAGTAGAAGTAATGGCTAATGGCTGATTATTCTCGTCACACTGAAAATAAAGCATCAATCTAAAAGTCAAAATGTTAATTACACCCCCCTTCAAAATGTTCATCTTTAAATTCTGGTCTGATGTTATGAGAAATTACTTAGTTTAATGGTGAATTTTATAAATCCAAAATCTACAATATACAATTGCCCTCATTCATCTGGACTTGTAGTCAGTAATTCAAGCTATATATGTATACATGTACCTCAAATTCGGAAGCAGTATGCTACAATATTTGTGTTTTATTTTATTTTATTTCAAAGGAAAGACAACAGTATAACTGTATAACTGAATTTTGCATGATTTTTCCATTACCAGCCCATCAATGATGCCTGCTGGAGGATAATGTAGATTTTCCCAAACATCAGCCAGGGAGGTGCTGCATCGTGGAGGCAGAGCTGTTAGTGGGAGAAAAAAATCCTTAAGTATCATGGCAAACACTCATGATGATTCACTGTCATGTTGTTTACAAGGCATTCAGACAACATGAGTAATCAAACACCTTTGTGTTCACCCAATAATTGATAAATGTACTTTGAAAGACTATTGCCAAAAAGCAATGTTACAATATTATGGAAAATATAACTTATAAGTGTATACAGGGTCATTTTCGCCCCGCTTTATTTTCGCCCTTCAATCTTGCAAACAATTATTGCAATTTTGCAATTTTTAAATTCACACAGTTGCACTTTTGTTTAAGAAATTACACTGTATTCTTTGAATCCACTCCATTTTCAATTCACCCAACCGAGGTAAGGGAGAAAGGGGTGAAAATAAAAGGGGGTGAAAATTTCTCTGTATACAAGTAATGTATATGTCCAGGTACAGGTATGTGCAAAAAAAATTGAAATCAAAAACTACAAATACTTCTTCATGTGTAATGAATATGATAAACACAGATTGCACTGATAACTAAAACAAACCTGGTAATCTGTCAAAGCTCTCCTGGCGGACCAAGGTCATCTGTCTCTCCGTGACCTCGGGGAGGGTCCACATCACAATCTGTCCCTCCGAGTCTCCCCGGAGCAAATATCGACCCGGTCTGTCACTTCTACCAATATGGAATGTCATAGCAGGAGAACAAGCCATGGACTGCAAAACAGAGGTCAATTTTAAAGTCAAACATTGACACTAATAGAAACCTTTTCTAATCTTTTCCTAGATTTGTTCCTTTAGATATGAGATTGAAATTTAAGTTTTCATTCTCACAGTCTTCAGGAAAACAGCATTCCCAGACAGTAAATGCAAGACAGGACAAAAAAATCCCCAAAGACAATGAGAATTGTAATGACTGAGTTGAGTACTCACAGACTCGGAAAACATGTCCAGGATGTAGTAGGCATGTGGTGAGGTCTGATTAGAGGGTTTACGGTACTCCACACTCTCCGCATTGGCACTGCAAAGAAAAATAACAAAAACTAAGAAGCTATACAGTTAATTTGTAAATTTACAAATATTTTATCCATAAGTGTATGACCAAATTCTTAAAATAACAGATTACTTTTCAAAGTTTAAATTTGCAGATTATTTCATTTTGTTTTTTTAATACTCAGTACCTTATAATCCGAAGTTGATTTTTTTTTTTTGAAGTTTCAAAAGTTCTAGCATTTTGTCTAATTTAAACGGTCTTTTCTGAAGCATACACTGCACTACTGACATTACTGAATGAAGTATCCTCTGCTTCTAATAAGCAGAACAGTACAGAACAACAAGCAGGCAAACACTAATGACAAGACATTATTAAAAGTTGTATTATAGGCCATCACATTCAATGTCAACATTATCACAATCAGCACAAGTACAAAAACAGGAAATTCCCCAGCAACAACAGTACATTTCATAGTTACTATATCTGTATATAAACAAATGCATCTATACATGTATCAATGCTAGCTTCTGTTAAACATTGTATTCTTGATGCGAGTCCTTATACCAGCATAAAACATGTAGCTCTAGCGAAAGATCCAGTGTGCCTAAGACAGAAAAGTTCTGTTTTGTTTGTTAATAGTTTCTGACAGTATGTTAAAAATAAATCAAAATGTGTTATTACAAATATGCTTAAATCAAGTGGGAAATAAAATGAAAAAAAGTCAAACAACATTAAAAAAAATTCTTTTATAATAGGGAAGCTTAAAAAAATAATAAAAGAAAAATTAAAGGTTTGAAACATGATACAAGCCAGTCAGACTTGAAAACCCAGGAATGACTGGTGAAAGAGGTTAATGTAAAGGGTTATTGCAGTAAAATTGAAAAATATCAAATTAAGCGAAATTTAAAGTTTCATTTTTAAGAATGCATCAGTTACCTTTCCAATACTTTCCCCTTAAGCAAACTTGAAAGTGAAAATAAATCTAATGGTTACTAAAATGAGTAATTAAACAAAATGCAATTCTACAATGACAAATGAATATACATGTACTGGACAACAAAATATGATTCTAAACAAAACAACATTCAATTCTTTAAGGTGAAATTATATTATCATTTATATAAGCATCTCAATAAACTGCAATGTGGTGATAAACAAGCTATTTAATAAAATGAGGAGAAAATTTATTGGATTTTTTTTTACCTCCATTTAAAAATATAGGTACAGTATGTTTTTTTTTTTTTTACTTATAAACACAGCATATACCTTTATACTAATTCATGTAACATACCCCTTCAACTTAACAAGTTTCTTTTTTAACCCATATGATGGTTAGTGCACGAATCATTGTAATGACATTAGTAAGATTGATGAAATGCACACTATGTATATTTCTGTGTATATATATATATATATATATATAAATATTACAAAGATTTGTCAATAAAAAGTTTGGAATTCGGGTTAATAATAAAAGACTCTCAACATACATGTATTACACATTTTGGAGCATATTTCTATTCACTATAAGAACACAGCACTACCAGACTTGATCCCAGTTTCCTTGTTTTTTTCTCACCTGACAGGCAGCTTATACAGGTAACCTTTGCCCTCATTACTCCAAACGATGACTTTGTCCACACTAATGAAGTCTCCACCTGACCAACGCTCACCACACCTGTTAGACTCCGAACATAGCAGGGTGAAGTCTCCTGCATCGTATATCTACAAATAAGACAATTTCCTTTGGAATATCCTTGACTGGTTTTTTTGCACCATATTTTGTCCTTTCAAACACCAAACTATTTTACCCTATACTGTAAGAAAGTTAATTTTTAAGTTTAAAAAAAACATTCTTCATAACAACTAGGAACTTCCAACTGCAAAAAAAATAGGAAGTCTTCATATTATGTATTTTAATTGCTATATAAATCTGCAAACAAATCACAAGCAACACCCCCCCCACAAAAAAAAAATCTTGATAACTGATGTCCAAGGAAATGATAAATATTGATTAATGAATGCTCAAAAATTGTAAAATTGCTCTAAAATGTACTGAGTTTTGGCTTTGATCAGCCGACAAATATTCCACATTTCTCCATAATACATTATCAGATTTGAGGAACTTAGATATAGATTCAATAAGTTGCATGTTTCTTACCTGCCAGTATTTAGAACAAACAATAAGAACTGTCCTCTGATTGTATGGGCAGCATGTCAAAGTTTGAGCATTCAGACAGCGGATCTGTTTTGACTCGTTCTCATACACTGGCTGTGTCTGGAAGGAAAACAAAATAAATTTAAACTAACTTACAATCTGCAAGAAGTTTATGCATCCCTGACAAAAATTCTTTAATTTAAAAAAATAACGAATTATTTTTATTCCCTGTACCTACCATGGCTTCATTGCCAGTCAGTGTCCAAACCTTAACAGCTCCAGAGTTTGAAATGGCTACCACAACATCATCTAAAATGCACAAATGTGTTTGAAAATTCTGAGAGCAAATGGTGTATGTTTTTCTTACTAATAAATTGTCAAGATTTGAAAAATTGACCTAGACAGAAATTAAATTTAATTCTCTTTAAAGGCAAGCACAGTTATTTTCTTGTAATTTAATTCAATGTGGTTGCTGTAAAGACATTGTATTACCTTGACAAACAGAGCGGCCATCTTTTGTGACTGGATGAATGATACAACAGGCACTGATCCAGTCTGGTGCTATCTTAGATGACAGTGTGTAAAGGATTTCTAAGGAGTTAGGATTAATGATAAAGATCTCTGGATAGTAACCATTACACACTAAGCGAACATCCTTGGATACTTGAAAATGGTAAGCCTGAAAGGAGTATATATGATAAGAGCCAATTTTGGCCCCCTAAAAATCAATATTTTACAATGACTATCAGATATGTTTAATTGATATTTATTTTGAAGAAGATATTATATTAGAAATATTTCTAATATATTTTTCACATTTATATGCACTCTCTAGCTGTAAATGACTTGAGAAATAATGCTATTTTTGCTATCTAACAAAAAAGCCAAAAATATGCCTTTTTATGTTTTTTCTTATGGGAAACATAGAGCGCAGTGTAGAACACACATAATTTTTCTGTCACTAATCAGTATTGGATAGATACATCTTTGATAAAAATATAAAGCTTGTTCTAGGCTGCACTCTATATTTTCTGGAAGAAAAACTGCTTGAAAATAAGCAGTTTTATACAAAATATGCTAAAATGGCGGGAAAACGTGATTTTTTATATGTCATATTTCTAAAATAACGGCATTTTGATCAAAATGAAAATGACCAATAAAGGTCGCATATATAGCTGTACAAATTAAAGCTATATATGAAGTAAAATTAAGATATTCATTTTAATTAAGGGGCCAATTGAGACACTTACCATATATCGCTCTTTCAATGAAACATAGATGAATTTGAATTTAGACAAAAACTCTTATGTCCAATAGTTTGAACATGTTTTTCTCCCCAGATCTGAGGACATGATAAAAAGTAAAAGTAAATGGATAAATCAGTACAAACTGAACTAAAAAGTTACCTGCATACAGGTGTGGATGTGGGGCATCTTTGTACTTTCAACACACCTACCATCACTAATGTCCCATAAACACATCTCTCTGGCAATATTAATCAAGAAGACGATTAGTATCTCAATGGTGAAAATATGTTTTTCAATAAATTACATGCACTGTCTGATACACTGTAATCATTTTGGATTTAAACTCATATGGAAAATGAATTAAAAACTTTTCTAATTCTGATGAAAGTACAGGTTAACTTTGGAATTTCGAACTTCAATATCTCAAAAACCATGAAATCATGACAAAATGATTTTAAATTCTCCAACACTTATTTGTTTGCTTTTGTGTTTTAATCTCAATATATTGAATATTTTGATTTTTTTCTTCTTAGTCACTGTTTTCAACATAAGGAGGTTTGACTGTACTTGGTTTCTTACCCATTCTCTGAAGCACTAACAATGTAAGGGGTATCTGCTTTTTCACTACCTAGTGCCAGGCAGCTTATGGCAGCGGTGTGACCAAACAACATACTGCGTGGGAAGATCTGTAATGGTTAACACAAGAAATGTATTAGTTCTTCACAGCATATAATGAAAAATTCTAAATTAAAAGATGCATTAACAAACATATATATCCTGTTGAAAAGTAATGCTTCCTGTACCACAATCACCATTATAACTAGATAAAATTGGTTAATAATGAAGAAAACTAAGCATGTTGACCTAATATGACCCTGGCCAGAAGGATATACCTCTTGCTAAATTTACTTTTATTGAAAAAAATTACATGTATGAATTTTTAAAAATAATAATAATGTCATTTTTATAATTTGAAAGTTCCTTCTCTGTACTGACCTGGGAATTCTTAGCAACATCCCAAATAGCAATCTGTCCATCATTGCATCCTGTCACTATATTCTTCTGATCTGGGGTCATCAGTATTGCAGCAATACAGTGGGTTGGTGGCTTTCTTCCCCATAGTACCACTGGTACTACCAAGTTACTGCTTGTTGACATTGCCACTCTGTTTCCTATATTGTTCATCATAGAAGAGAAGTTTTAATTTAAATATTTGTTTTCAGATTTCCATCAACTCTTAATATTTTTAACGAGAAGAACATATTTTTTCCTTTATCCCAGGAAGTTTTTTTTCACCGGTGTGAGATACACATTCAATTTCATTCATTTGTGCAAGCTTCAGTTATCTTTCCAAAATATGTCATTCAGTGCACTATGAAGGATTTGATTCATAATTATAAGAGATGGACATCTGTAAAGGCAATTCACACAGCTACTTAAATATCCAGTTGATTATAGATGTATCTAAAATGACAGCTGAAAACACATCAAATAGAGGAATGTATCACTGATCCAAAAAATTGTTACACTCCTTGTGTTTATAGCTGCATTTATATATTTGTAATTAAAATCACAGGATGACTGCTAAATTAACAAAAATTAAATCCACTGGAAAAAAAAGAAAAAAACATACCTCTATCCCGAATTTACTCAAAAATCAGAATTAGAACATGCAACTCGGTCGGCTTATAGCAAAAAATGCAAATAGAAACTACCTGTATAATATTCTTCAACTATTTTTGCCTCTTCAGAAAAAGAAAAGCATATTATGGTGTTGTAATTATTATCTGTACACTATCATGAAAAAGTTACATCGATTTTCTCATCTGTCAATCTACTTGACCCAACAACTCAGCTATGACAAAATAGTGCTAATTGAATGACGATTTACACTTGACGTCTTTTTATGTCGAATGATATCAAAATATTTATTCTTTTATTTTAAAAAATACGAATTCAATTATACTGGGTAAATTTTTTTTTAATTTCAAAAATGATTGTGCGTATGAATATCAAATAAATTTTGTCCAACTTCCGGATTGGATTTTTTATCTTTATATTTAGCCTACGCAGCTTATTTGTACAAGCGTCGGTGGTGTAATGGTCAGCATGGTTGCCTTCCAAGCAGTCGATCCGGGTTCAATTCCCGGCCGACGCATGTTTTTGTCTTGTTTTCTTTTAAAGTTTTTTTTTCAAGAATGTCACAGGGTGACAATTACTTGTTTTTATTTTATTTAGTATAATTATTTAGTACAGCTAGTATATTAAGTTACTGTAGTTGATAAGATAGCTGTAGTAAATTCCTTTCATTCATTCATTCATACCTGGTCATTCGTTGTCATCGTGTTTGTATTGTATTCTTGTTTGTCCGGTGTTCCGTGCCACGTGAGTATTATCGTTTTACAAACAGCGTGACAGTTTGCTTGATAGGGCGTGCTAAAATTTTGTATGCCCATTATCATTTTACTCATCGATTGGATGTTTGATTTCAATGGAATCAATAATACTTTGCATATGAAACAGAGAACCCAACAATACCACTGACAATACTGAACGACATGTTTACGAGTATGCAGTAAACAACAATTACATGTGGACGGACAAAGCAAGTTTTACAACCTAAAATGATAGCTACATTAGTACAACAGTGGCCGAGTAGCCTTGCTTACTAATTCCATTCTTTGAGTTTTCTTATACATGCACGTAGGCCTACATAAAACCCCATGCGGTCAAATCACAACAAATATAATACACGCGTTTTTTGAAGACAGAAAGCGGTCTTAGACAGACCACGTGTTGCTGGTGAGTACAAATGCCGCACTGGTGAACAATCATTCAATGTGATTGGCCGATATTATCAGGATATTGTTGTATTCTGGGCTTCATATGCAAATTATTATTGATTCCATTGAAATCAAACATCCAATCGATGAGTAAAATGATAATCAGCATACAGAATTTTAGCACGCCCTATCAAGCAAACTGTCACGCTGTTTGTAAAACGATAATATTTGGTTGTCACGTGATTGTCTTGTGGTGTATTATTATCCTGGGTGTAAATGGCAGAAGAAGTATGTATGGGGTGTCGTAGTTATGTACGCATGTGTGAGTCCTGGTATATTACTTATGCACGGACTATTCCTTTTTAATCTTGACGATAATTTGTCAATTAATAAAATATGTGGAACTTTCATTGAGGAATATTGTGTTGCATTATCATTCCCTGAGATGGGAGACCCGTGACAATGGCGCCCAACGTGATTTATCAGATTTATTCTATCTATGAAAAGGAACAGTAAACATCACAAATACAGATATATTTCTCCCCCAAGATATATGCTAAATTAATATCTCCTCAGAATCAGTGATAATCAAACCCCTCTTATAAATGGGTTTTAAATATTAAAAATCTGAATTAATTATTGATTAATATTTATTAATTTTTATTTCAATTACCATTCATCACTTTATTAGAATTTGCATATATTTTAATCTTTATTTTTATTTTGATTAAGCTTTTTCTATGGATCAGCTTAAAACAGAGTATAGGACGCAGTCCTGTTTATGTACATTTATCTTTCCTATCAATCTTTGAGCATGCAACACTTTAAATGTATGTATCACAGACACTTCAAAGTTTCTGTAATATCTTTTTTTAATCCAAAGCCGAATAATTTATTAAACTTGAGTATGGGTTAAAAAATTATAACAGAAAGAAGTGCTTGTGTGAAAACCTAGAAAATCCATAACAGTGCATGGGGAATTTGAGGAAAAAAGTGAGGAAAATACATACTAGTATACATTGGATTTACCACTGACTGATAAAACAAAAGTCAAAATTTGAAAAAAAAAAAAAAATACAGTTTCAATATTCTGAACAATTGAAAAAAAAAGGATTAAATTACAAAATGGCTAAAAACAAAGTTTGGGTCGGGTGCATTTTCAGTGGGTCGGTAGGCAACTGCAAACAAACTTATTTTTATTTTAGGCCCTGGGTCAAGAAAATGTCATTCACAATTTAAGCTAATATAATTATTTACTATAATGTTTTCGTTACCTAGAGCAAAGCAGTTTATATATAAACAAATCCATCTCTTTGATCCTTCTCAGTAAAATTTACAATTTTAAATTAAAATTCTTTTAATTATTTAATTAACATATGACCGTCGTCTGGTTTCTGGAGGGGGGTCTGTTAGTTATACGTACCTCTCCACTGATTCAAACACCAGGTGCTATACGACTGAAGAGGAAAAAAATACTTATAGCCTCCCCAATGTTTACAACCTTCCGACGCCCCTATTGTTATCGAATAATTTATAATAAAATGTTAAAGTGATTTTTCGAATCCTCTTTCTTTACTCTTCACTTAGATATTCACAGTAGTGAAGGAGAAACTTCAAGAGTGCCGTGCAACAATATATCCGAGAAGTGGTGTAAACCGGATGTGGATACTTAAAAATTCCAAGGAACTTTTGGATGATTTAAAATCGCAAGATTTTAGAAAAATCAACATCTTAAAAACTTGCAACTCTTTCAGTTCTATACACGAACATTCCTCGTGATAAATTATGTCCAGGCTCTCTGATATCATTGATGGCTGCCTTTTTAATGAAAATGGAACTCGTAAATTTATTTACCTTGTCATTAACATTCTGATTGTACACACAATGACTCGATCTGAAGTTGACATCAAAAAGATGCTTGAGTTTCTGATTGAAAATAATATATCTGCTTGTATATGTTTCTGAAGACCAGGTCTTCCAACAATCTATTGGAATTCCCATGGGTACCAATAGCGCCCTGTTATTAGCAGACCTTTTTTTGTTTTTATATGAAGCAGGATTTGTCCAAAATCTTATACGTGAAAAGAAGAAAACTCTTGCTGTGGCCCTCAACTCGACATTGATATATCGACAACGTATCGTCATTTATCAATCCTATGGTTATTTCCATTCTTATGTAGATACAAAATATCCCAGTGAGCTTGAAATTAAAGCGGATACCACCGAGTCTGACACATCATTCTGTTTCATATTTGGATTTTTTACTTGAAAAAGACATTAATGGTAATCTAACAACCAAGTTCTATGATAAACGTGCAACTTTTCAATCGTCAACTACTCAACTTCCTTTACTCATGCAGCAATATACCTTCATCACCTGCATACGCAGTTGAATCGATACCCAAAAGCATACAATTTCTAAAAAGAGGTAAATTATTGACAAACAAGTTGATGAAACAAGAAAATCAGCAGTCTCGTTTAAAGTCATCATTTCGTAAGTTCTATGGTCGATACAATGATTTTGTCAGCAAAACAATTTAACATCGAGTCAAATGCTGACTCAGATTTTCCATACCACTAGTAATATTTACATTTACATATGGGTCATTTTCAAAAAATGTCCAAATTCCTGTTATACAAGGTTTTTTTTGAAAATTTTGCAATAAAAATCAAATTTTTTTACCCAATGAATTTAACAACAATCTATAAGTCAAGAAAAAAATTAAGAGCGATTAAAAATTGACTTGAATACTGAAAAAAGTCCTTCAACCTGAGTAAAATTAAAGAGAATTGCTTGTGATTTCGCCGAATGATTGACTTCAACTCTGATTATTGATGTAGTAAATATAATTAAGCAGTGTAAAATGACCTTTATTGTGTTGTACATGTTTAATACTGTCTAAATGCATGCTAAAATGTGATTGAAAAAGAGTAAGAATATGATTTTTTTAATGATAAGTGTGTGTTATTTTTGCCGTGTCCTTGGAGTAACCAGGACATAAAAGTTATCTGTAACAGTTATCTTTCCTAAAGAAACTCTTCACTATCAGCCTCCCTCTTTTGGTCTTGTTCCTGCCAAAATATCATGAGACACTTTACACAGATCTTTTATACCATAGGCACAATATGTGGTTGAAGGCAAGTTTGATTGCAATAGTAATTTATTTTTGAGTCCTAGGAGTTACTTCGATATTGTGATGATAAATTAATTTGCCATTTCTTTGATGCATTGAGCAAGTTTATAACAAAATACCTATCATCTAGGAGCTGTGCTTTATGTTCATAAGTCAGTTATTGCTTTTATACTTCCAATTATTTATGTAATAATTCCCTGGTGTTACTGTCCATTTTGTTACTGCAAGAAAAGTTACTCTAAGGATGTATCTAGTTACTCCATGGACAATTTACATAGAAAATAATTAAAAAGAATGAAAGTTGGAGTCAAATGTTTTATTTTTCTCCCTTATTTAAAACTAACCTATAACTAATTTTGTTTTAAAATGCCAAATTATTTACTAAATGTTTTTACCATTTGAAAATCATATGATTTTGCAGTCTTGGTTATGCAAAGGACAGAATTGGGTAACTCCGCGGACCAATTGAAAAAAAAAAACCTTTAAATTGCCAATTTTAATACAACATTTGTGTAAAGTTTATTACAATATAAAATAACAGAAATATTTTTATCAAATTGGCATTTATTTTTCATATTATGTTTCCATGAGCTATAAATTAATTCAATAAATAATTTGAGTAACACAAAGGACAATGTTTGGTAACACAATGGATGTAAGAACGATTAGATATTTATGTTATTAATATACTCTTGCATGTTCTTTTGTTTCTGTAGGAAAATTTACAACTTTTATTCCTTTTGAATAAATTGAAATATCAAAATTCATTATGTAATGCAATCATATCCCCTTTTATGCTCTTTAAAGTAACCTATGGTAACACCATAGACAAATTCAGTTACTCAAGGGACACAGCAAGGATTAAAGATAGAAAAATGAAACAAGCGTATTGCATATGGAGTGGTAATTGTGTTCATTGTATTGCAGAAAACGAAAGTGGTGGGATATTGCAATTCAAGTAACAATAAATAATGAAGTGCTAAAAATATATGATGGTTAAAAATGGTTACACAAAGGAAGTTTTAGGTAACACAAGGGAATGTGAAATAAGGCAGAATATGATTTGTTTTCTTTAGTCTGAGGATTCTAGTTATGTTCTCTTGATGAAGATGATGTAAACAAGACACATTAAAAAGTTGCAATGAAGCCAATAGAATCCAAGATGTAATAGATAGATTTATATCATTGAATTGAAAATATCTTTAAAGTTATAACAGATACGGAACATTTCTTTGCAAATGCATTTAAAGTCCTTTAATCATGTAAACCCTTAGATGAAAAAGTCACAAATTGTTCATAACTGTTCTAAAAGGATTTCAAAAGATGTTTTCAAGGAGACAATGTACCAGTCATTACCCTAGAATACAGTTGTGCATTTAGTTGAGGATGTTCTTCAGATTTGTCCAACTGAAATCCCTCGTGACTGTTCTACATCCTGTAAAAGTTGGTGCTGAAAGAAGTTTTTAACCTTGGATGTACATAAGCTTTTGGAAAGTGGTGGTGAAGATTATACAGTCGAGGCAGCATTGGACAACAACAAGGCCAGATATGGTGGCAGACCACTACATTTCAAGCCACTTTGTTGGATTGTTACCCTGAAGAACTGTCAATGAGAGTTTGGCAAACGATCAGTGGATACAAGAGCAAAAAGGGCAGAAAAATATCAATGAAAAAAATGAAAAAGATTACAAATTAAAAAAAGTCAAGAGTTCCTGATAGGAAATCCGACTAAAGAAACTGAAAAGACTGACACCCCGGAAGAGAAAGAATTTGAGTCAATAATGAACATCAGACTACAGATGAAGAGAAATCAGATCCTTTGGAAGAGAGACTGGATAAAGATACAGAAAAAATGAACTTAAATGTATGCACGGGATTAGACAGAACCTAAAACCATGTTCCTTTTTAACATGCCAAAAACTGTAAAAGATAAAAGCTGGTATAGCATTGCTAATGTTTTAATAATATTGTCACCATCATATCTTGTAGATGTGTATTATGTAGAGAGCTCATTGTGGAAAGAGGCTAGCTGTAGATAAATGAAATGAAAATGTAAAAAATCCATAAAAAGATTAATGCATTCTATATATTTGAAATCTGGTCATTTACAAATACATGTACATGTTCTAGTTTCACAATTATTTCTTCATTGAAAAATTAGTTCTAGCTGATCTATGACTCATCTATGTAAACCTCTGAGTCTTTTAAAGGTGTCCTTTGTGTTATTTTTTGTCATTGGTGTTACAGCTTCTGCTTGGATATGTAAATACACTAACAAGTACTGATCAATGATTCAAAGTCATTTGATAGTAATTATTTATTATTCGGGCATAACAATTTGATTTCATTTTTCTACTGTCATATATCTTATGATTGGATAGTTATGTCTATGTTGTTACTAATTTATCCTTGGTGTTACTAGTCAGACTCAAAATGTATAATGAAAGAAATCCCCCGCCAAATTTTTATGTTAAAACCATATACTCTTATATTCACCTCTAGGGTAATTTCATTACTATCCTTTTTGGAAGGAAGTAGAACAACTTTATTATTTCTTTCTAACTATTACACAAAATATCCTTAGTGTAACCTTTATATCCTTTGTGTTATGCAAATATCCTTGGTGTTACCAACACATTTTTCTTATATTTATGTTCTAAATCTTTATACAATTTTATCGAAACTTGCAACACAATACTGTCATTTTCTAATACTAAGTTTATTTGCAAAGCAAGTATTTTGTGCTGAGGTAAATGATGTATGCCTTAAGTATATAAACGTGTAAGATATATACAAAAGTTACAACACTTACAACTTCCAGCTATACTTTATCTGATAATTTTGTGTTATGAAACTTCAGTTTGATTCAATAGAATAATTTTATCACTATGTTGATATTGTTATTCTAAAAACCTTAATTTTTTTTTTAAATTATGATTTTACTATGACTTTTAACTAAGTAACACCACCCAAGTGAAAATTTTTTCAAACAAATCACTTACAAATTGCCTACAAATTGCTTCAAAATCACTTAAAAGTGATTTGTTTCAATGATTTGTAAGCAATTCATTTAACAAATCATGCTTAAATCACCTTCTACCAAAATGGTGACTATGATTTGCTTACAATTTGTTATGAAAGGGTGATTTGCTTGTGATTTCTTTCCCATTTCAAACAATTTCTGAGTGATTTGTTAAACTTAGGAAATTGTTACAGTGATTTCTTCATGATTTGTTGAACTTAGCCGTTCTTCAAGGTGATTTGAAAATGATTTCTGGAACTTAGTCTTTCTTCAAAGTGATTTGAAGATGATTTGTTAACTTTCTTCTGGATGATTTGTAAATGATTTGTTGATCTCATGGTCCTTCTTCAGAGTGATTTGAGAGTGATTTACTTCACAACTTCCGCCTGGCTTGCTGATTGGTCAGTATTAGAACTCTACCGCCAATTTTCATTTATCAGATTTGAATTGAAATGAAAGGAGTTAGATGGTGCTGTTCTAGATTCATACCTCTTTTCTTGTGTTGAAACTGATGTTTTTTTCCATAACCATGCAAAATATAGTTTTAAGGTATGTATAACTGTATTATGCTATAATTTCCTCCTTAGATTCAGTTAATATTCCATATGTTTACATGCAATTTATTGTTCTTCAGAAGACCAACAACAAAGTCGGTGGAAATTAATGTTTAAAACAAAATTTATGTAAAGCTATGACCTTCAGCAAAGTACTGGCTTTTTCAAAGTGTCTACACAAATATTTATTTCAGATAAGAATATTAGCATTTACCAACTTCTAAAAGTCAACAATTATATGCTTATAGCATATTCTGAATTTGGAGCCAAGTAGTCATATGTGTATATCTAAAATACATGATGCCATCTTACATGTAATTAGGACACATCCTAGTAAAAGTTTATATTTTAAAATACTCTTGCCAAAAGTATTTTTGTTAATATACAACAAATATGCATGCATGTGTGTTTCAAATAGCTGAGGGATGGTTACATGAGCATCATGCACACACGTGTGTATGCACCTGGAGTGATTTGAAAGTGATTTGTTAAACTGAAGTGATTTGTTTGCAATTTATTTGAAATGATTTGTTTGCAATTTATTTCGAGTGATTTGGTTGCGATTTGTTCAACAGAAGTGATTTCTACACAATTTATTCAAAGTGATTTCGTTGTGATTTCAGGGTGATTTGCTTACAATTTGTTAGGAGTGATTTGTTAGCTCATTTGCATGGGAATTTGCATCACTTACAAATCATCTTCAAATCACTGATTCATAAGTGATTTCTTAAAGTGATTTGTTTGAGGATTTTTTTCACTTGGGCATGGACATTTATTGTTGGGTCCATGTACATATAATGTTTTTTTTAGTATATGTTAATAGAATTCTTTGTGCTTTAACATTGTTCAGGCATCTATGATGTTTGAATGTTAAAATAAAACTTTAAAAAGTTTAGATCGCCACATTTATTTTTGCAAAATACTGGTGTTGGAATTTGGACAAATTTTGAAAATGACTCATATACATACTGAATTGACGACGGATTTTTCTGTTATTTCCCGATTATAGAGCACACGGCGGGTGTGACAAGTCGACAGGGGATGCTCATTCTTCCATGGCACCTAATCGCCCGGATGGTCTATACTTGGGGGGGGGGGGTCTTGTCCTCAAGCACCTGTGGTCGCGTGAAGATGATATTCTACGTAGCATATACACATACGCACAGTGTAAAAAGACAAACAGGGCATTAAAAAACAATTTTAATTCATGAGTCGAATATTGCTCATACTGAAATGAAATTGGTAGTACCCAAAGAAAGATCTTGAAACAAGGAGTTTTATTTAAAATGTCTCTCTCTCTCTCTCTCTCTCTCTCTCTCTCTCTCTCTCTCTCTCTCTCTCTCTCTCTCTCTCTAGGATTATCTTGTTTTATCATAATTTATGTTTTGTCTAACTCTTATTTTTCCCATTGATTTTATTTATTTATTAATTTTAATATTCAAAAAATAATTTCTATCCGGAAAATAATTTAAACTTGTCCGAATAGTATAAAAACTATTCTTCCGGTTAAATACCAGCATGGCGTCCAATGCTGAAGAAGAAAAACCGGGTATGTAATTTTTCTCATATTAAAACCATTTTCAAATATTTAGTGGACATCAACGTATATCAATTTACTTATACATAAGATTTAAACACGTATCTTAAGTATTTGATTGTTGTATTTCACTGAATGCTTAAAATTAGATCCATGAAACGTTATCATGTTTACAAGTTTAAATTCTAATTAATTATTTTTTTAATTAGTTAATCTATTGTATTATTATGAATGTTTAATTCACTAATACACTCCATGTTTGTAACAATGTCCTCAGACACCTGCTAAGTTCTCCTTTGGAGTTCCCAGTGGGAGTCGATTGTAAACAGACCGTACGCGCGTGAAACACTACTGTGATTTGAGAAAGTAAGCATGAACTTGTTCGAACACGAGATCGATTAGGCTTTTAAAAACAGGTCTAGTCGCGAAGGTCAACATAAACTATATCACTTAAGACTTAACTCTAGGAAATACAGGATATTATATTTTGGAAATTACAATTGTAAAAATGAGTGTCTGTGTGTGTAAGTACTTGGACATATATTCATTTTTGTTTGAATTAATTTTTAGTCTTACCATTAAGATTGATAGTAATGAAAAAACACCATAATACAACAGATTATAATACTTATGTCTGTTACGAATACACACAGTGTACAACAAAGAGACATTATTATTTTGAACCCCTATCTTAATTCTTTGAAATTATAAAGCATATAAATCATAATATTAGCTTACACTTTTCTCAGTGTGGTTTTGTTTAATAAATTTATAATTTTGCTCATTAAAATTCAAAGAAGCAAAGCTTGGCATGAGGTAATAAGTTAGGAGAGATGGAGATCCCCAGTGGGTCCTGGACAAGCTAAACATATATTCAACTGATAAATTTTAAATGAATGATAAGGGAACATGGCCCTTTTCACCAAAAATCTTACGACTAAGACTAAAATTTTACCTCTCTTAAATTTTTTATACGTCAATAAAGATGTTTTTCTCTGAAAAATTATTTATAATGTAATATGCTATGGAAAAATAAGATTTTTCAGCTTTAAGTTAGATATATGTTGATTTAATAGTAGAAGTGGGGGGGGGGAGGTTTAGTCTTAATCCTAAGATTTTTTGTGAAAGGGCCAATACTGAATTTTAAGTAGTCATATTTTATCCTGAATTTGAGAATTTTAGCGGGCGGTTGTTAAGAATTTGATTTGTCTGCAACACAAAATCTTTACATGTTAGGTCAATAGGCTTACTTGAATCTTAATTTGGTTGAATTAATTGTGCAAACATATTTTATTATTAAAAATTAAACTAAATAAAACCTACAGCAATAAGCATAGCTGTTTTGAATTGATCTATTTGTTACAGATGGAATTGAACCTATGGAATTTGCCTTTCCTGATGAAGACTTAGCCATATCAAGGTAATTTTAGTCATAATTTTTTAAGTATGATTTATTTTGTTAGAGCCCCTTCTATTTGTTTTGTTACATATTGGTCTTCAGAAATGTTCACTTCCGTGGCATTTTTTTTTTAAATATCAAAATATATTGTTTTTATCTTTCCTTAATGCCACACTTATGTACTTTAAAATTAAAATATCCTTTTTTTAACAGTTCCAATGCCATAGATACAAAGTTTGATGAAGCAGTAGGTCACATTGAAGATATTATAATGGGTATGACAATCTTGCATTAATTTCTTAGTCAACAATTCGTTGATAAAGAAATTGAAATATAACTTGAGTCCCTCTAAACAATTGTGTTTCTTTAAATGTACAAAATGTATCTACCCATATATTCATGTACACCGTATCTGGAGTTGTATGTAATTTTTTTTAGTTTTAAACTTTTGAAATGAAACTTGTTCTTTTTACTTCATAATTTACAACAGAGCTTGTATATTTCTTTAATTTTGTTCTTCACAGAAGATGAATTTCAGACTTTACAGAATGACTTTATGGAAAAATATTACCTTGAATTTGAGGACACAGAAGAAAACAAATTCTGTTATACAGATATTCACAGAGAATATGTAAGTATAATAGCCCCTCCCCCTCTCAACCCCAACCTACACACCACTACATGCACACAAACATATCATTATGGAATGAGAAAAATGATACTTTAAATGTTTTAAAAATTTTCAGTAGTAAAACTTAATTTTACCTCAATTCTGTGATAGTAATCCCTTTTCTTTGAATTTCAAACAGATAGAACTTGTAGAAAAGTATCTAGAAGCGGAATTATCAAAAAGAATTGAAAATTTTTCCATGGGAGAGTTCACTAAAACAATCATGTAAGTATTCAGTATGTACACTGTTTTACTTAGTCTGTGCTCAAAAGGTTTCATCAATAGGCAAAATCATGAGTCCCAGAGTAACATTTTTACACCAGCCAAAACTCCTTTTTTGTGCATCTTGTAAAAACAAATCATCTATCATGCTAGCTACATGTATATGAGACCTTGTTGTTTTATCATATACCACTTCAGCAAAGTGATCTGATTTATTTTCTCACCAACAATAATTTTATCAGTCTGGATCCTGTTTCACAAAAGAACATATGACTATAAAGACCAAAACCTTAATTTGATCATAAAACTTTGCAAATTATTTTGTTTAAAATTGTTACCCTGGGTACCATAACATTTTTTTTTTTAATTTAATTTTTTTTTAAAGAGTAAAAACCTTTTTCAAAATTATGTAAATAGAAATTTAAAAGCAGAATTCAATGTTGTTCTTTGTCATAAATTCTTTTGTTAAATGGGCATCTGGGGTGTTGGACATTTTTTTTATCAGTCTATTACACAAACCCACCACACTGCAATATAGTTGGCGATTTAAACCTACATACATGTATATGTATGTATTTTTGATAGTTTCTTTAAAAGAATATGAAAATGATGATGAAATATTTTTACAGGGAACGAAAAAATGAGCTGGAGGGAGAAATCTTTGAGATGCTGCTGACATTCAGTGACTTTATGGCATTCAAGGAAATGTTTCTGGATTACAGAGCTGTAAGAATTTATTGTTTAAAGAATATTTTAGCAGTTTTGAAAATGAGAAAATTATTTTAAAAACCATCGTGGGCGATTCTAGCAGATGAATTTTTTGCAAAATACCCTAAGTTTAGGTGATGAAATTGAATTGATACTTCAGCACATTGATACACCAAGGTACGTATTGAAGGAAAATATAGCGGTCCTAAAAATGTTCAACTTACACTTCTCAGCTCACAGTCAGCTGTAAAATCAGGTTTTTGATTTTTTTTGTAATAAGTTTATGTTAAATGCTTTGATGCATTTTTTCCTGAACCATATCCCTTTACAGAGTTTAAATATACATGTATATCTTTAGTGAACATACTGCTTGACCTCTATGATCATGTCTGTATCTTTTTTGATCAGGAGAAGGAAGGTCGCAATGTTGATCTGAGTATGGGGATCACAGTAACGTCGATGCACGGAGGGCCGGAGGACGATGACGACCATGATATGAATGATCACGATATGCACATCGGTGCAGGATTTTCATTAATGGGACATTCTTTTGGACAACAACACTGATACTTAGAATTTTAGTAGTTTTCTTTTCAAATTATCTCCGTTGCCAACATACATTGTATGTCTTTTTTTTTTTGCAAAACACAATTTTTTATCTCTACCTCCGTCCAATATTTTGTAAACTTTTGTTTATTTATACTGTATAATTAAAATAGAGCTGCATTCCTTTGATCACTGATTTTAAAGGTTTATTGTATATCGATATCCTCCTTGTTTATTGAACGCATTTTCTGTGTTTGGCAGGATTTTTAAAGAGTACATTCCAGAAAAGTTGGCACTGTTCCTGGGGGTTAAGCTTAAATTAATGAATATTGTTAGCGAGAAAAATTCATCAGTATCTTGTACTTTTACTTTGAACTCAGAATGTGCCTTTTCCTAAAAATTTAGAGCTTGAATGTGTTCAAACTAAGAAAAAAAATGAATATGAAAAATAATTTCACACAAAGGTCCATTCAATATTAACAGATTATCAACTTAAAGATAATGAACTTTATTACTGCATATTTTTTTAACCCGTGGAACAGTAGCATGTTTATACAAATGTATCCGTCCATATACATTTCATTTGCAGAATAGTACATAATTTCTATTAAGAAATGGGGCTTAACTTCCTCTCAAAAATACAATTTTATAGACTGTTTTACATTCTTGTTCAACACTTTCTTTGATTTTCATGAAGTATTTGAATTATCAAGTCCATATTTAAATTGTGCTTTCAAAATGGACTGTTCTGTATACCTGCTTTGTTTTGAAGCCACTTTGTGGCAGCTGATGCGCAAGATTTGTGTTATTGTGAAGAACATTGGTATATTGAAAGGCAGTAGCTTACAAGTGTATTTGTACATTCGAGTCTGTAAAACTCTGTTGTCAGTAAATATCCTTTAGTTTTGAGGTGCATGTACTGTAATTTCCTACTGCACTAAGATTTATTATCCATGTACATCACATAGTAGCTAACAGTCAGCTTTGTTGTCTTCTTTTCTGTTTATTCTAATCAGTTTGTATAACTGCTTGTGAAGTAAGTAAGATTGCTTAGTGAAAGTGAGATATTGTAGTGTGTGTGTGTGTAGTATTATATTATGTGGGAGAGAAATGTTTTAACTGTACTTGAAGAGAATCAGGGTTGCAAATAACATTTAAACCTTTGGGGCCATGTGGGCCCCCAACTTCACAAATTTTACTAGCCCACATTGATTTTATGGGGCCCACAATCTTTTTTCACTTTTTAAAAAATCTTTTCATATGAAAACATAAGAGAAAAATACTTTATGGCCATAGTATTTCATTATATCTTTTCAAATTTTTCCTGCAGACTTTTACACTACTAAATGTATGAAATTCCATGTTATCATTCAATTCAAGTTTGCCTCTCTTGATTTTAGTTGTTTCAGGGCATGTATTTTGAATTAGGCTTAAAAAATATTTGATTCTTGTAACATTCCCAAACAACCAAGGGTCAGTATGTCGTTTTTTTAATAAATAATGGAGCCAAACACACCTGGACTGAATTAACCAGGTGTTATATTTACAGTGGACACCCAACATGGCTGCCTATAGCGGCAGAAAAAGAATGGGGGAATTCTTGTTACAATAATGATTACTCTTTAAATTTAAGGTAAACGTTGACTAGATTGACATGTTTTGTATCTCAAATAAAGCTACAATTAATATTTGAAAAATGGAATCAGCTGAATTATCAAACACAGAAAAATCCGCCTGGGATATGAAAACGAAAGTACATGGAATAGTTGAACCAAACTACGATCTGATTCTGGAAAAGGTCCGATAAAATTCTTACTCGCCATGTGGGCGATAATATTCTCAAGAGCTGGTCGCCAACAAGAAAATTTACTCGCATTTGCGAGTGGGCGAGTGGTTATTTGCAACCCTGAGAATGTGAGTGAGTGATGAATTATGAAAGTGATGCTTTGTTTTCGTGTGAACACTGTTTATTTCTGAAAAAAAGGTATATTATTTATTATTGAAACTGTCTTGATATTAAAAAATCAAATCACATATAAATACACAAGTTTTTACAGATTTTTATAAGCCATTGACCTGTTCCATATAATGACCAAATTATAGGAAAAATCTGTGTCAACAATTAAGATTGTTTTAGAGAATCCAAAACTTGATTGTACACTGGAATGTTGCCAGAATATCCATTGTCTTCTAAAGTCTGTAGGAATTCTATATAAGTCTGAGGTATGTTGTTCTGCTGAGCTCCCCGAACTAGAACATCTTTGTAGTTTGGAGAGGGGCGGTTGTCATAGCGATCAGTGATGTAGTCCTTCTGCATGACGTAGGTACGACAGTTACTGTATATTTTGTTGTCAGGAGAAATAATGTCCACATTTATGGCATCATATATTCCTTCTTGTCTGAAATATACAATGTACATCTGTAGATGGGGTATCCCTTGGTTGGTGGTTGGATATGATTTTTTTAATCCATTTTGTGTGCTTTTATTGCTAAGCCTTATTGATTGAATTTATAAATAGACAATGAATAATATAAAAAAAAAACATATCCATTTACAATCCAAAGGATCTATAGTATGTAAATCCACAAAACTAGATCAAATTAATTCATACAAAAACCCTTTATATGTCACAACCGTGGATATGAAAATAATTTCCAATGAGCTCTATCCACTGTACAAAGGAGTAAATGTGATAAAATAAGACAGAGTTCATAAGAAGGACAAAAATATGTTGTTTTTTTTTGTTATAAAACATGAAAATGCCTGCAATACCACAGGCCAGCACTGTTTAACCTCAAAAAGGTGGCATTGGATCATGAAATACTGAATATCCAGTAATGATGCAGATACCGGTATATTCCTTGACAGAATTTGGATGATGGAGATTGTTACTTTGTGGTGTTTTGCAAGCTTAACATTTGAGTAAATACATGTATGTCTTTAGGCCATGAAGAGTAATGGTTTAGTTTGACTGCATTACTCTTAACGATCCCAGAGTTGGTCAATATGACATAGAGTACATGAATTTAAATCCATTTTGAATATGGTTTATAAGGTTAAAGCCCAAGTTATGCATTTCCAGAATAAATACTAAAGAGTTCCAGAAGTATAGATTTGCATGTTTTAATATCTCGCTGCTCATTGACCTTGGTACTGCAGCCACGTAGCATCGTTTTTGAAAGTGGGGGGGCCAGCCGGAGAAAATTTTTTTTTTTGACTTACCTTTAAAAAAGTTGACAAGCAAAAAAAAAAAAAACAAAAAAGGAAAATTGCCCAAATTCGAAAATCCTATTTCGTGGTGTGTGTGTGTGTGGGGGGGGGGGTGTTAGAGACAAAGTTTTTTCTACCCCAAACTTTTTTCAGTACCAATTTTTTGGCATTCAGTACTACATTTCCTTGATATCATTAGCTTGTAGTATAAAGTGGGGGGGGGGGGCTAACCAGCCTTTCAGTAGACATTTCCAATAGTAAAAGTAATGTTGGGAACAAAAAAAAAGTGCCAGCCCCCCCCCCCCCCCCGGTTCTACGTCCCTGTACTGGGTGTATGACCTTGAATCAAGGCCAGAAAAACTCTCCTGATAAATGATAATGGGTTTTAAAATACAGAAGCAATGTACAAAAGCTGACCGGTTCACAGGTCTTTTAAATCAAATCAGTTTATTTAAGATTTACAACTGAATATACGCACCGGTCAAGACTGGATTTATCTTTAATGTCTAACATCCATATAACCCCCCAAACTGTCCCCTCGGGATGCGGTTCAATGGTGGCAGCACCTCCGCGCCAGCGAGATCCTTTTGGGTCTGATGGGGATTTGAAATCCAATCTGAAATTCTTTAAAAAATTGAATTATTTACAAATTAGTAAACATTTACTCACTAAATGTACATTATAATTGTATATAGAAACTTTAATTTGAAATAGAGATGATATATATTTTTCCTTCATTTTTTTTTCGATATTGCATTATGGAAATTCTGTAAACATTTAATAATGTTTGCTGATCATGATTTTCAACTATAAATTATGAAGACTACCTTGAGATGTCCCACACCTTGGAATACAGCAGATGGGTTCTGTAGGGTCAACCTTTGTCGTAATAAATTACTTCCATACGCAAAGTACAAAAATGTGCCCGTCATTTCTGTAAAATAAATGGGAAAAGAGTTGCAAGACTTTAGTGTGAATTAAAATTTGAAATATTTTGATCGTAAAATACAGTGTATAGAAGATTTTTTCACATGTATTTATCACACTGTATATGTTTTTTTTTCACACATATTCCTCATGAGAGAGAGAGAGAGAGAGATGTAATATTTGCAACTCACATACATGTATATATTTTTTTCAAATACCTATGCGCGTGTGTATAATGTTTAAAAATAGACTTTTCATACCATTATCACATACACATAGAACAAACGTGAGGAAGGACTTTTCTGAGTGGTGGTGGTGGTGGGGGGTTTTGGGGGGGGGTACATTGCATAGCCACACATCTGGACACAGAGAGAATTTAAATTTACAATTGACCTTTTGTATCAATACTGAAAAAAAATTTCATTGCAATAGTTGATGTGATGGATAGATTTTTAGGCAATTTGCTTATTTATGACCTCCATTTGACACCAAAATCATTAGTAATTCTTTTTCCAAAGAGAGAGCTAGAAAATTTCATTGAAAAGCTCAAAGGGTTCTCGAGATATTGAGAGAGAGAGAGAGAGATGTCAGCATATTTGCTGTAAAATAAATGGGAAAAGAGTTGCAAGACTTTAGTGTGAATTAAAATTTGAAATATTTTGATCGTAAAATACAGTTCAGTGTTATTTTTTCATATTCGAAATAATTCAACTCAACGATGCTATAATGTTTGAAACCCATGCATAACACATCTGGACAACAATTCGTATTGAAAAACGTTGATGAAGTAAAACGGACCCCTCCCCCCTCATGAGAGAGAGAGAGAGAGATGTCAGCATATTTGCCTTAGGGATGATCAAAAAACAAAAAAAAAAACAAAAAAAAGTAAATTCTTTCCAAAATGTGAAATACCTATTTCGCGCGTGTGTGGGGGTGGGTGGGGGTGGATGCTTCCTACTAATGACTTTTCACACCATTATCACATACACATAGAACATGTAGTGAGGAAGGATCACCGTTTTCTAGTGGTGGTGGGGGGGGGGGGGTTCCAAGGCCACTTTTACTTGGTTTCGTATATACATTTAATTATTCTACAAATTCCAGATCTGCGCATGATCAATACTATCAAACATAATTCATTTATGGTACCAGTTGATGTCCGATATAGATTTAGGCAATTGAACTGATCTCCATTTGACACCAAGTATCATTAGTAGTATCGTTTTTCAAAAGAGAGAGCAGAAAATAATTGACAGCTCACATGAAACAAATATTGTCAAGTCAAATTACAAAACTAAGGGTACTTTGAGCACCTAGGTCACCAAGTGATATCCCGCCTCCCATATGATTATAGCGAGCGCAGCGAGCGTCGCGAAGCGAGCTCAATAGACTAACGTGTAAGAACAGAGGAAATTCGGAAATGGTTCTCAGCAATAAGGTGGTTAATGGGGGGTTAATAATATAAGAATGTTTTTCAGCACGAGCAAGTAAACCAACGTTATGGTCCGTGAAACATCTTTTCGGGAAAAGTCTTCCGGATAAATACGTCTCTGAATTTATGAAAACAATACATACGTTACTGTCGCCAAATCCGTATTTCAAAAATAAAACATAATTGAAAAACTCAAATCTAATAAACGTGTATTTTTATGCACAGAAATTTACTGCACACCATATGAGAGTATATAAAAGTAAAACATAAATCACATGTAAATGGCAAATATTTTGCAGCATGTCGTTGTCGCCCAGTTGTTTGATACCTACGTAACGCCATCATATAACTGAGCTTGTAAATTATGAAATATATTTTCATTTTCAAGAAAATCAAACAGAGACACCTGACTATCTTGTAAAATTTATCTGATATTAACTTTCCTTGAAATATTTTCAAACGACTTATATGCAATAAAACTTCGTCGGTTGTATAACGTTATACATTTATTAAAAGTATATAAATGTGTTAGGCCATTAATGGTGCTTATATGATGGAAATGGTTCATATTTTTTATTGCATACACATTTTTAAATCATTCTAACATTTGATGTACAGTGTATTAACTTACCGGAATTTACATACGTTACCAATACTTACGGAAAGAATATTACGCAATTCTTGAACATTTCCACATGATGTACCTCATTACTTGATGTTTAAAGTAAGAAAATCATGGTTGTAAATACAGATATGCAATAAATATCAATGTAGTACATGCATATCAGTAAATCTTAAAGTTCGATTTTCGTTTAATTTTTCATTTCTTTTTTTTTAACTAGAGAGATGTTGACAGAAGTCTAATTTTAAATTATAGTTGACAATCACTACAAAATCTGCTCTTTGCTTTGTTTATAAATTTCAGTTTATTTCAATAGAAACACAATTTGATAGTTATATACCTTAAGAAAAAACACAAAAATTGCAAGATTTTAAACTTTAACCCAAGAAATCAATAGCTAGTACAAATGCCATTTTACGTTCAAACAGTAACGTAATATTTTATCATTTGTTTTCATATTCTGATTCAGTTATAGTCTGGATTTTCAAAATAGAGTAAACTTATCCATATGGTATTCAAACAGTGTAATCTAATTACGGAGATGTTACAGAATTACCTTATTTAATCTTACGTTACATTAGACGTACACAATTCTGAAACCGTATATTATTCTTTAAAAATATTATAATTATGATTGTTTTTAAATTTATTGATTTTTCATGTCCAAATTTCAATTTAATACAGGTCATGTTTTTCATGAAAGCATTAGAAGTAATAAGTAAGTAAGATACTTTATTCAGTATTTATTCAAAGTGTTCTTCAGTTGACATAAAAAAGAGGTTTATTGACTCTTATGCCTTAAAAAGTAGGGAAGTTATTTGCCCTTGCATGATTTATATTCCTGCATTAAATGTTTTCTAAAGTGACATTGTATTTCCTAAATCAATATACACAGTAACGTATATATTGGGGTGATTTTAAAGCAATGTATTTCAATTTGTCATAATTTTGTCATCAACACATTGGTGTTATGGATATTTTACCATACAACTCAGAATTATCAAAAAACTTTGCAGGAAAAAATGATACTCAAGTTGAATTTTACGTCTCTGATATACCGTAATTGCACATTATTACTGAGAATGGGCGACATACGTCAGCCAAATTTCTCTGTGCAACATTCCACAAATTCCTGCATACCCAGATGTTTTTGCGCGAATATTGCCAATAAATAAATCTCGTAAAGCATATATATCAGACTTTCAGTTTGTAGAAATCTTTCAAAGAAACAAGATTTATTGCAATGTTTTTCATCAAAAATTGCATAGTGTTACACACAGACGCTGGCTGTATAAGCTCCGTCGAGCTTTTTGACGTCGTATGACGTCACAGCTTCAAAATGTATAGGTCACACCGTAGAATTAGGAGCGCAGCGAGCGTCGCGAAGCGACGCTCCAAGCGAGCTCAACTAACGTGTAAGAACAGAGGAAATTCGGAAAATTGTACATACAAAAATTTCTCTGTGCAACAAAATTCCTGCACTACCCAATGTCCTCGCGAATATTGCCGAATAAATAAATAAATAATGACGTAAAGCATATATCAGACTTTCAGTTTGTAAAAATCTTTCAAAGAAACAAGAAATAACTCTGCAATGTTTTTCGACAAAAATTGCACTTGTTCTATAGTTTCATCAGACGCTCGGCAGTTCTGTAAGCTGAAACGTCGTATGACGTCACAGGTAGTAGATATCTCGTGCACACGTTCGAAGTATATCTCAAGTGTTTTTGATGGTACAACTGCGCTCGCCCCAACGGTCACACCGTAAAACATATTAATTAATGGCCAAGCCCATGTTTTGCTCTGGGAGACCCGAAATATTAAAGATTTAAGTGACAGATCAAAAGGTATAGGAAGTGCAAAATAGCATTATGTGCATGTAATGAAGAATCTCTGACATTATCATTAAATTTTATTCGGTGGTATTGAAGGAGTTGTAGATAAGTGATAGGTACCATTCAAAAGTATAGAAAGAATTGCAGTGTCCATGGTTTGCTCAAACCCAAAATACATGTCAGATCAAAAAGTAAAATAGACCTGTGCACAATGCAATATGTAACATAGATTCTGTGAAAGTCTCAATAAATTCATTTAGTTGTACAAGAGGAGTTGCGGATAAGAAATGGGTACCCCATCTAGATGGACGGACGGACACTATATATCCTCCCATATTTCAAGTCGGGGTATAGGCCTAATAAAAGTGGCGCGATATGATTATCCATTAGTCATTTTGTCGATGTGGCTTTTTTTCCTATTGTATGCTAAAAATCATGCTTGTAATTCTGTAAAACCCTAGTGAGACCATGACTGGCAAATAAAATATATTTTATTCTATATCCCAAAATGAAGAAACGAAGAGAAAGGGGTTTACAAACATTTCCCGCGTATATGTCTTCAAGCTCACGTGATACAAATATTAGTCACGTGATACGATGGTTGTCAAAATGGCGGCCATTTCGCCGAGGTCGGGATCTTTCGAGGTATACATACGGCAGCAGTGGTGTAAAGTATTTGTAACCTTAAATGAAGACAGTATAACGTTGGCACTTGATGAAAATTTGAATAAGTCACTTCCCCTTAACATCAGTGCGGACAGCACGACCTCTAGACATGACCAATTACCTGAATCTATTGCTGGACAAAAGCGGCTTGTGAGAGTAATCAAGGAGGAACAAAATGGACTGGGAATTAGCATCAAAGGAGGCAAAGAAAACAAAATGCCAATACTCATTAGTAAAATATTTAAAGGGATGGCAGCAGATAAAACAGAAAAATTGTACGTCGGCGACGCCATCTTATCAGTTAATGGAGAAGATCTGAGAGAGGCAACCCATGACGAAGCTGTTAGAGCACTTAAAAAGGCCAAGAAAATCGTGGAACTTGAGGGTAAAGATATTGAATTAAACAGTGAATCAATCAGAATTTAATTTATAGGACAGATTTGAAGATTGCTTTATTTGGTCATACATGATTGCTGGGAAAATTTATTTGCTTACCTGTGACTATGGGTAAGGATTTCCATGTGGAGGGGGTGGATCTGTAATTTTAGGGGGTGAATGTGAAGAAATGGAACATGTTCCATATAGGTATTTCTAATGATAAATAGTAACAATTCATGTTGAATCCTCAGGGATTGTAGCTGTACATTATATTTTGACATTTTTCAAGTTGAATTATCCCCCTTTAATCATTTAATAATCACTTTGATGAAATCTTTTTCTTTTCTTTTTGACAGTGAAATATATCACAGATTTCAGTCCCTGCTTTCGGAAGATTTCAGCATTAAATGAATTAGGATGGGGAAGTCAGGAGGCCCAGAGGGATGCAGCCAGGGCTAATTGGACAGAAACAAAAACTATACCACTGAAACTTTGCTACCTATGTCGAAATCTCAGTATGTCTGACCCAGAAAAACGCACTATTGAATTACATTCACCTGATGGAAAATCCACCTGCATTATAAGATTTCCAGATGCAGCCATTGCCAGTGATTGGTTTAATGCCATTCATTCAAATGTCACGTTATTATTAAGTCAGTGTATCGTAGAAGCAAACCAAGTTATGTCCTCAGCTCCAAACTCCAGAGAAATTAAACATATTGGATGGCTCTCAGAACAGGTTTGTGACTTGTCCAGAGATGCAGTATTACTTAATATCTATTCTTATCAGTTTGGACCTCACATCTAAAAAGGAAGCCCTTAAATACATTTAATCAAGTCAGTAACTATATTTTTCATGTGAAAACAAAAACAGCTATATGTATCCTTGATTTTATCATAAAAGTAAAACAAAGTAAGAACTTTTTGTATTATAATCATTACAATTTATTGACATAAAAGTTATCAAGTTTCTTCTTTGGCAGCTTATGAATGAGCAGGGAAGTTTGACTTGGAAGCCAGTATTTATAGCATTAACAGACAATGACATGCTCCTGTATGACACAGCTCCCTGGAGTAAAGAAGAATGGGCTACTCCATTCCAAAGCCACCCCCTGCTTGCCACAAGGTGAGTTGACTTTTTCAAACAATTCAAAAAATGGATAAAATGTTTAATTGTTTTTTTTTTGTAAAAAGAACGTTATTTTATCATTTTCTGTAACTAAACTTTGTCCTTCTGACCACAAATCAAGATGAGAGTACTATATGTTCTGAATTACTATTTAAAGGCCATAAGGAAGGTCAATTTATCTCCAGAAAGTTTATTTTGCATGTTCAATTTTCTTGACCTTTTCCTAAAATTCAGTAATTTTCTTTAAGAAATACTTTATTCAAAAAGCTCAGAAAACTTTATATAATCTGTAATTACATGTATGATTTTACCAGCGTTTGTCCTTTTGAAAAAATGAATTGAGTTGTGAAATCAAATTTTATTGAAACTTCAAAGGTTTTTGACACATTGTCTTAAAAATTAAAGTATTACACACAACAGAATATATTTCATTTCAGACCTTAAACTTTGACCTTTTCACCAAGTCAGTGAAGACTTTTTTTAGGCCATGGGAGTTGTGATACTTTTAAGTTTTTAACTGGAAACTGATATTAATAATGTTTGAATTTTACCTTTTTGTCCTATCATCCAAGAAACTATAAGTGACATTTAGAATGTGAAGTTATGAATTGACAGACAAAAAATCATGGTAAGGATCAGGAGTTGTGATATAAAAAAAAAATCACAAAATTTAATACAGACAGAAGCTTAAGGACATGCAACTAGTCCAAAATTAATATCCCCCACTCTTGCTGAAAGTGGGTAAAAAAATATACATGTATATAATTATATGTAGACTTTTCAGGTGAGCATTGTGGCTTATGAGTCTTTGGTTAAATTTTTCTATGCAATGTTCTGAATGAAATGATGAACGTATAGATGCAATTACTGTTAATATATTGATTTATTGAAACCACAGAAGAAGGCAGAGTATCAGATTAAAATAAATAATTCAGAACAAGCAAACTAGTTTGCACTGTATCACACGATCCTGGTGTGTTGAAGTGGTTATAATTACTCGGTACATGGCTTTCTTTTCGTAATGATGATGCTTAGCCGGTATATAGTTGGGGACATAACCTGATAATAAATTTGTTTTTTTATTCTTTTTATACAGATTGGTACATTCTGGTAGACTCAGTAATCCGAATGCAGGGACTGATGTCCTGACTTTTGGTACAAGGTGTGGCACTCGAAATGGTGTTGAAACACACATATTTAGAGTGGAGACTCAGAGAGATCTAGCCTACTGGTCCAGAGCGTTAGTCCAGGGGTCTCATGGGGTAGCAGCCATTATCAAAGAAGTTACTTGCCGTGAGTTTGACGGAATTATGATACTTCACCATATGAAGGCCGTATATAAATACATGTGTATTTGAATTGCAAAAATTTTAGACACTGGATGATCTTTTCTGGAAATTTTTTTTTTTTTAGTTACCTTAAATTTTAAATTTTTGATAAAAATTTATCCATTTTCTGACTTTTTTTTTAGAAAATATCTTTCATCCCTTTTTACATTGTCTGACATATATTTCAGTGTTTTGTATGAAGTGTGTTAATGATGCAAAAAAATCAATTTTTGTATGTCATGTGTTTCAGCTGTAATGGCAAAAAAATTGATTTAAGGAATAAATAACTACGATTTTTTACTACGATTGATTTAAATTTAATCTCCCATTATATTGGCTGTAACAATAAGTCAGCTTGTGTTACCAGGAACCATTAAATATACCAGAATTATCAAAATTTTTGCATTTATTTTCAAAGATATACTACAGTTAAATTACAAAACATAAATTCCATGATTTTATTTTAAAATTTGTTTTAGAAAAGGTGCAAATTCTCCTGGGTATAATTAAAACATTGCACACAGGTGTTTTCAACAGTGGAAGAACCCAATAAAGTTCAAAACGTTGCAATGTCAAATTAGAGAGAAAAAATTAGTTCCTATTTTGAGTTTCAATAAAATTTTAGGAGGGGACATTTCATATGATCATGAATTCAGAACATAACTTTAATTGTATTGGGATTGGCAAGTATATATAGATACATGTATTGTGTTTAGAATTTCATTAATTTAATGTCCCATTCTACAATTTACCTTATATTGAGAAATCTGATATCTTTGTAAATGTTTGTCCCTGATAAACAATTGTTGTAATATTTCAAATATATGTAAATTGTGTATTTAAATGATATATCAATTTCAATTTTTGGCTGTAAAATGGCAGGGTTGGTATTAATGGACCTGTCAATCACTACGACTTGTAGATGCCCTCCACACAGTTTGCTCCACAGAACCCTCAACCTACTGGCTCCACGAAACCTGGTTTATACGAGAAGTTTATGATATGAAATCCCAGATAAACAGGCTGCTCATGGCTGGAAGTTTTAAAAAATGTTCATACAGTAATTTTAGGAAGGTAGATGCACCTATTTTACTTTGTTGTAAGTGCAATTTGTTATGCATGTTACAATGTTTTTATTTTTTAAAAATTGTTTTGTTTGGATGATAGAAAACTTCACTCTAAGTGTTAATTTTTTATGTTTGTGTGTTCAGTATATAATCTTTTAACAAATTAAAAAATCTGTTTTTATATTGAATTACAATACAGAATCATATTTAACACATTGTTTTACATTAAAATTTTTTTTTTTCATAATACATTTACCATTTATGTTTTTTTTTGGACAGGAGATTATCTTGAATCCATGTCAAACCAATTGATAAGCAAATTGTTGCACACATTTCTGTCAGAAAGAAATTAATGAGTTCTAATGTAAGGAGATAACTTAAGATGTTTTGGTGCCAAAGATGTCCCAGAAGCCAAACAGATCTCATTTTAAGATTTTGTATACTAATACTGCTGTTTTTATAAGATTTTCAAACTGAACAAAGCTTAGGTCAATTAAATAATTATAGGTTGTGATGATTTGATTATTATGACACAAATTTCACAAATCAATTTTTTATATGACTAAATCAGGACAGTTTTTCTTTTATAGTTGCAGATTACTCTGAAATTCAGAATCATTTTAAAATTTGTTTTTTTATAATTGACAAGCTTTAAGAAACAAATTTCAGATTTTTTTTCATCCACATGTTGAATTATGTATTTTGACAATAATGCATTTTGTATGTTTACAATAAGGGTAATTAAGAATTTCATTGATAATGCAATTAGTGATGATTATTTGTTTAATTAAAGTTTATGTCCACAGGAGATGTTTATAACAATTATGTATAGAAAATTCAAGGAATAAATTTGTGTCCTTGGTGAATTTTAGGTGACAGATTTAAATGCCATCAAATTTAGTACATGTATATGTACAGGTGTATTTCTTAAAATCAATTTGGTAATCAAAACGACTATAGTTATATTGGAATTTCACAAAGTGGTCCTATTGAGGCAAATTTTTTATCACACTTCTTTCAGTATGTGTTCAGTTTCATTGAAGATATTATGCATCCCTATAGTCCATATATTAGATAAATAAAGTATATATGATTTAGGTGCTGGTAGTTTGGTACATAAAACAAGCACAGAGAATGTGTATAGAAAATTTGAAATATATATGTAGGAAATCCATTATTAACATTGTTCTAGCATTTATTTGTTTGCTCTTTGGGAAAAAATTTTTAACTATATACCAGAGTATTACTTTTGAATTTGTATATTTATAGCTACAGTTCTGGTTAACAATATGCCTTAAAAATTTCAGCATTGAGTGTACATGATGGGTAGTATTTACACTTATTAATTAAAAAAGATATAATGAGCACTCAAATTGTTTCTAAGAAAATAGTGAACACCTCTATAAATATTTGTGAATTTGCACCTACTCTGAAAAATCCAGCGGGGGTATTTGTCCCTATTGGACAGTTCTAGTTTTAAATTGTACCTTAGAGGAATATCTTTGTATTCTGTAGCATTTACAGTGTACCAGTATTCTCTACTGGGATAAAAAAAATCTAGTAATAAAATACTCCGCTGAGAATAAAAGGTCAATTACACTGCATTTCAAATCTTTTTGTCATTTGCATTATTCTGACATGATGCAATACTGTTAGTATCTTAAATTAATTATGTAGTATTGTTTAATTCTGAAGAAGTCACATTTGTGTAGTTGTTTTCAAGTGAGACAAAAGATTTTCATTAAATTCCCTAAAATTTTCAAATACATTTGGCATGATATCAATTGATATTAAAAAAAAAAAAGAATTTAATTTAAAAGAATGTGCATGGAAAATATGAGTTTGGTATAATTTCATGTATTAAAAGAATACTCAATTTGTTTCTTTTAAAAACTTGAATTTTTGAAAGAAAATTTGTAAATTATACAGTTTATTATTTCTCAAAGCAAGTTATATTACTGCATGTTTAATGATTTTTTATTTTTTTTTTTTTTGGTCAGTTAATTAGGCATGTCTAATGCAATTATGGTCATTTTTATGTGAAAGAAAAAACAAGGAAATTTGAAAATATCAGTGTGTTCTTTTTGTACTGTAAAAACATTTCTGTTATCCCCAGAGCAGGCTATCTGTAAGTGAAGAGAGACTTGACGTTAATTATGGTCTTAAAAGCTCATATTTTACAACTTGCAATACAAATAGATAGGACAACATTTAATTTATTATTTCTGAATTAATTCTAGCATAAATACTTTGTTAATATTATGTGCTTTGAATGCATGCATTTACCTTGTGTTTTAAAAGATGGGATTGGTTGTGCTTAGTTGTCATTTAGTCAGGTTTCATGTTGTTATTGATTCCTAAAATTGTTGTTGTTTATAGATTATATGTTTGAATTCATTAAGTTGTTTTTTATGTTAATGTTGTATGAGAATAGAGAAATAAAAGACAAATTCTTTTTTAAGAGAAAATCTTATTGTTCTATTCAAATATAGTTCAATCATTCCAATGATTTCTTCGTGATAGAGCACTACAGTACAATTCGGATATAGCAAAGTCTTGGGGACATGCAGATTTAATTATTACAGCATTATTGTGTTTTGATATATCTAGAAAAAGTTCATAAAAGTTTAAATTTTGATAGAAAATACAGCAGTGTAGGATCCATCCCTCGTCTCCAAGATTCCAAGAGAGCAGATTGTAAACCTTAATGGTGAATGGATTCGATGTGCAATGCATTATGTTTGTATTCCTTTATTGCTACTTTACGTAGTTATGGTCACTGAAGTATGAAATGCACAATCTTTCATAGAGACCTGTTTGATTAAATTTCAAACACTTTCATGCAACAATAATGATAATAATGATGTCACTAATTTAATTTTTTATAGCTCCAAGTTAATTATTGGATTAAATATTCAACAAATGGACAGAACAAAAATCAGGAATTATTAATAAATGTCCATATGCTGACCCAGGTGTATAAAATTATAAACGGACATAATGAAAGGAAGGAGAAATATAGATCAAAGATGGAAAATACCAGGGACCTATATACTAAGTTAGTATATAGGTCCCTGAAAATACTAAGAATATCACAGGACCACAAACTAAACAAAACATCATTAATTTTTTTTTATAAAAGAAGAATTTATAAATATCATTTCGCCAAAACAGCCCATATTATAATTATCATCGGGTTCGGAATCCGCAGAATTTTCAATATTCGCGGGAAATGACAAATTTTTTTTTAGTGAATCACTGAATGCAAGTGTAACTAGAGACGCTTTAAAATGAGCAGTAAACATGTGAATAATATTTCACAGAAGTTGAAAATAACTTCTCCCACAATTTTAAGGTAGGTCAAGTCTCAGTGGACGTATTTTTTGAGTGATGTGTCATAATATACGTAGAGGACAATGAGGACAGCTGAGTGTTTATATTAAAAATAATAATAGGTTCATATTATGTTGATTTATTATTTGTTGTTTAACTTCCCTCTCGAGAATTTTTTACGTATATGGATATCTTTATGTTGAAGTAAAGCAGAAGAACTATCCCAGATGTTGGATATAAAAGTTGGGAGTCAGGCCTTAAATGCTCTGAATTTGACGGGCTCTTGTCCTGTTGTCATGTGCTTGGAATTAGCAGCTAATACTGTAGGAAAGTCAATTAACAAGGTAGGTTGTGTATACAAATGTCAACCACAAGAGTTCGCAAATTTACCAATTAAGTCAATAGAAATCACTCAATTGACCAAGCCATGAGTCATCACATGTATTAGCCTGTTAGCATATCAAACGGGTTCGCATTGCTAACACATAGCTCATGGCTTGGTCAATCAAGTGATTTCTATAGACTCCTGTGAGTCATCTAACTATGATTATAACTGTCCCATTTTAGTGATAAAAGTTTCTTAGATGTCTGACTGATGTAGATAATAGCTGCAGATCTGTAGCTCTCTGCTTGTGAAAATTTGGACTTATTAAGCAGAGAGCTACAGATCCATATGGTGTAAAAAACCTTTGATTTACGCTGCTGCTTTATGTTGCTCACTTCAGGTATTATTGCTTATATTTTATGTTTTCCTAAGCTTTAAAAATGATATCCAATAATTAACCATACATTTGACTCTTTAATATTCCTGAATGTTGATTTACCTTTCAATGGTTTAAGAAAGCAATTCAATCTCTTTTTTGTTCCATTCAGGAAGAAGCTTTGAAATTATCTGGAGTGAATAAGAAAGTCTATGCAAATGGCCTGAAAGCCCTGGAGAGTATGTTGGATCTATCAACCAAGGTCACTGTTAAAGATCTTGCTATACAATTTGGATGTACACCTGCCACTGAGCTAGCAACAAAAACACTTAACAGGTATTACATGGACTACATGTTGCACAATAATATAAGGCCAAGCTTACAATTTCAATTTTATCATGTGTTTCTTTTCCAATCTTGATAATTAAGTGAAATTTTAATTTGAAGTTATGAAGAGGACTACAAATCAAAGTCATGTAGAGACATGGACTTCTCATCGCCTATGTTTCAAGCTACGGCACTTTGTGCAGCTTGTAGGTAGGTACAACTGGCAGGAATAAATGAACAGTAATCAAATTCTTCTAAATAAATAATACATAGTTTTAATATTTCTAGCTTTTTTCGTAAAGAAACTTAATGGGAAAATGTCAACCTGTTCTGTTTATTGAGGAATCATCACTATCATGGGGGACCAATGTTCATGGTTCATTCTTACTCATGAATTTGCATCCCACAATTGTATTGGTTTATAGAATCTGTTAATTTATGTAAGTTTCATTATTGGTTTATGAAAGCTTCTGTTGATTTATACAATGTACAAGTTACCCATGAAAATATGTTCCCAGTAACTAGTAAAAATTAAATTATTAATGAACATTGGCCCCCTTAAATTTAAAAGATTTCAAAGTATTGTTTTTAGGTAATTCATGAATTGGCATTATTCTGCAATCTGTATCTTTTACTTGTGATTAGAAAACTCAAGATAAAGATAGACTGGAATAAACTGCGAGAAGTGTGCAGTATCAAAAGATCAACCTATGATAGGCTCGTAACAGAAATGGAAATCCATGCAGTCAAAATGATAGGTAAGGCCATCTTTAAAATAATGTTTGCTTGCCCTCTCCTGACTTGTGTAAAATTATTCGGTCGGTAGGTAAGTTGTTACATAGGAATATGTAGTTTTTCTTCAACAAAAATACAAATGGGTTTTGAGGCAATGCCTCCTAAGAGGTCTTCATATTTCCACACCATTTTGGGAATGGGGCCCAGGGGCCCTTACATTGGAAGTTTTAAAAAATATATATGTTTTAAATTTCCAATCCGGTAGGTAAGTGTTAAGTTTTTTTCCCAGAAAAAAACATAATGAATAAAATTGATTTTTACAAAAAGAACAAAAATATTGTGTCCTGGAATGTAAAAAAAGTTTTGAGTCAGGTCATTTTCAGTCAGTCGGTCGAGAGAGGTAACAAAACAATTTTTTTAAGATGGCCTAAGTGATAAACTGTTTAAAATGGGAATCAACTCTGTTAAAAATGAGAAACAATCTGTTAGAAATGGGAAGCTGTTAAAAATGGGAAACAATCTGTTAGAAATGGGAAACAATCCGTTCTAAAAAGGGAAACAATCTGTTAAAAAGAAAACATAAAAAGGATGAAACTAGGCAAGCTAGTATCCTTGCATGAAAGTTAAAAAAAAAAAGTGGTGAAAACATTTTTGAAAATAATTTATATTAATTTCATGTTATATTTACCTCATTTTGTATATTTTTAAGCAATCATTTATTTTATATAGAAACAAAGACAGTTGAAAAGAAGAAAAGAGTTAGAGGACTTCTGGATGAAGTTGAAAAACACCTCCAAGGTAAATTTATAGTGAAATCTGTCTAATCCGACATGCATTAAGAGAAAATTTTTATGTTGGAATAGACAGAGTGTGAGATTACACAATGTAAACAACATGGGAGATTGTTAATTATTTATCATTACCCTCCATGCAAGCTAATTGCTTGATCACATCATAAAACCATTCCGTAAGTATATCTTTAATAGATGTGGGTCAAAACACAGCTTCAGATGTGCAATTTAATATGAATATGTTATGTTAAATGTGGTTCATCTTCCTTTTCTGTCTGTAGATGAGGAAGTTTCAAAGAAGCAGCAGAAGAAAGAACAGGAGGTAGAGGAGGAAATTGATGAATACGAGGTGTGGAAGAAAAAAATTCTAGCAGCGGCAGCCATAGCCAAGGAAAAAGAGACAAGCGCTACTTGATCGAGTGGTGATTGTGTGTGATTGACATCAAGACCAAGGGCAATGAAAAAGAGACAAGTGCTACCTGACTAAGTGGTGATTGTGTGTGATTGATGTCAAAATTCAAATTTTTCATATTGATGAATGTATTGGAAATGATGTGGCGAAAAAAAAAACTGCAATAATGTGAAAATTTATTTAAGATAAAAAATATATTGTATATGTTTAACATAGACATGACTGTGTATCATAATTTACATGCTCAGCATTCTAAATAAATTATTTTGAAAGGTTAACTTGCATGCATATTCATGTGTCCAACTTATCCTGCATATTACACGTGTAGCAGTGTTAATTACAGTCAAACCTCATTATCTTGAACTCAATGGGGCCAAGAAAGAACTTTGAGATATCCAAGGATCTAAAATATTCAGGTAAAATAATAATTCTGGATAAAATACTTTTAGAAAATGGGATTGGGACCTCCAAAACGCTTCGATATACCCATGGTATTCAAGATACCAGTCTTCAAGATACTGAAGTTCAGCTGTAGTAATAAACAAAGGTCAGGTCTGCTTCAAGGAACAAGGAAGGGTATAAATGAATCTCGCATATGTAGAAGTTTCTGTTTCTGTCTTGTGAAATGCTGGCTTTGAATATAGCTTCTGACATAGAGCTAGTGTTTCCAGAGACTGTTAACAGTATCAAAACAAAAGAAATTGCTTTTCAGCACAAAGAAATGGGGAAATATTATGTACCGATACACAACTCAAAATATTTATAAATGTGTAACAGCAATTTTCATGATGTACATGTTTCTCAGGAACCCCATTTTGTTACCCTGTTCTGGTTTATAAAGCGTAAACTGCCCCAACCCAGGTTATACAGTACAACTTGAGTTGCTAATTCTTTAATTTTCATAATGTACATATTATTTCTCAGGAACTACATTTTGTTACCCTGGATCCAAAGTACTACTACATGTACATGTATATACCATATAATCCCTATTAACCGCCCTGGGCGCTTAGAAAATTGAGGTAACAAAGGCAATGGGCCACATTTAAGCTCACCTGAGCACCAAGGGTAAACTAGTATAAAATGGCTTTTTAAACAGTTTAAATCCAAAAGTAGTCCCATGACTAAGGGTGAAACGTTTAAAAATTTTGTACAACGTTTAGCAGTAAACGAAACGGTACCGTTTAAAAAGGGAAATATTCTATGTTGGATTTTTATGGCTACTCATAAAAAGGATGAAACTAATAATCAATTCTTTCACTTTAATATAAGTAAAGCTGTTATTACAAATTTATTGTTGAAAATCATTGTATTTAATTTCTGTTATATTTACCTCATTTTCATTTTTAAGCACCTCGTCACCCAACTGCTTGGTTTATTTGGTTATATAGAAAAAATAATTGTAAAGATGGAAAATCTCGAAAAAAGTAAAACAGGACCTGCTGAATGTATGAAGTTTTCAAAGACTTAAAAATGTATTATATTTATTTAATCAAAATATATCAAGTTTTATATTTCAAGTGTCGTAAAACATGCTAGTATTAGCAACTCGGAAAAATTTTTGTGTTCGAGTTTTAATATTTTCATTCAATATGTTTCCGGTTTAGATTGTTGCATCAAATGGCCAAAGACGGTGTTTCTTTGTAAATTATTTAATAAAACAATTTTTTTTGTGTTAAACTTTATTGCTGATAGACATTGATAATGACCTTCGTGTAAACATATGTTAAACTGTAAAACACAGTATAATCGAAACGTGCAATTTAATATGAAATGTTATGTTAAATGACCAATCATGGATTTGCTATTTTTTAGAAAATGATTGAGAAGATTTTTAAAGAATTTTCCTATATATTTCTATGTTAAACTTTGGTCGGAAATTTTGATGAATACCCCCGGGTGTGGATTTGAACAAAATTGAATCTACACAGCCAACATGCTTCCAATAAATATGATGAATAATGGCTTTGTCATTCTTGAGAAGAAGATTGTGTGTGATTGACATTAAATTTTCCATATATCAATGTAAAACGAGACAAGTGCTACCTGACTAAGTGGTGATTGTGTGTGAACAAAATTCAAATTTTTCATATTGATGAATGTTCCATATATATATGATGAATTATGGCTTTGTCATTCTTGAGAAGAAGATTTTTAAAGAATTTTCCTATATATATATATTTCTATGATAAAAAATATATTGTATATGTTTAACATAGACATGATTGTGTACAAACTAATTTACATACTCAGCATTCTATAATAAATTATTTTGGAAGGTTTTTAACTTGCATATATTTCATGTAAAAACTTGTCCAATTTATCCTGCATATTACACGTGTAGCAGTTTTAATTACAGCCAAACCTCATTATCTTGAACTTCAATAAAGACGATGAACTTTGGATATCCAAGGATCTAAAATATTTTAAAATAATAATTTTGGATAAATATTTCTATGAAAATGGGATTGGGACCTCCATTTTGGCACTTCGATATACCCATGGTATTCAAGATAACAAACTTCAATCTAAGTTCCTGAGCTGTTTTATAAACAAAGGTCAGGTCTGTCTTCTTGGAAAGAAGATTTTTAAAGAATTTTCTTATATATTTCTAGAAAACTTTCTGTTTCTGTCTTGTGAAATGCTGGCTTTGAATACAGCTTCTGACATAGAGCTAGTGTTTCCAGAGACTGTTAACAGTATCAAAACAAAAGAATTGCTTTTCAGCACAAAGAAATGGGGGAATATTATGTACTGATACACAACTCAAAATATTTGTAAATGTGTAACAGCAATTTTCATGATGTACATATTTCTCAGGAACCCCATTTTGTTACCCTGTTCTGGTTTATAAAGCGTAAACTGCCCCAACCCAGGTTATACAGTACAACTTGAGTTGCTAATTCTTTAATTTTCATAATGTACATATTATTTCTCAGGAACCACATTTTGTTACCCTGGATCCAAAGTACTACTACATGTACATGTATATACCGTATAATCCCTATCAACTGCCCTGGGCGCTTAGAAAATAACGAAAAGGGGGCTGTTATTTTGATATTCTCTTCCTAAAATTTAATGTTATATTTTCATTTCAAAAAATCTTATGAAAAAAAAATAAATTCAAAGAAACACTAAAATATGTCTAACTTTACTTTAAGTGAAGATAACCCATCCATATTATGCTAAATGATTCATTTTCCACCAAGAAATTGGATTATAGAAAGTTTCATTTTCACTTTCTCCAAATCTTGGCAGACTTTTGATACAATTCTAGATGATTTTAATCACTGTACAGGGGGCCCTTATTTCCTGACAATTAAAAAAGACCTAGAGGGGTGCTTATAGGGGCAGGGGCGGTTAACAGGGATTATTCGGTACATGTACATATATGTGTAGAAATGCTTTATAGATTTACAAATGAAGCTAATGTGTAAATTAAACATTTTTATTTATGAAACAACTGAAAATATCAACAACATTTGTTAATAATGACATACGTTGTATCATTTTAAACAGGTATATGGCATTATTGCACAAACCAAATCCAGTATTTATTTAAATCTGGAAATAAAATAACAAGATAGTCTGCTTTATTTGCTTTCCTGAAATATAATACAAGCACATTTCAAAGCCATTTTAGCTCAACACCAAAAATTAAAACCTTTAATAATTCAAAACCACTATCTGCTGTATAATGATTGGCATATGGTGCCTATGCATCTCTACCCATTTATTTTACAAATCTGTCATAATATTTGAAAGTACTAATTACAATAAATGCATGCCTATAGAAAACAATATCATTCTATGGAGAAGGGGGGCTGAAAGCCAAAAAACTAAGAGGTCACATCCTAAATTAGCCTTGGTTTTCTAGTACATTATATTATTGGCCAAATCAAATTTTCCCCTTTGCTTTTGGCAAGACTTATAGTTATATGTACTTGTATATGGATTCAGCAATTTTCGAAACCTTGCAAATATGAAATCCAAAAGTAATGTCAAAACTGCTAAAATTTAAAAGTTTTAAACAAATTATTATATACTAACACCTCTAATTATTTTTATTTTTGCCTTAAAATTTCATTCAAATATACTGTATAAACATTAAAATAAACATGTCAATTGGATACAATGTCCTCTTGTTATAAAATGATGCTGTCCTACGTACCCAGTTTAACATCTCAAGACAGATTACTGTAACTAGGTTTCACCAATGACTCTGAAAAACACTACATATAAAAATATCTTTGAAATTAAAGATATTAATACTAACAGTAATCAGCTCAAAAATCCACTGAAACAATAAAGACTGGGAGTAGACCAAACACAGACCTCTAAAAGAAAAGCTAGGCAACAAGATGTTTACAAAATCTGACTCTCTGAATTTTGGGGCAAGCCCTTACCAACCTCCAAATTCTATTTGGTTCCACTTAGAGTGGTTGGAGAATTAATACTGTCATGCAAGCAAATTTATGTACACATGGGCCAGTTATTATATTCATTGCAACCTGGTTGCAAAGGGGGTACAGTGAAAAAGTAGGAATGATGAATAGTGAAGTCTTCCGTTTGTAAAATGAACAAGCTTCATATCTCACTGTATACTGCAAACATGATACATTTGGTTGTGTATTCTTAATAGCATCTTTGGCGGATAAAAACTTTCACTAATTCAAGTATAGTGCTAAATGTCTTGTACATAAACATTAATGAGATCATTAAGAAATAGGCTAAATCATTTCTATGCTAAATTGTTCAAAAATTAATTTCCGCCAAATATTGTTTACGCTAAATTTAATACATGTACAGAATGTGCTAAGCATTTGTTTTTGTCAAATGTTAAAAAAAGTTTACATTCATGTTTCTTTGGGAGGTAATTTTCCACCCATTTTAAAATCACAACAGAGACTTTCATAGTATGGTTAAAATGAACAAAACGTACAACTCTGTCTTCATTCAAAACTATCAATAATTTTAAGGTTTGTATTGTTCATCATTTAAAATTCCTAATCTGCAGAACAGTGACTCTGTTCTGCAGATTCCAGTTGTCAGTATTTAAAAGCCCCTGACATGGCTGCTTTGCGTATAAATTCCTTCAGCACAGATTCGTCCAACTGGCTAAATGCCTGTGTTTGAGTCACTGCTGTCATGTGGTTCAGAGCAAAACGGAAACAAAACTCCTCAAGATCCTGAAAAATTACAACAAAATTTTAGATTCAAAGATTTTTTTATGGAAATTACTTTTTTGGGAACCTGTTTTGGCAGTCAAATGGTACATGTATTACTGAGGTTTGTTCTTTTGAATTCATTTTATTACGTGTAAGAACCAACCTTTGCTTCAAATTTGACAGCAGCAGCATATAACATGGCCACGTTGTCTGTTGTTATTCCCTTTTTAATGATCTGCTCACAGATCCGCTTCAATGGAGGCTCACAATAGGCATTAGCTAGGTCTAACAGCCCTGTCAATACACAATAATTTCTCATACTGAGTGTACTGATTTAATACATGTAATAGGTATTGACCAAAGGACTAAGATTTCAATATAATACGAGAGTTGTTCGAAAAGTTCGTGGACAACTGTTATATCTTCTTTATTTGACGTCAAATGTTATCCAAATTTGGTAGAAATATTTTAACAATAAATCCAAATGATTTCTATTAAATTTTTCCAAATACATGTATTACGATTTATTCAAAACTTATCCAGATTTTAAAAATGCAAAAATCGGATCGCGGAGCAGGTCAAAATTTAGTAAGTTACAGACAATACACTATATAATGTCTGTAGTCATATTCTCTGTAAAATGGAACAAAAACGAAAAACAACCTAAAAATTTAAATTAAGAATTGTTACATTGATTCGTATACCAAATTATGGCTTTCTATTTTGCTTTGTTGAAAAGAAATCAACTTGAGGAGATAGGTAGTCCTAATTGAAAATGACAAAAATGATGACGTTTTAGAACGTCACGGAGCAGCAGATAACGATGCAATTTTGTGCTTTACTCGGGAAAAACTCTTAATAAACTCTAAAAATGTTGGATGAATCAAGAAAATATGTCACAAGCGAGTTGTGCATGTGTGTACAAATAGTACAGACAGTATTTGAGTGACAGAGACTCTGTATCGGATGAGGATAATCTTTAAAGCTACGGTTGAACTGTAAAAATCTGAACAAAAACTTTAAAAAGTTGGAACATCAAGGAAAGACAGGTGCTTCAGAGTTGCGTATATCCTGTGAAAGCACAGTTAAGTATTAAACGAAATTAAAATGTTAACAAAGAAAATTTTACACAACGAGAGCAATTCTTCAAAAATATATGTCAAGTATTAGAAAAAAGGATTTTATGAGTGGGCATTGGATTATACCATGTGAAATGTATAGGGATCGGTTTTTTTTTTTAGAAATTTTTGACGCTATGTTGTGACGTTACATTGCCGTTAAGGGTGCTCCGCGGGTACAAAACATGTTGATTTTAAAATGAAGTAAATTGATTTCTGTTGAATCGAATGGAATGAAACTTCACACATCAACAAAACAAATATTTTTACATATTATATTGTGCTTATTTTAAATTCTTAATGAGTAAAGTAACGAAGATTGACATCGTCCATGAACTTTTCGAAACAACCCTCGTACAGATGAAATTTCTGTCCCTCCCATTTTGTCTACAAGGTGAAACATCTAGATTACTTATATCCAGATTTATAAGGCTCCAATACACTACTTGTTTGAACATGGTACTCATAACTTTGGAGAAAAAGAAAACAGTTATAAACGAGATAGCAATATCATGACATTAAGTTGCTATTGCTTGAATAGAGGTAAATGATGAAACATTTATACTGCCTCTGTGTGATAAATTGAACTCATAAGATCTATATTAGCTAATGTGCCAATCACATTCGCTTTTGCTAAAAATACTGCATAAAATATTATTGACATGTCAATGTGATTGAATTTATGCAATGTAACCACAAAGCAAAATTCCAATCCATCGGTGAATTTTTAGATACAAAATATACATGTATATATAGGTTCCTGCTTAGATTATCCCATTACATTGGCAATACAGAACAGCTCTGTATGTGTGTTGAAAAATCTTCACTCAGAGAAAGGTCTGTTAACTATGTTTCAAGATGAGAGACATTTTCAATTTCTGTATGATGCATGAAAACCATGTCATACCTATGGCTTGTTCAGGTTTCAGATTAACTTGGTCTGTGTAGAGATACTGTAGGAATGCTTTGTAAACTGAGTAGGAAAACTGGCTCACTTCTATGGAACTGAAAATAAAAAGAAAATTTACATGTAGTACCGGTACTACACATAGCATCCTACTGCCAGGAGCTCAGATTATCTCTTCCAGCTTAAATCATTTAATGAAAATCAAGAGATTATAATTTTTGTAAAATTGAATTTAATTAATCAAAGAACTAATTTATTTGAATTTTTAGACAAGAACAGGTCACTTACTCTCTCCCATCCTCGTCCCAACACGACTGGAACATGGAACGAAAATGTTCACATCTGTAAAAAAAAATTTAAAAAAAAAATGTAAATGTGAACCTCGAAACACAAGCTACATAAACCCTGTCTGTCAATAAATGCCATGCTTTTTAATCAGACTAAGACTACATGTATTGAAGAGGTAATAATAAAATAAAAGAGCCTTTACCTGATTTTGAGCACAGATTTGTGGACATGAATATCTCGTCCTTCGACTGAAAACTTCACATCAGAAGTTATCTGCAAGGCCATAAATTGAAAGATTTAAAATAAGCTTTATACGTTTTATGTTTCAATTAGATTTAATTGATGTGAAGATAAATTTAGATTAATACATGACAAATCTTACCGGGTCATCAAATGCCCTGGACAAACTCTCTACAATACTAGAACCTTTGATGTGATCTGATGGAATAAAATAATATTTTTTGTTTTTTAATTAAATTCTTTTATCTAATGAGGTCACATAAAATAGTGTACAATAATATTTAACTGCTTCCGTTGTGCTAAGGAATCATTTCAATTCAAGATGATTTTCTGAAATTTTCTAAAAATTTATAGGTTTAAGGGGAGACAAATTTTGGAAGACCAGCTACTTATAAAAGACATTACTCGCCATTCTTGCTGAAGATTGTAAATTCCTTGGTAAAGTTCTCCACAATAATGTACATCAAACAAATTAATTTCTACTAATTTTAACTTTTATATGACTTACCCACATTATAGGTCCTCCATGTTACTAATGGAGAGGAGAAGGCAGAAAACACATCATCGGTACATGTGAATTTGGTCAGCATTGGGGAGGTCAGAGATTGACCCCGACATTGACCCCACATATAGACCTTCCCCGTCTCTGTCATGGTGGCAGAGATGTGGGCATAGTGACTGGCCGCTATTTCTACCATCCTGAAATTTGTTCAAAATCAAGGACCTTCAATTATTATATCTTCTCTACTTTGCCATAACGTGAAGCTCAACAATTTTTTGTAATTCATTGGTACCATTTTTACTGCATTAAACAAGGATTTCCATTAAACATGTAAATATAAAACTATAAAAAAGAAAAGAAAGACATAAGATATTATATTTTTCTTTTGAAATCATGAATTTTTATAATGCAAGATTTAGAATTTATTTATTTGTGAATATATCATCCCAGAACCTGACCTTTCACCATTGATGATGACTTTGGATGGTGACACCTGATTAGCTTTGTTCCCAGTTCCCAGCTGTCCATAAGAGTTAGCTCCCCAAGAATATAGATTTCCCTCATCAGACAGGGCCAGAGTGTGGGCATATCCACATACCAGCTAAAATAGTCAGTATAATACAGTGTGAGTCATCCACAAACTAGTCGAAAGAGTCAATATAATACAGTGTGGGCATATCCACATACCAGCTAAAAGAGACGGTATAATACAGTATGGGCATATCCACATACCAGCTAAAAGAGACAGTATAATACAGTATGGGCATATCCACATACCAGCTAAAAGAATCAATATAATACAATGTGGGCATTTCCACATACCAGCTAAAATAGTCAGTATACTATACTGTGGGCATATCCACATACCAGCCGAAATAGTCAGTACAATACATTGTGGGCATATCCACATACCAGCTAAATTAGTCAATAAAATACAGTGTAGGCATATCCACATACCAGCTAGAATAGTCAGTACAATACATTGTGGGCAAATCCACATACCAGCTAAAAGAGTGGACATAATACATTGTGGACATATCCACATACCAGCTAAAATAGTCAATATAATACAGTGTGGGCATATCCACATACCAGCTAAAATAGTCAGTATAATATACAATTATGGACTGTTTAGAAGGGAGACATCACCAATTATCAGGTCTGAGTAGAGTTGTCACCTGAGGGCGCTTGCGCCCGAGGGTGACAACCCTACTCAGACCTGATAATAAACAGTCATTAATAGTTTTATTATCCTGAAGAATATACAATTATCGATTAGATACAGTAGAAAATAGTAATCAAACCTCTTATTTTCTTCTACTCTGCTCCGATTCCATACTTTCAAAATATGTCAACAGACAACTTTGACGTCATCGTTAGAATTTATTGTTTACCGATCCCGCACATTTAGCCATTGTACTTATTAATTGGAGTTATCTTGCTTAAACCACTGCAGTTTTATTCCAAGGGCGACAACACAGCTGTAACCCTGCATGCTCGCTTACCCGTCATCTGAAGGGAGATAATAGTTGTCACCCTGCGCGTGAGGGAGACATCACAAGTTGTCTCCCTGCACGTGACCTGCTCTAAACCAATCAGACTGACTGTATAATTCTGAAGGATAATAATACAGTGTACATATCCACACACCAGCTAAAACAGTGTGAACATATCCACATACCAGCTTAAATGGTCAATATAGATGGAAACATATCGATTAGTTTAGTCCAGGGAAATTTTATATGTATATATGTTATTACTTAGAAGTATGTCAGATTCAGCATCTGGTAATATGCTGGATAATGAATCCTTCATCTTTTATATAGTGCCAGTATAGTCCTGTCGACTTGGAAACCAAAGTTTAGCATAATTTTCTCTCAAGTTGTTGAGGTGATATAAAAATTGGAGGACTGATACTGCAAGTCAGCTATTATTTCAACAACTTTATTTGCACTTGATCACTTTGAAACTGTTTGACTAATATTTTTTGTGAATGAGAAAATAATTTTAAAAGAAAATGTACATTTGCAGAGATTAGTACATGTTTATGTGCAATGTACTTGAAAATAAAAGATTGCAGTGAAAAACAGGAAATATTTCTCACACTCCATTAACATACCTCACACATAAAATATACATCTCAAATATATTAAACCTCGCAATGTTACACCTGACTAAGCATTTAAGCAGGTAATTTTTTCTGGCCATTAATACATAAAGATGAATAATTCCCTTTACCTGGGATATAATGACACCTTGCAGTTGTTGAACTCGACATGGATTTGGTTGGTTAACATTGTTACCAAGTCCTAGCTGACCGTTGCCATTGTAACCCCAGCCATATACCTACAATTTAGACATTCTGAACTTTAGTGCATCTATGTATTACATTACTTCTTCATCAATACACAAATTTATACTATGCACAAAAAGTTTAATGTTACAATGGTAATTTTTTTTAAAAACAAAAGACATTGTTCTTTGGTTTTACTTTGAGATGAATGAAATATGTTCGTTAAGTATCATATACATGTATCAACATAATAAATTCCATCTGGGGAAAAAAAAAATCAAATACAGTTCTGGAAAAGAGAGAGCAGAATCTTTGTGTATAATGTATTCAGTTACCTCTCCATTGTCTAGTAAAGCCATGGATGATGTCTGGCCACAGGCTATTGACAAAGCCATTTTGGACCCTATAATAAAACAGACCAATAGCAAATTCAAATATTTACATTCGCTGTGTTTTTCTACTAGACTAACTGTGAAATTGATTTGAAAACCATTTTCGTGTATACTCATGCGTAGAAATATACACGGAGAAACGTGCATTAACGTACGATCACAATAAGGCTACAGCGATGTTAGTAAAAGTATAACGATATAGGGCAGCAAGAAATTCAAATATTGACTATATTTTCAGTGCTTCTAAGCGTGTAAAATGTAAATATAAGGAATGTTTTTAAGTTTAGTGTGAATTATCGGTGTGTGAATCACACAGACTTGCACATAAGCATATTTTTATTGAAGCGCTAGCGCGCTTCATGAAATATGCCTACGTGACAAGTCTGTGTGATTCACACACCAATAACTCACACAAAACTTTAAAACATTCCATAAAAACATCTTTTTTGTTAATGAAAAAAATGTACACCATTCATGGAGAAAAGCATGCCAGGCATTGGTGTTTATTAAATAGATTCATAAGGCTTCTAATTACTGTATGTGTACATTAAAAAACGGGCTTCATATTTTAGCGGCTTTGGTGTAGACAACAATGCGCTAATTCATGAATATCGCTAAGAAATCATATACATATACAATACACTGAACGCACATGTGTAGCGCTAATTCATGATTATGCCAACAACTCCATACCCAGTGATTGTGCTAAATTTAGAAATAAATATGCCAAATTATGTACACGTATGATGTACAGTATGTTAGGAGCCTCTCTGACATATGATCTATGATTCTGAAACTTAACAAACCTATGACTGCAACAACTTTTCTCGGGGTTGGTTGATTAGTTGTTGTTCCAGAGCCAACTTGTCCACAATTGTTCTGTCCCCAAGCAAATATCTGAGGAAGAAGACATTCTTTTATTCTATATTTTTGAAAATTGTTATGAATGAACTAAACTAAAGCTTTCTTTCACTGTTAAACAATAACTCTTAAACTTCCAAAACTGAATAAATAATAAATTTCTATTTAATACACTGAAATCACATTAGCAACATCTTATTGATAATGCCCATCTTGCTTTCTATTGGGTTCAGAGTATAATGTCAAAATGCTTTTTTTGCATGTGATATTGACATTATGTATGTAGTCACAAATTTTCCACTGAAGTTTGTCCCAGTGTTTAATTAACACTATTATTATTTGATTTATTAAAGCATATCATGACAATCTAAGTTATCTGTGTAATTTTCTACTTATGAAGAACATATATTGTGATTCTGTGGAATTATGACCCCATGGAAAAAACAGTGTGTTTACAGCAATCAATGATTAAAAAAAATAATTCCAAAGACTACATGCTTAGTATGAATTGTTACCTCTCCTTCTTGTGAAAGAGCCAAAGAGTGATGGCTGCCACAAGCCACTCGTAAAATCTTCTTTCCCTGTATGTTTGTACCTATAAGAGTAGGAGTTAAACCCTGTCCAGATCCCCCATTTCCTAACTGACAATATCCATTGTGACCCCAGCTGTACATTTCTCCAGCTGAAAATAAAACAGAATGCATTTTCAGTTCATATGTGTTAGCCTCGCTCAATTGAATCAAATATCAAATAATATATTATTAAAGCTAACAAACTATGATACTTAACTTACTTTTGGAAACTGCAAGGACATGTGGGCCACTCCCAAATGCTATATCCACAATATTTTTCTTGCATAAAACTTCCACTTTTCTCGGCTCAAAGCTACTGTGGGCATCACCTAAACATAAGTAAACTAGTTAAAAAGAAATTAATAACTTTCCACAGACATTTTTAAACAGCACGGGTGTGAAATGAATTTAGATGAGATATATCATGTCTTTTTAAATTGACAGTATTTCCTTTTCATATAATATACTTCTATACTACGTCTAAGTACCCAATCCCAGACAGCTACTGCAGTTGGATCCAATGGCAAATACTTCATCTTCATTTGTGATGTATATTGCTTCATTTCCTGAGCTTCCAAACACACAAATTTTCTTTATTTTTTCTAAATCTTCCTGCTCAAGAATACTGAAAATTGGCCACTTGCTGGCATCTAACATCTTTGCAGAATCGTAATTTCTTCTCAAACCATTTCAAAAACCCTGATAAAAATTTTAAAATTTGTTTGTAATGGAAATATTAAAATTGTATTTTTAATATTGATTTTAAATGCATTTTAGAATAGTGTCAAAATCACTGAGAGAATGGATTACAAATAATGTAGGAAATGGCATGTAAAATAATGGTAATATGGACATTTCGATCATTAAATACAGTGTATAATTAAGAGTGTAAATTATTGATCAATTTCAAAGCAGCTGTTTGTGTCAATAAAATGTATAAAAAAAATTTTTTTTAAAAATCCATATTTAAGTAAAAAAAAATCTTAGCATCCAGGAACAAAGCAATAAGATTGTTAATTAATTCATGAAAGATATATATATATTTTTTACTTACTGTAGCTAACCTGTCTTTCTGATAAACGTCTCTCTAAGAGTTCTGAAAATGACAATCTGAGAAAGAAAGAAATTCAAAGGGGATGTAATGAATGGAATGAAAAATACAAAACCATTATGTACAGAATTGTCATATCCGGTTAAGTGGTCTAAATTTGACTAATCAGAGGCCGTCTAACATGGAATCGACCAATGGCATGATCGAAGACAAAAAAGCGTTCATCTTTCCAGTAAAGCAAGTGCCCGGATCATAAACAACTACAATGTGCTTAGTGTTGCAACCGCATTTATTTAATTAACAGCTTAAATGGAAGGCGTGAAAGAAAGTATGAGTGCATCAATAATTTTACACATTCAAGATTTGTAGCAAAGTTGATGTCAGGAATTTTTTCTCACAAGAATTCACAATTGAAATAGCTGTTTTATCAGGGACCTATATAGTTCCCTGGTTTTATTTTATATTGCTAAAATAAGTGCAATAATTTGATCATTCAGTATTGTCAATATTTAGCATTGCAAGATTTATCGTGCATGTATCTATTTAAGTTGGTGCTGGAACAGATGAAGAAAGTCTTGAAGATATGATGATGAAGTTTGCAGACAAACTTGACAATGACTTGGAGAAAATACAAAAACAATCAACACCCTTTACCAATAGCAGCCAGACTTCAGTCACCATGGAAAAACATACAGCTGCTGGTAATGTGATTACAGAGAATGGAAACGATTCTCTTCTCTCCCTCATGACAGATTTTGCTGAGCAGTTGGACAAGGATACTGTTAAATTGTCTTCTCATACAGTGCAAGAAGCTTCCAATATTGAAACAAATTCTTCACTAGCTTCTTTTCTGGAAAAAGTTGCTGATAAGATGGACACAGAAACCCGGGTTGAAGGAGCAACCTCTTCCAAAGAATCTCAAGGTAAATTAAAATGGATAATAGAATACACAGCCAAATGTATAATATGGTTACTGAATTCAGTGACAATCAGTTCAATAATAACAAGAGATGTTTGAAAAACACTTATGCCCCCCTCCCCCAAATAGCTGGAATTTTTTCTTAGTCCAAGGGAGTAAGTCTGTCCCAAATTTCTTGATCATACACAAAACAGAACTTGACCTAGATATTCATCTGATAAATCTGTATACCAAATTTCATTTCAGTATGTGCAATCTCTGCGAAGAAAATGAATGGAAACTGCAAATTTAATATTGGAATTTTTCTAAGCCCAAGGGGCATAAATGTCAAAAATGGCTCAATCATACCCAAAACAGAAGTTGACCTAGATATTCATCTGATAAACCTGTATACCAAATTTCATTTCAGTATGTGCAACCTCTGCAAAGAAAATGAATGGAAACTGCAAATAATTGGAATTTTTCTGAGTTCAAGGGGCATGAATCTGTCAAAAAAGGCTCGATCCTACCCAAAACAAAAATTGACGTAGATATTCTTATGATAAATCTGTATACCAAATTATTTCAGTATGAGCAACAATAGTGAAGAAAATGAACAGAAACTAAGTAGACCGACGGACGGACCGACCAACAGACAGCAGCAAACCAATGTGCCTTCCCTTCTTCAAGGGGGGGGGGGATGCTTAATTTACCTAAAACTAACTTGACACGGTAGTAATGAAACATATTACCCTCATGGTATCTTTAAAAAAAAAAAAAAACTAGAGCTATTTGCTATTTTGGAGTTTAAAGGTACATGTACTTGGACACAGATTTGAAGTTAATATTTTCTCTACAATATTGCGACTTATATATTTTAATAGCTTATTTCACACAAAAATTAATTAAAAATCTTATTTCATTTAAAAGTTATTAAAACTTCAAATTTTTTGGCGGGTTTGATTGACACATCCTTGCACTTTCACAGATTTTAATTTAACTCTTAATACTTAAGAAAAGTGGCAATCTTGTTGTGCATAAATGAAAAATATTAATACTATAATCCAGGAAATTCAGAGTAGACATGTTCAAAAGCAAAAAAAAACACAATATATTGTCAGTCCGTGCAGTTGTGGTGAAACTTTGACGATTGAACACATCCGGTGAAACGTAAACATCAACATCTGAATAAAATTATTTTTCTGGATTAAAGTTTTAATATTTCTCATTAATACACAACAAGATTGCCACTTTTCCTTAGGATTAAGAATAAAGTTAAAACTTGTGAAAGTGCAAGGATGTGTCAATCAAACCCGCCAAAAAATTTGAAGTTTTAATAACTTTTAAATGAAATAAGATTTTTAATTAATTTTTGTGTGAAATGCTATTAAAATATATAATTCATGATATTATACAGAAAATATTAACATCAAATCTGTGTCCAAGTACCTTTAATAGCATATAAGTGGGTATATTAATTGTTACTTTTACACATGAGTTGCCATCTAAAAAAAATTCCTTCAAATGAATGAACAATTTTACAACAGTCTTCCATAACCAATAGGAAGTTAAGAAAGACAAAGAGCCAAGCAGCATAAGGGAAACACAGTAATCCTCAAAGACAATAAGTTGTTTGTCAAATAAATTATGATATAAAAATCACAAATAATGAAAGAGGAATGACATTTATAATCAAATTTATATTTTATTTCATTTAGATTTACTACAAGATATGATGAGAGATTTGCATAAAGGAATAAAAAATGGAGACTGGTTGACCAAGAACACAGCAGAGAAATGGGTTTCAGAAAATCCAGATTTAGCAAAGGAATATATGCAAGCTGCATCAAAGGGCCAAAACTCCTGACAAAATTGAATTATTTTAAATCTTTTAATTTATTCATTTTCATTGTATCAAAAGAAAGAATGTAATTTGTATATACAGTATAGATTGAGATTGCCTTGTGTACAATGTTATTTGTTACAAGAATATAAGAAGATGCATCTTTCTGGATTTTCTTTGTCAGTGAACTTTAGTTTACCTCCACAGTATCTCCTTCGGCAAAAAAAAAAAAAAAAAAAATAATCATAAAATAAAAAGATTTCAAGTATATAAATAACAGAAACTTAAAAATCCATTTATTTGTTGTTGGGATTTGTTTAGGACTTTTTTTGTTAAACTTTTGATTGAGTCAGCCTTGATACATTATGTGTTGATCAACTGCAAGAGTATTTAAAGTTAAATAAATTTTAAATGTCCAAAGAAAAAAAAAATCCAGTGGGAAGGGTGGGGGTGGGTCTGATTTGATAATTTTTTTTTATGATGTTCGTGATTTATTTAGAGAATAATGTCCGCGGCATTCTTTTGATCTCGACAATTACTGTAGTAGAAATTTATACATTTATATTTAACCCTTTTCAATGTTGGTTATTGAAACCAGTGGCGTTGAATTTTGACCCTAACCCATTGATATTGAACCGCATAATGAACTTTTAATAGGAATGATAAATACGGGTTTAAATTCAGCATCAAAAGAACAAACTGAATTGATATTCACAATTATGATTGATATTTTTATAAGTTAAATACTTTTGGATGGGTCAAATCCACGTTTTGGAATGATTAATTAATTAAATAAATAAATAATAGAATGAAAAGTCAAAGTGCATTGAAAAAAACAAACAACAACAACCAAACAGTTGAAAACTGACTTCGGGTACAATTTTTAATTTCAATGAAGGTAAAACACCCGCGGTTGAAAACGAATCTCGGATCATTTTTCAATGCGGGTCAAAATTCTTCGTTAAACCGGCGTTCACACCAACAAACGCCGATCTTGAAAATGAGGGAATTTGCCGCTTAAAGAAATATAGTGGAAAGATAATTAATAACAAAAAAAGTGGCATTCTTTTTGATTTTTGCAATAACGTCTATTTTATTTTTGAAAAAAAATCGCTATTTTTTAAAACGTTTTTTTCTCTTAGACTTCATGTAAGGTGCATCGGACAATGCATCGTCGCAAGCCACTGGTTTAGTGTCCATTATTCTATGATTTAGTGGAATAAGAAAGGACACAAAACCCGTGGCCTGCGACGATGCGGACAAGGTGATTTTTTTTTATTTGCATTCATGACGTAACAATAATGAGGGCGCAAGAGCGTCAAATATCATGACGTAACAATACTGAAAGCAAGAGTATTACACTGTGACGTCACAATGAAATGGAAACCAAGTGAAATCATGATACAGTATGTCTTATGAAGAAGAAATATCAACACTTTTTGCAAGGGATTTGGATAACTCGAGAGAAAATGAACGTAAAATTATAGCGGATATTCATAAACTTGCAGATGAGAATAGAGCACTGCGACGTTCTCTGTCACTATTACAGCAAAATGCTACCCTAAGAACGGCAAAATTAATATCTGAACTTGTGATCTGGGTAGACAATATGGTGGAAACTTTTCAGTGCAGTAAGTAAAAAAAAAATATATTTATTATTTCATTTCCCAACAAAGAAGTTTCATCAACTTTCTAAATATTTTATGTCATTTCAACTCGTTGGATAAAGCAAATATATAAATTTAATTGTAGTTTGTTTTATTTTAAACTTTTTTGTCGGTAGGTGTGACGATTCCCGAATCCACCAAAAGTGTGGGTATACATAAGGAAAAATCAGCTTTTCGACCCATATCCCCAGCTTTTGATGGTCAAAACAAGCCTGCGCCAGAAATAATAGTTACTTCAGCATCGCAAAACCTAGCACAAGCCTTGTCTCCCGTACCTGAATTTTTTAAACCGAAAATCATCATACCTGAAAGCGAACGTCTGAAAAGCCCTTACGATCTGTCTCAAAGAGGCGCGATCTCAAAAGGCGATTTTTTTTCTCAACGCTCAATCATTCCACCAACTTTTAATCGATTGGAAGTTAGGCAAGGTCCATCTCGACCGAAATCCCCTGGAATTTATAAAAGTAAAATATCCCAACATGAGAAGCCAACAGTAGATTTTAGTGGAAATTGGACAGAGAAAACCGCACCATTAATTCAACCAAATTTCCCAGAACACGAAGCTGTGCGGCAAGAAGAATCCGATTCAGGGTCAACGGGGAGGGATGTAACATTTCACCAAGAACCTTTCGAAGACAATAGATCGAAATATAATCAAAAGGATTCACAAAAAACATTTCAAGGCAACAGTCATCCACCCAGTTTATCTGAACAGTCCTATCAACAAGAGCATGAACAGGAGGTGCCAAGGGATAGGGAGAGTCAATATCAAAGAACCAAAAGTCCTATGCCGAATCAAACACCCAGAGAAACTTATGATGAAAGAAACAAAGGTCTCATGCCCGAACAGAGAACTGGTGATGGATATGATCAAAGAAGAAAAAGTCCTATGCCGGAAAAAATATCCAGAGAAATTTATGATATGAGAAGCAAAAGTCCTATGCCGGAACAGAGTCCCCGAGAAAGATATGATGAAAGAAGCAGGAGAAACATGCTGGAGCAGAGAACAAGAGAAAATTTCGATGAAAGAAGCAAAATTCTAATGCCTGATCAGAGAGCTGGACAGGGATATGAACAAAAAAGCACAGACCAAATGTCGGAACAGAAAGTGAGAGAAATGTATGATAAAAGAAGCAGCGGCCGACTCTCTCAACAAAGGTATGTTGCAGAGCCAGAACAGAACATACCGATGAACAGGGAATTTTTATATCAAAGCAGCAAATTTCCCATGTCCGATCAGAGAGCTAGAGAAAACTATGACCAAAGAAGTAGAAGCCTCGAGATGGAGAGAAGATACGATACACAGCCTGGACGAGAAGAACCAAACATCATGGAAATTTATGATCAAACAAACAAAAGTCTCAAGCCGGAACCGAAAGACATGGAAGGATTTAATCGAGGACGTAGAAGTCCCATGCCAGAACAAAAGGACAAGGAAAAAATTGATCAAGGACGTAGAAGTCCCATACCACAACAGAGAGCCAGAGAAAAAATTAATCAAGGACGCAGTATTTCAATGCCAGAACGGAGAACCAGGGAAAGATATGATCACGAAAGCAAAAGTCACATGCCGGAACAGAGGGCCCTGGAAGGATATGATCAAAGGAGTAGAAGTCTCATGCCAGAACAGAGAGTCAGGGAAGGATATGATCAAAGAAGTAGAAGTCTCATGCCACAACAAAGAGCCATGGAAGAATTTGATCAAAGAAGTAGAGGTCCCATGCCAGAACAGAGAGTCAGGGAAGGATTTGATCAAAGAAGTAGAAGTCTCATGCCAGAACAGAGAGCCAGGGAAGAATTTGATCAAGGTAGCAGAATTCCAATGTCAGAACAAAGCGTCATGGAAGGATTTGATCAAAGAAGTAGAGGTCCCATGCCAGAACAGAGAGTCAGGGAAGGATTTGATCAAAGAAGTAGAAGTCCCATGCCACAACAGAGAGTCGGGGAAGGATCTGGTCAAAGAAGTAAAAGTCTCATGCCAGAACAAAGAGTCGGGGAAGGATTTGATCAAAGAAGTAGAAGTCCCATGCCACAACAAAGAGCCATGGAAGGATTTGATCAAAGAAGTAGAAGTCCCATGCCACAACAAAGAGCCATGGAAGGATTTGATCAAAGAAGTAGAGGTCCCATGCCAGAACAGAGAGTCGGGGAAGGATTTGATCAAAGAAGTAGAAATCTCATACCAGAACAGAGAGTCAAGGAAGGGTCTGATCAAAGAAGCAGAATTCCAATGCCAGAGCAAAGCTTCAGGGAAGGATTTGATCAAGAAAGTAGAAGTCCTATGTCAGAGCAGAGAAACAGAGAAATGTATGACCAAAGAAGTCTTGCGCCAAAACAGGAATGTTTTAAAGAGGCTACATTGAATGAACAGGATGTACCGAGAAAGAGAGAAAATCTTGAACAAAGGAGTTATTCGCCGCAACAGAAATATGTCACAGAGACTAAAATAGGGCAGGGTATACCAAAGAACCAGGAGAATTATGATAAAAGAAGCAGAGACTCGAGATCTGAAAGGAGAGTCAGTGCAGAGACAAACAATCTCTCCAAATCTCCCACTCCAGAGAGAAGTCAACGGTCAGATTATGGAATAGAGGAGCTGGAAAGTATGGACCATATGTTATCCGCAGGCCAGCAAAGAAAACAAGTTAATGATAACTCAGATGCAGTTGTTCCACAGCATGATAGTTCCTTAGAGAAAAACCTGTCCGTGTATTCGAAGTCTGATCAAAGATCGGTTGGCGAAGACCGCACAGGTCGAAATGTAGTTGGAGATCCTATAGCTACCTCAACTCCAAAAACTCAGAGAGGTGTGGGGGAACCGATAGCCACATCTACTCCAAAAACCAGGGAAGAAAAATTAGCAGACAGTATTATGAACAAAGGTATATACCGGTATTACTGATATTGCTAGTTACATGTATATGGTCCATTATTTTGCATATTGTTCATTGATGTAATTCAAACATTTGTTTTTAGAAAAGAGAAATATAAAAGTACTCGGAGAGACAAAGAAAACGAAGAAACAAAATATTATATTCATTTGTACACTAGTAAACATTTAACCTGTGAATTTGTTATTTTAAGTAACGCAAGATAATTTTTTTAAAAGAAATAAGCAGTCTAAAATCAAAATATTTCGTGATTTTATCAAGTAGCTATTTTATAACTCCAAGGACCTTTAAATGTATATACATGTATTTATTGAAATTACTAGTATTTCACATGAAAATGGAGTCAAGCATCGATCAGTCTATTCTTAAATCAAGGATCGATTATTCACCCATCCATAGTTTTGAATATTATGTAATGTTTAAGATTATTTATTTTTCGTTTTAGTGAATCCTCCAATAAGTCGCCCTATAGACCAGTTGATTGGAATCGATCCCACGATGACACAAGCGCGCTGGCTGAAGGCTGCCATGATAAGGAAGAACAAGAGACTTATCGGAGAAATCGCGTTTCAGATGGATAGAAGAATCCTGGAATACGTTTTTGCCTGGGATTCAGGCAGCAAAAATGCAAAGAAGAGGCGCTATTATGGCTTCAGTATTGCCAATATTGGCTCTATGATTCAAAAAGAGGCGGTTCAACCAGATGGTTCTAGAGATGCCCGAAAAGAGCTAGAAATGCGCAAACGGTTTGAAAATTTGGTCAGAACTTTAGCTAAACTGGGATACAATTTGGATCAACATGGGGAGTTTTCACAAGACATGGTCAATAAGTATGGACTGTTAAGTGGTCCACCAAGCAGGAAAATGGTAGCTGAGTTAGGATTGGAGGATCCAATGGTTTTGCGGGTGTTGTTTTCTCAGCTAATTGAGGATGAGAAGGAACTGAATAATGTGTTAGTTTTACTCGATTGTTTATGTTTATTAGCATATGAAGACAAACGTCCTCTGTTCATGTGGTAGTTATGTGGTAAATAACCTTGTTATTGTCATTGAAAATAAATTAATTTGTAAATGTTTTATGTACTTTTTTATTATGATCTTGACTTAGAAAAACTGATGATCGTTATACATTGTATGGAATGAAATTTTGACTACATTATCAAGGTATTAAAAAAACAAAACAAAATCAACGCAGACATGTAGTATAGGGGCGAGGTGTGTGTGTGAGGGTGTGTGTTCCAGCTAAATCGTTCCTTCAGGAAATAAAATTTTCGTGTTTAGACACATTTTCTTTTTTGCCTTTCGAAATTTTCTCAGACAAGTTGCCTTCTTTTACTAGTCACGTGCTCTACCAACTGAGTTATCCAGGTCGATATCCACGGCCAAACCATTACTTTCCACCCTCCTTAAATGGTCTTTGCCCTACAAGACACAACCCAAGTTCTTATTAGCCCCATGGCAGGACTTCACCCGCAATTCCAGGGGTGGTCAACATCCACGGTCAAACCATTAAATTCCTCCCTCCTTAAATGGTCTTCGCCCTGCAAGACACAACCCAAGTTCTTATTAGCCGCTGGCAGGACTTTCATCCGCAATTCCAGGGGTGGTCAACGGCACCAAATCTGTAACAGGAAAGAGAGAAATGTATGGCTGAACCTGGAATCGAACGCGGGACTTTTTTCTGCAACCTTCTTTCAATAATGATTCTACATGCCTGTAATGATATTTTTTGGGGGCTGACTTTTTAGCTCACCTGAGCCGAAGGCTCGTGACCCACTGGGCCAGGAAAGATGTAACTTATATGAGACCATCCTCAGGTAGTGTAGATTTAAAAAAAATTTTTCAAATCATGACCCCAGGAGCAATGGGCCAAGAAAGATGAAACTTGAACGGAAACATTGTCAGGTTGTGTAGATTCAAGTTTGTTCAAATCATGACTCCCGGGGGTAGGGCTGGGGCACAATTGACGATCAAAGTTTTACATAGGAATAAATAGGAAAAATCTTTAAAAATCTCCTTCTCAAGAATCACTGGGCCAGGAAAGATGAAACTTATATGGAAACGTCCTCAGGTAGTTTAGCTTCAATTTTCTTCAAATCATGATCCCTGAGGGTAAGGTGGGGCCACAACTGTCGATCAGAGATTTACATAGGAATATATACTAGGAGAAATCTTTGAAAATCTTCTCAAGAACCACTTGGCCAGGAAAGATGAAACTTATATTAAAAGATCCTCAGGTAGTGTAGATACAATTTTGTTCAAATCATGACCCCCAGGGATAGGGAGGGGCCACAATAAATGATTAAAGTTTTACATAGGAATGAATACATCGGAAAATTTATCAAAATTCTTCTTTTTACGAACCACAAAGATGATTTGTCATATCTTTATGGAAGCATCCTCACGTAGTGTTGATTGAAGTTTGTTCAAGTCATGACCAGGGGAGTAAAAGGGGGAGGGGTAGGGTAGGCCGCAATTGGGGATCAATTTTTTACATAGATATATCAAGGAATTTTTTTCCCAAGAACAGAATAGCCATGTTCAAACATATTGATATGGAGGCATCCCCAGCTAGTGCAAAGTCATATTGGTTCAAATGAGGGCCCCAGAGGGGTAAGACTGGGCCACAATGGGGGGGGGGGGGTCAAATGAATAAATAGGAAAAAATGATCTGCTTAAAAACAGCAACGCCATTTGTTGTATTGATATTGAAGCAACATCAGGTAGTTTAAAATTCACCCCCCCCGTAAACTTCTCAATACTGAAGTGATCTTTGCTTTTTTCCATAGCCAATGATGTGCTCAGGTGAGCGATGTGGCCCATGGGCCTCTTGTTCTTCAGTATTACCTAATTCAATTTTGAAAATTGATTTAATGCAAGTGGTGGACATATATAGGGTGGAGTCCACCGAATTTCGTTTTTCCGAACTGCCTGACTGGGTTAAGTTATAGACTCCACCCATATATAGAGAGGTGCTACAATTTTTGTCCCCCGCTTGAAAAGTGGGGGATATTAATTTGGGTTTGTCCGTCCGTCCGTCTGTCCGTCCGTCCGTCTTTCTGTTTGTCTGTAACGCTTTCGTTTCCACACGATATCTCGAGAACCCTTTGAGCTTTTGCAATGAAATTTGGCATAGCAACTCCCTATGGACTAAAGAAGACCCCTATTGATTTTGAGGTCAAAAGGTCAAAGGTCAAGGTCATGAATAAGCAAATTCTGTCTCTTAAAACACTTTCGTTTCCACACGATATCTCTAGAACCATTTGAGCTATCGCAATGAAATTTTACATAACAACTCCCTGTGGCCTAAAGAAGACCCCTATTGATTTTGAGGTCAAAAGGTCAAAGTTCAAGGTCGTAAATTTATACATTCTGTCTGTGTGTAACACTATCATTTCCGGGCGATATTTCAAGAAGATTTTGAGCTTATGCAAAGTAATTTTATACCAAAACTCCCTAGGACGTCTCTCGCCCCTCTCAAAGTGCCCCGCCCCGTTTGTTTTATTAGTATTTATAGTATTACATGTCGCTATTTTTAGCGCAGGGGCATGAGGAGAGTTATTGCGTATAAAACAGGTTCTCGGCGGACTTTATGTTCTTATTACATCTATTATAACTGTTTAATAAAGGCTAAATAAATCAAACACCATGGATTGTGTAAATTTTGAGAATACCGAACATGAAAACATGAATATATACATGTATGTGACTTCAATTCTGCATATACTTCATACCGTGTAAAGCGTCTCCGTGGTCTAGTGGCAGGCGCGTAGCCAGCATTGAAATAAAGTGTACGCAGAAAATGGTCGGGGTCTGGGGGCCTTTCTGAGGCCCCCAGTTTTAAAAGCCCTTTTTTTTACCAGGGGGCGTAGCCCCCGGGAGCCTCTGGATTTTACGAAATTTTTCAGTCATTTTCCTTTAAAAGAAATCACGCTACATGTCTTTTCTCAAGCAAACACTTAGCTAAGTTATACTTCCATGGATACTTCAGGAAGAGAAGAATAATTTGATCAAATTAATTTACGAATATATTGGTATTGGAAAAAAGTTTCCAAGTGTGACAAGATAAAACAAAGAAGGAATTTAATAAGTTATCATTGGAGTTAAAGTATTTCAAATTATAAACGAGAGTGTGGGTCTTTTGATAACCTTTATATTCTGATAGCTTAAACAATTAATTCAGAGAATTCGTTGTCCCCCGCTTAGGGAAAAAGTCGGCTCCCCCTGAGAGTACTTAAATTCTATAAATTGGTAACATCAGTAAAAGAAGATTTTCATAAATGATCTATATTTTTATTTACTTGATTCAGTAATTTGAATTTTGCCTTTTTTTTTTTTTTTTTTTTGGTTTATCGATATTTAAAAATTACTTCAACAGAAATTCTGGTATAGTTGTCCAAGACCCTTGTAACTTTTTCTTGAGATCAATGTAACTTAGATCACTTTCCTTCATCAAATACATGTATTTGTCCGGATAATTAGGATTACGTGGATTAACAGTTGAAAATTTTGGTTCAACAATATTTTCTTTCTCAAGAATTTTGGAATTCATTTTGTAAAAGACTGGATATTAACGATATTCTAAACAGAATTTGAAAAGAAACAATAAAACATACAATAATTTAAAGACAGATAGTGCCTCCTTTTCTCCGAATAAATCTCTCTTTCTTTTTTATTCTTTTTTCTTTCTTTCTTTTCTTTTTCTTTTTTTTTTTTGGAAAATGATGTGTACGCACTTGCGTACTTGCGTATAGGCAGCTACGCGCCTGAGTGGTTATGTCTCTCGGTCTAATTGTGAGAGGTCCCGGGATCGAATCTCGGTCGTACCTTTCTTTTTTTTTTTTTTTAATACTTTTTTTTTTACTAAATGATAGTATTCAGCATGTGAAATGAAAAATTTATGAGGTTATAAAATCATCATTACAGTGTGATAAATATTCCATATAAAAAAATCTTCTATACACATAATAAAGAATAAGCAATCAAATCTATATATGCATATTGACATACATGTATTTTATTTCCTTCAGTATACATGTATACATTTAATAATTCTACAAATTCAGTCAGGGGGAGCCGACTTTTTCCCTAAGCGGGGGACACGAATTCTCTGAATTAGCTTGTTTCCTTATATACATGTACATGTAGTTACGAGTTACGATGAGGAAATAATATATATGAACAGTCTGCAGGAACCTTTGGCTAGCGAAGCTGTGGAAAAAAAATAGCTAGGTAGTAGTAATGTTCACATATCTGATAAAGATAAAACAGTCAATTATTTGCAGAAAACGGGAAGAAAAACAGTTATATGATGAGGAAAAACATCGTTTTAACATTTAAAAATATTTAAAACCGTATAATGTGCACGGTTAGATCGAAAAATATCTTTTAGTATATAATCAACGAGGTTCTCTTACTTACAAACACAATCATAATTATGATGTTGTAAATGTGAATTTACTATGGTACATTTATCATTTACATTCTCTGCATGGTAAATTCAAAATTCATTACATGATAATTCAATAAAAAAAGTAGGAAGCCCTGAAACACAAGGCTCACGTGAATAACCAGAAGATTTTGACAGATTCTCCACTCATCGATCTCTATTCCAATAAAATTGTTGTCAAAATGTAATCCTTGATGAACAATGGTAAAAAAATTGATTATATGTGGTGCGGAGCGGATCAGAAACTCCTGACTTGGGAAGATGTTGAAGTAATTATAGGGACATGCATAAAAAGTCTTCAAAGGGAGTACATGTGTAAAACAATACTCTTTTAGTATGGGGATATTTTAATAAAGAGGACGGTTTCACACCTCTCCGTAGTACCGGGGGGGGGGGGCTTTTTTTCAGAATAAGCTTTGATGTAGTTTTAAATTTATGCACATGTAAGTTTTAGATGCTGAATTCAGGTGCCTGTGTTACATTGAAAGCACGGGCACTTGCTTTAAAAATAGTTTTTTTAAACTCAGGGTATTATTACACCATGCAACATGGGTTAAAAATTATTTCCGAAACAAGTGCTGATCTGGTATAGATATAGATCTATTTTTCGGGTTTTAATATCCGTTTTCTCTTTGTGTATTGTACAACAACTTCCGGTTGTAAACAAGATAGTTTTGAGGAGGCGGAGAGATATTTTCGTGTTGATTAAGGTATTGCAGCACGAATTCTTTTCATTAATCAGTATAGTATGCTTTGTGTTCGTTATTTCTATCATTAAGAATGCATATCCCTGTTATTGTCCAGACCAAAATAATTTTATCTTTAGTATAATGAGTCACTAGAAACCGGTCTCATGACACTGTAAATTCATGTAAAACCATTAATTTGGCCTAACTTTCTATGTTTTGTGTTTTGATTCGTTTTATATTTCTATTATGACGACAAAACAATGAAATTGTAAGGTCGTTGTAGCTGATCTTTTTTTTTCATTTGAATTTTGTTAGTAAAAGCATTAAAGCATGCATATATATGAGCTATGATAAAATATATCAATATTAACTCATCAACATTTTTGGGGGGGAACTGTTGTTTTGGGGGATATGTATTTTCGCAATGGATTTGTCATTTAATTGTATTCTTACATAATAGTATTCCCAAAATAGTGTCTTTACTCGGTCTTATTTCCTTTTGAACATTTTGTTTTACCATGTTTACTCTCCATTATTTCCTGATTATAGACACAAATATAACAGGAGTTATGCCACATGTCCTTGTTTCATACAGTATGCTAGTTTACTAGTTAAGGAATAACTGTCTAATTTTTTGGTTTCATGATGTGATCATTGAGTGGCATGTGTGATAATTTGTTTAAATGCCGAATGCATTTCATGCAAGACAATCGATTGATCAGCGTTATGAAATCAAAAAATCTGACAGTTAATATTATTCCTTATATTTACAACTTCTTGATTTCACAAATCAAACTGCTCTAAGCCCTGCTTCTGTCTCTAGTTGTCCTACCTGGCACATGATTTTTTTTAAAGCATGCCTATCGATGAACCAGTACATTTATGTAGAAATAAAGTCCATTAACAGGCATTAACTACATATTTTGTAATTATATCTCAAATAAAGACATTGGAAATGTAAATATTATATAATAACATAATATGTAGAAAAGTAGCATACTGTATGAAACCAGGGCTCCCGCTGGACCGAAAATATTTTTCGCCACTTTTCGCGACACAAGCTTTAAGAAAAGGCATACTTACATCTGATTTTTCATCGACAATGCAATTATGCACTTTTTGTTATTCAATTTTTTTTATTTAATGTTTATCTGACATAGACATTGTTTTAAAATTGTAATGTTTAAAGCTTATGGTAGTATCCATTTAGAAAAAGAAAAAAAATAATGTTGGAACTACACAATTAATTTAATATTGTATTGATATCAGCCAACTCTTGACAGAAAATGTCCTCTTGATTATATTTTTTTTCGCCTGGGAAGGAGGGGGGGAAGGGGGGGGGGCTACAGACCTAGTAAAAATATGACATATTTTAAAAATGGAAATTCTTATCATTTCAATAATTAATTGTGAAAAGAAGTAAATTAAAAAGTAATGAAAATTAGGTTTAAAACTCGACTTTATTTTTTAACAACTTGGAGATTCCAGGGTTTAATATGCAAGCTCATGTTATTGTAAATAATTCAGTGTAATTTACTAACTAAAGATAATTCTGTTTCCAAACTAATTTATTTTTCACTCTTTGTAAGTTAATGGTATATAAATGTACACATTTTTCAATTTTCAGTAGGTAAAATTTGAAGCCATTCTTTACAATTTTCCTCATTATACCCCCCGCTTGAAAAGCGGGAGGGTATATAGTAATCGGTATTTCCGTCCGTCCGTCCGTCCGTCCGTCTGTTACGCTTTGGGGTACCCATCTCTTATCCGCAACTCCTCTCATACCACTGAATGAAATTTGATGAAACTTTCACAGAATCTTTATTACATATTGCCATTGTGCACCTCCTATTTTACTTTTTGATCCGACACATATTTTGGGTTTCCTGGCCACAGGAAAACATGGACTTTTTCACCAGTTAAAACCATATGGGAGGCGGGGGGTATCATTTAGTGAGCTCATCGCTCACAGTACCTCTAGTGTTTCCCTACTTTCGGTTTTAAAAAAACGATCAACATAGATCCAGATTTTGGTGAAAAAAATCTTTCATTTACTAACTTCATCTCCCAATAACACTTTCCCACTTGTTTAATCCAAATTATATTATTTCAAGCAATTATGTAACCCATTATTGCTCCAGGTTAGTTACCGAGTCAGCTCTGTTCGTTCAAGCGAGACGTGATTTCCTACATGTAGGTTTCAGTTTTCACACCTCTGCTGCATTAAGTAAACAAAGGGACTTATCTGTGTACATTGAATAAACAAAGGAGCTATTACCAGGACTACAAAAATTTTGTACATGGTACATCTAAAAAAATCATTTTCGCCACTTTTGAAAAAAATTCGCAATTGGCGACAATGGCGAATCACAGCTCGAGCCCTGTATGAAACAGGTGTTTGAGAGTAATGCTTATTTTATTTGTTTTCACTTGTTTGAGTATGAATTGATTCCATATTTAGAGATTTAACTTTAAAAAAACACAAACAAACAAATTTATTCAGCTGAATTCATTGATTGTAGCTTACTGGTCTGAAAAATTGGGATGTAAGATGAAGTCCAAAAAATTCCTAGCTTGTATGATCTTGGTATTAGCATATTATTATAGTGCTCCTATGACATAATATTCCTTAAAACTGTTGTCAGTAGCTCTCTAATGTTTAAAGGCATGGAACTTGGCTTTGTCTACTTATCATGCTTATTAGATCCTACTTTTTAGTCCATCATAAATAACATTCTGCATTTACAGTAAAACTAAGTTATATTAATAATGAAGTCACTGGGACCTATGAAATTACTTCACTTTATCTGTAATTCGTTATATATAAGGAATTCATTAAATTTTTATAGCAGGGGATCCAAGATAACTGCAGTATCCATGAATTGGCAATATGCATGTTCCTACTAAACGGGTTTTGCTGCATTTGTTCAATTGTTCAGATTATGAATCTGATTTTCTGGTCAGTTATTAAATATTATTCTAAAGAAAGAAAGTAATAGACCAGTGAGAACAGATTCTATGAAGTCAAATTAATCTTGAAAAAATCTGTGCTATTCAACCTCATTGAAAGTACATATATAGAAGTGTATTCTTATCAGTAGACTTCACCTTAAGATTGCCCATTGGTAGAGAGTGCACAGTAACCTTCAACAAATTTTCAAGATTAAAGGTCAAGGTCTGTTCAATATCTTGAGAACCATTTACTAGACAGGCATCAAACTTAAAATATTGGTAAATTCTTTTAAGGTGTAGATGACCTCTGTTGATTTTGAGGTTACAAGGTCAAAGATGACGGGGTCAAACAAGGCATAGGAAGATACTGACCATCAATTTTTAAAACTCTTAGCTTGACACACAATCTTGGTTCCCCCTAAGGAGTAGATGACCTCTGTAGGTTTTGAGGTCATAGAGTCAATAATTACACACACAGGTCAAAATAATTGATGACCCATTGGTCTAGTGTCTGTGAATATTTAATATGGGCAAGTGCATCATAGGGAGCATGTGCCCCTTGGGTCAGTGTTTTTATGCATTACAAAATTCCTTCATGGTTGGGCTAAACTTGACATGGTTATGTATCAAGTTCTATAATAATCATGTATTGTTTTGTTGATTGTACCATTATAAGTAAAACAATATAAACACAGTGTTTCTATTATACATGTTATAACAGTATTATGTTTGGGGCAAGTCTCTTTCAAATCTAGGGATAGGAGTTGTAAAAGCACTCAGTCGACTATTAAAAATTTGAAATGATAGCCCACCAGTGACAAAAATAACTAAATCTAGCTCTTTATAATTACATGTATGTTTCTGGAACATATATCATTTAAGATCTTGACTTTTCAGATAAATTGAAAGTGCATGATTCCAATAAAAGTAAGGGAATGATGCTCGTAAATATTTTATTTTTAGATTTATATGAATGATTAAAACTTCACTTGAAAATTTATTGATAAATATGATTCAAACTCACCACTTGAAAAATTATTGGTAAGTAATGTGTCATGAGAAGTGAAGAAAGGAAGTATAGGAAATTAAGAGTTCCTGTTGAAGAGTTACTCAAGGACATTGATAAAACACCAAGTATTTATCATCAAACTAACAGGATTGTGTTGATGTCATGAATGTGCATGAATTGCAGTATTTTTAGATTGATGCCTTTTAATTACATTTTATATATTTATTGCATATTTTTTTTCTATATAATGTTGAACAACTTCCAGCTATCAGAAGACTGTTAGTGTAACATGAAGTAGTTTGGGTGAATGCATTATGCATTCAAATATTTCTAGAGTAGCAAGTTTATAGTGTACTTAGTAGCTTTTGATCAGAATAAATAATTTTTGTCCCATGCTTAATGCCTATAAGAAGAATGTAATTAAATTATAGTTATACATCGTAATGGATATATTTTACTTTTAATTGTCTTGAAAAAAGCACACATATAAAGGATATTGCACGTACATTCTTTAATTGTCATTTCAAAAGCTTTGATTTAATATTAGATAAAGTATTGTGATAGAAATTGTTGAGCAGTGACTTGTGAAATAGAGTAAGTCTTGTGTAACAGTTGACCGTACTGGACAACCTTTGCTAATGATACACACACTCTGTAATATAACCCCAGGTGATAAAAGGTGGTGTTACATTTCACAGGTATACTATGTGTCTTTTTAAGAGACATTTACAAAAATACTGATTGTACTGAATTTGCTCTGACATGTTACAAAATTTTTTAAATTTTACCTATGTGCAATGTAATCTTGAAATTAGGAAACACATAAAACAGTATCAACTTATTTTCTGAATATCTATGCAGTGCATCACATTCCCCAAAAGACTGAAATATGACAAGATTCTCAAACTCATCATATCAAAGTACTGGACATTCATCATTCAGTATATAAAATACTTGGGTATCTGAGTTCTTTGTATGTTCCTAGCATCTTACCCTGCCTCCCACACATACAGTCATTTGAGATGGTTATATATGAAAGTTGATGTCCATATATTCATGTTGCGACCCTCAAGGTGTTTAGCTTAAGCTCAGGTTACCATGAGGTAAAAACTAAGGCATTTTTGCTACTAGCTTGCCACTTCTTCACAATTTTCCTCAAAAGTTGATACATGTAAAAGTATTATTATTGATCAGGGTTGATCCTATTGTTTGTAGACAGAGTAGAAAGGATCCAAGATGAGTACAGAATATGTGGAGAGAACAGAGACCACCACCACCTCAGATGGAAGTGGTATCTCCTTCCAGAGTGGCTTCCTCCGCTCTCTGCCAGGGTACCTCAAAATCGCAGAAATGGTACATATATACTGTGGAATCATTTTAATTCGTGGATGTCAGTGTTTGTGGGGACCTAATTTTGTGGGTGTCTTGTTTATATGGTAGATTTGATGAATTTATATATATACAAAATAAATATTTGTGGGGATGTAAATTCATGGGTAAGGATGACTCAAAAAACATGGAATTTTACTGTGACAGTCATTAGACATGTAAGCATCAGAGAGGTGATCTCTTCTTAATGTATTTCTTCTCCAAGTTATCATACCATTCAATATTGCATAATAAAAGATATGATTGCAGCAGGCATCTGAGTAGAAATTCAAATATAGAATAAAAATACTGTATGTATTGCATTATTAATATAGGAAACAATCATCTGTCCATAACTCAGTGTTTACCTTACCCGTGGTACCCGGTGATTATAACATGTAAAAGAAGAAATTATTATGCATTCATAACTATCTGTACATTAAGATTTTTTTTTTTTGATAATTGTAGGTGTTGGACTTGATTGCCTTCATCTGTGCTTCAGTGAATTGGTGGGTTGATTTAGGACAAGGCTGGGCTCAGTTTGTCTTCATATCAGCTCTGATTACCACTCTCATCTTTTTTATATTTCATCTCTTCAATGTTTTCTCCAAGCTCCCAGGCCCATGGATATTCATTGTAAGTTTTGTTTACATCCATTCACTCTCACAAGCCATATCTGGATTTGTATCCATTCTATCCTCTTGTTCTCATAATTATTAATAACACACATTCATAACAAACTGGTGCTTCATGTCAGAAACAATTTGTCCAATGAAAATGAGGGCCCCTAGTCATTGATATTTTGAAGTATTCTGGGAGTTTTAACCTAGATATCCCTTTGAGTTTGAGATAACAATGTTTGACTGTAAATGGGAAAGAAAGATAAGAACTTCATGATCTCTTCCTCCCTGGAACCTGAGGGTTAGTGGCCAATAAACCATCAAAATCCATGCAGACTTCAAAAATCCACTAATTACTCCTGAATACATGAAAGCAGTCCAACTGTTGGAATGATGAAAATAAGCAATAAGTCATTTATCTCAAAAGTCAATTGAATACTGTAAACCAACTATTATTCGCATCATCTTTTATTCGCGATTCGTCATTTTGAAATTAATCCGCGACGATTAATATTCGTGACAGAGGAAACACTTTCTACAAATATTAAGTAAAATGATTGGTTTTCGGCGATTAATATTCGCGAGTTAAAGTTGATCGCGGAACTCGCGGATATTTCTTGCACGCGAAAAAAAGTTGGTTAACAGTATATGAAGTAATAGTTATATAGGCCATATATCGAAATTCACTATATCATAGAAAATTTTATTTATTGTAAGCAGTTTATTTAACCTTTACCAAAGAATGTGTTGAATGATTGTCTCCAGACATTGGACCTTAGGGTGGGGTTAAGGTAATGATAAATGGTATATTTAAATGAACTTTATTTATGAAAAACCCTATCTCTTCTGAAAACCAACTTCAGGAATTTTATTCTAATAACCATCAGTGTGTTCATCAGACTGTAATATTGAAGCAACATTAGTTAGATTTTCTTTTCTCGGTGGAGCTTAGTTGGTCTTATCACATTATCACAATAACTTGTTTGACAATCAGTCAGTCCTTAAAAATACTAGTAACTTCAGAGATGTCAAAAAAACAAAGAATAAAAAATGCTTTTCTATTGTTTACTGTATACATTTATAATTTTCCAATATACATCTTATAAATCAGACGTTGCATGCCTTTACAGGAGTTTGTTTATTATGTGGTGTACTGTGTTCTCATCTTTATTGCTGTCATTGTCTGCCTGGCCAGGGGAGCTCAGTATAGCCTTGGGGGAATCATTGCAGCCACAGTAAGTACTGGGGGAAAGCCGAAAATAGCAAATTTCAATTGAGAATGCAGCAGTGGTTAGAGCGTTTTCTCTAGAATTGCGAAGTAAGGAGTCAATATTTACTTTGTGGGTTCGAATCCCACTGTGGGACATGCAGACCAGTCCTTCAGACGAGACCATATAAACCGTGGTCCCATGTTGCAGTAGATGCTGGCACGAAAAAGATGCCTCACTGTTCAATGGCCCTGAGTGCCTAGTGTAGGACAAAATTTGCAGCTCTCCACCGACAAGTGGTGGCGTCTCCATATTAGTGAAAAATTCCCAAAACGGACCTTAAACAACATCTAATCAAACAATTTAGAATGAAAAAAACTTTTATATTTGATTGATTGTAAGTCAGACACCTGAAAATAATCAGTGTCAGTTATGAAAAAAAAAATGTATTTGCTGATATTGATATATTATTTCCAGTTACCTGTTTATTTTAATCTTTCATTAGATTTTCGGAATGGCTGCATTGGCTGTGTACATCGTAGACACCTGGTTCATGTTCAGGAATTGGCAGTCAGCTAAGCATGCTGGAACCTCAGGAAGTGGCAGTGGTGGGGCCACAACCACTACCACCACCAGCCACACCACTTATGAAACCAGAACCCAGTACTAAAATGTCAGGGTCACTTCTACATTCCTCAAATATGAACTATGAAGGATGAAGTGAAAGATCTGAAAAAAAATGTAGAATTTAATTTTGATGATTTTTTTTACATAGAGTTACTAATTTGTTGTTATTATTATTTTTTTACCATCCAGGTACTTTGTTGCCATTTTTCTAGTTTACATTTTTTGTTGATGACTGGAGATTAGACAAAGATTTAATTTTGAGGTGATTTGTTTTGTACATGTTTAATACAACATTTACATATGTGTACGTAAATGTCTTTCGTTGTCAATTCACACCAGCAAACGGGAATTTATTGTGGAAATTCTTTATTGACGTTTTTCTTATGTAACATCAGAGAGCCAGCTATAGATCAATACAAAAAGTTGTGAAAAAATCAATATAGTGGAAAAGTATTTGTCAAAAACCAAATGTTACCATCAGATTAATTGTATGGGGGGAAAGTAAAAAAAAATAAATAAAATTAGTTGATAATTGCTGACAGTGGAGCAAAAAATGTGTTAGCTACTTATATGGCAAAGTTCTGTTTAAGCAGACTAAAAAGTCTTTTAAATGACCTTTTGGAATGTTGTTTAAAACTGACAAAGTTTAAAGAGTGCCATGAATTTCCATATGACCTTTTCTCTCTGAGTCTGATTGTTCAAATAATTGATTTTCCATTCTCTTTTTTTAAATGCTGATTGCTTGTTCTTTTCAAAAAAAAAAAATAATAAGGTAGATGGCTTACCCATAGACAAAGTTTATTATCCAAACTAATGTAGCTCTTGAAATTATATACATGTACATGTATAACAGTTAGAATATATTTGTAATATACAAAGTAATTTGTGAAGGGAGTGATTTCTCCATTAGGTATTGTATTGCTGTTTTTGGTGCTGAAGAAATTAAATGTTTAATAAAAAGACTGCAATTGTAGGCAATTTATGCTCAAGTACTTGTAGTACTTCAGAGAACATTTGAAAAGAACAAAAAGAAAATTCTCATTGTATGTAATAATGATGCCCAGGAAAATTTGACTCCCTTGCATAAATACACATCATATGTCAGATATATACATGTTGTATAGAGTCTTTGCAATGCATGTATCATATTTATGAATGAATGTTGTATAATCTCGATGGGAATATATTTAATGTACTGGATGTATAATATTTTCATTAAAAATCTCTAATTAATGCATAATGAACTCTTTAGGCAGTGTGATGTGTTATTAGTTTATTTAGTGTATTTTTTCCTGATTAAAACTAGGAACTATTTGATAGAGTAAATTAATTTTTTTACGATAATCAAGAATTATATCATTACACAAGAATGTCCTTTCAATGTGACAAAAATAATCTTAAATTTTAAATGTTTTGATACAGTTTGAAATTTTAAAGCAGGGGTATAAGAAGGGTGAAAAAAAATCAAGGATGCACAATTTAATTTTTTGCTGACTAAAAAATTTATACTGAACAAATTTTCCCCAATTATATCCACTCTAAATGTGATTTAAAGTAATTTACAGGGTATTGCTATTTTATCTTAGTAAAGTTCTCTTGCTTAGTGCAGCTGTCCTTAAGCAGGTGTTGGTGTGTATATCATTTACCCTTAGATGTGTGTGTTAAATGAGATAAACCGGTATTTAATAAAAACCAAAACAAAAAAAAAATCTTGACAGCTTCTTTTATCTCAATAATTTTGTTCAGCCAGAAGGAAATTGATGACCATGGCTTGCTTTTTTAAAACCAGTAACTGGAGAAGAATCTGCTTTCTGTCTCATGTAGAATTCTTGTCAGGAATCTTAGAGAGACAAAAAAAAAAGAAGTTCATGATGCAGTGTAATTCGGGGAACAAAATGTAATGAAATCCTATCCTATGGTGGGCAGATCTGTATGATTTTGTATAATAAGCATCACTAAGAAGTTAGTGTTCCATTGTATCGGTATTCATCCGTATCAAAGGTTCGTGTATCCAATGTCCACACCCCTCGGAATTTAACTTTTCTCACTAACATTGAGGACATTGGACTATAGTAAAGGCCGGTATACACGGTAAGATTTGTATTATAAGATTTGTATTATAATAAAAATCTTACTGTGTATACACTCTTACTACAGTGTATCATAAGATTTTTCGAATCTTACAAAACTGTATTAAGAATAGAGCAATGCTCTATTTCCTAATACAAGTCTTAACTTACATATCACTTTCAACCAGTGAAATGTAATGACACTAGGTGTCATCCTATTTTTATTATTACTAATAAAAGCACATGGTACATAATAATGGTCGACTTTACAAGTAAAGACATCGAAAAACTCGTGGCTGAATTGGAAGGGGAAAAGGACTTATAGGAAATACACTGGACAAAATTGCTAACGCACCACCACATGAAAGTAATATTTTACTTTTCAAAACTTGTTTAAGATGTATTTGATATATTATTATGTTACAAAATCAAAAAATGAAGCATTTAAATGTCCTAACTGATAAAATAACTACAATGTTAACTGAAGTTTGACCATATCATTAAAACCGTGAAAATCGTGTCCATACTAATTTGGAGGGATAAATTTCAAATTTTATCTTTGCATTTTTGTTCTTTATGTTTGCACGAAGTAGAAAATCAGAAAAAATTGTACTGCGTGCGAAATTTGATCTCAGATGAACGTGATAAAACAGACAGTATGGTGTGTGCAGGGGGTTCCTTTGGAAAGATATGTAAAAAATTAAAACATTGAAAACAATATTTATTCTTCTGGTTAAAAATTTTTGTTGCAAATAGATTAGTCGACATAAAAATGTTCACTCTATATAGCCAAGCCATTAATTAAACATCACACCACAATTTCAATGTTGTTCCACAAAATTGGGGCAACCAGGAAGTTGAGTGGACTGGGTATGGACACAAATGCATTGGATGACTAGCAGGCGATATAATAGTCAGCCACTGCATATTATTTGATTTTATTTAACTGGGAGACTGTTTCTGGTGTAACCTCAAGGACCATCATCGGGTAATAAGCAATGCATATATCTGAGCAAAAATGAGGTACGCAATGCATGTCAGGAAATTGGTTTTGGGCAAGAAGGTCATTTGGGGGTTTAGTTCTGATAGCAAGACATTTGCCAATCCCATTGTATTGGAAATTATGGCGTTTTAAACATACTCATACCGTTGAGGCAACTGTTCAATTCACAAAGAAGAATTTTAAGTGGTGCGTTAGCAATTTTGTCTAGTGTATATCACGCAGTGCATAGTACAGTGATAGACATTGCTATCAGAGCCTCATACTTTGACAGAGCGAGAAATATGGCGGGGAAAAACACGTTGGAATACGCAGTTTATTTACAATCTTATAAGATATGTATTAGCGTGAGTACAGGAAAGTATTATAATACAAAAGTATTATAATACTTGCATTATACTACAAATCTCATCGTGTATACCGGCCTTTAGTTTTGTAAATGGAAAGTCATCGTCGCAAAGTCGACGGGAAGTCGTAGCTTGAGATGATGATGGGAAGTTGTTGATTTGGAATTCATATATAAAATCAGTTACACATAACATTTTTGAATTAAAGGGGGGCGAGTGGGGTTAATAACTCCAGTGTACATGCCAAGTTTGGAAAAAATCTACCGTCCAGGTATTTTTAGCTCTTCTGAGCCAAAGGCTCAAAGAGCTAATGCTATGGCCATTTGTGCGGTGTGCGGTGTGCGTTAACTTTTTAGAAAATGGGCCATAACTCAAGAACGCCTTGGCCAATCAGTGTCAAATTTGTCACAGGGTATCCTTGGCCCAAGGGCTACCATTTATACTAAAATAAGGGTTAGGACCCTTAAACAAGGGGAGATAATCAGGAAAACAAAACCAAAAGTACTGGTTGCTAAAAAATCTTCTTCTCCAGAACCACCAGGCAGATTTTCACCAAACTTACACACAAGGATCAGAATATGTTGAAGATTAAAAATTGTTCAAGGCATGACCCTGGGGCAGAGGGCGTGGTCTCAAGGTCACTTCAAAGTTGACCTAAATTTACAATTGATAAAAACGTTTATATTTTGCTTACTGTAAGGACAAGGATCATCAAATCTTGTAAGTTGATGCATCTTAAGACTTCACATCATGTTAAATCAAAAGTAGGTCACAGTGACCTACTTTTTTAATTTTGCGGGCATTAAATATATTTGTTTTCAAATTGATTTGAAGGCATATTTTGGACACTTTAAGGCCTATGATCATCAAACTTTGTTAGTTGATGCATCTTGGGTCCTTGAACAACGTCAACTTAAAAGTAGGTCACCTTGACCTACTTTTTGAACTTTATGACTTATCCTTTTTAAAACATTTAATCCCATTATTGCAGACACTGAGAGGGTTAGAAACATCAAATCTTGTAAATTGCTGCATCTTGGGACCTTAAAACATATTTATGAAAAAGTAGGTCACTGTGACCTACTTTTTGAATTTTGCAGGCATATGTTTTCATATTGTTTAAAAGGAATATTTTGATTACCTTCAGACCTACGATCATCAAACTTGGTCAGCAGATGCATCTTGGGACTTTGAAAAATGCTGACTAAAATGTAGGTCACGGTGACCTACTTTTGACATTTTATGGCTTTATTTGAGTATCTTCGGTATTTATTGGCTAAGAATCATCAAACTTTGTGAGTTGATGCATCTTGGGTTTTCGGAGAGTGAAAAAAAAGTTTTCACGGTGACCTACTTTTGACATTTTATAGCTTTATTTAAGCATCTTAGGTATTAATAAGCTTAGAATCATCAAACTTTGTGAGTTGATGCATCTTGGGTTTTCGGAGAGTGACGACCAAAAAGTAGGTCATGGTGACCTACATTTGACATTTTATAGCTTTACTTAAGCATCTTAGGTATTAATAAGCTTAGAATCATCAAACTTTGTGAGTTGATGCATCTTGGGTTTTCGGAGAGTATTACCAAAAAGTAGGTCACGGTGACCTACTTTTGACATTTTATAGCTTTATTTAAGTATCTTAGGTATTTATAAGCTTAGAATCATCAAACTTTGTGGGTTGATGCATCTTGGGTTTTCGGAGAGTGATGACCAAAACGTAGGTCATGGTGACCTACTTTTGAATATCTCGGATACATATTGGCTGAGAATCATCAAACTTTGTCAGTTGATGTATTTTGGGCTTTCGAAAATCACCTACTAAAAATTAGGTCACAGTGACCTACTTTTAACATTTTATGGCTATAATTAAGTATCTCCAGTACTTATTGGCTTGGAATAATCAAACTTTGTCAGTTGATGCATTTTGGTTTTTCCAAGAATGTAGCTGAAAAAGTAGGTCAAGGTGACTTACTTTTGACTATCTCACATACTTATTGGCTTAGAATCTTCAATCTTTGTTTATTTTAATGCATCTTGAGTCCTCAGAAAACTTCAATCCTAAAGTAGGTCATTGTGACCTACTTATGGTTTTTTTTTAATAGCTTTATTAAAATATCTTCAGTTATAATTGGCTAAGAATCATCAAACTTTGTCAGTTGATGCAACTTGGCTCTTAGAATACTTAGGGTTAGAGGCTTCAAATAGAAGTGATAGGTTGTACAATTTATCAGAAGAGCGATTCAAGGCCCTTGGGCCTCTTGTTAAGGGACCGTCTCAAAATACAGGCAATTTACTATAGGATTATACAGGAAAATGCCAATTTTTTGCACTTCAAAGCAAATACTACAATAGAGTTTTTGTTCAAATTATAATATTTGATGACTAATCCTTTATTGTACATTATATGTAAGAAACACAAAATTCTACCGTCTTGTTACTAGAGGAGGCAAAAAATTAACGAATTTTCCTGTTTTTATCGAGTACTACAAAATATGACGGGTGCAAAGAATTTATATAAAAACAGAATACAAATAATGGATATAATCTCAAATTTCAATGTTTTAAATTTCAATCGCGTATGTTTATTACTTTTTCTTTAATTTTATAACATTTTTATTGCCACTTTCTTTGAGAGCTTCAGTTTATCATAACGTCAAAAACACACTGTAACAGCGTCAACCTACCTATCAATTGCAAAATGGTTAAAGATCAGTTATATGAAACTGTAATTATATTTTAAAACCTGTAATTCCTTAGTTTTGTTTTATTTTATCAATTAAGCGAAAAAAGTTGCATTAAAACAGTAAATACGCTTCATTTTACTATGATGCGCGAAATATTGCGCCCTTAATTAATTGATGCCCTTTTCTGCATGATACTACACAAAGTTTGTAATAGCACTTCATGAAATATATACATGTATAAATATATCTGGCTGAAAAGTATCAAATCATATCCTCATATATAAAATATTTCTTTAAGACGCATTGACGAAGTATTACATTTGACACCCCTCCCTCAAATATTTTAAAACAAAACACTCGTGCGTGTAATAATCATTGAATGTTCATTTAATTAAAACTAGAGGTACTGTGAGCGATGAGCTCACTAAATGATATCCCCCGCCTCCCATATAGTTAATTGGCAAAGTCCATGTTTTGCTGTGGCCGGGAAACCGGCCCAAAATATGTGTCGGATCAAACAGTAAAATAAGATGTGCACAATGGCAATATGTAATAAAGATTCTGTGAAAGTCTCATCAACTTTCATTCAGTGGTATCATGTTGTAAAT